TTGGAATGTTATTCCAAGTGGTGAAGATGGCTTCATGAAGATTATGCACTGTTTGGAATTGATGACCATTTCTATGGACTTCCCTTGACAACCACACCCACAAAACATTCATAAAGGGTCTTTAATTTGGCTTAATGATCGGTCTTTCTGGACAACATGTTGAAATTTTTGTCAGTGTTGAGCTCCTGCTCAACACTGACAAAATTTGCTTCAGCTGACCACTTGAGATTCTCTTTCCATATCCCTTAGGGTCTCATAAGGAATTTGTAACAACAGTTTTACTACATCCAATCTCACCAGCGATGGCACATTAGGAGAGACCTTGCTTTTGCAGCTCAACAATTCTGCGTCAATATTCAAATTTTCCCTTTTAAATGCTAAAAATGTTTTTGATTTTTTTTTTCTTATATTCATTTTTTGAGGCTCTATTGAAATGTTTGTATGTAACAAAGTAAAAAGTATATTTTTTCTATATTTTCATTGGTCTTAAAATTTTGGTCAGTAATGTGTGTGTGTGTATATATATATATATATATATATATAAAATTTTATTAGTAATGTGTGTGTATATATATATATATATATATATATATATATATATATATATATATATATATATATATATTATTTTTATGTTCAGTACTTAGTGGAAAGCCCTAAATATCAGTGATAGAGCTAACATATTCAGTTGTATAGATATAAGTTTGTGACCCTAGGTTTCATGCTTTTGTGATCATCATACAAATTGGTTTATTTTTTAAAATTGGATTTATTTATGCTTGTTTCACTATGTTTGGTGGTGGGAGGGGAAGTTTTCCTCCATGTCTGTTTGGGATGACACTCTACTATTTCCCCTTTTTTAAACTTATTCACAGTTCTTGTGATGGTTCTTGAATGAACTTTGAAGATGTTGCTTCCATTACTGAAGGCCTGAATGATCTTTTTCCTCTCACCATTGCTCAGTTGAGAATACAGTGGGGCTGACACAAAATGATTTTACCCTGTTCTCTTTTTAGCTGAATAACTTGAAGGTTTCTTCATTGATTCTTATGAAAAAATGGTGTTAAGATGGCTAAATATTTTATCTGAAAACCTAGAAAAAAGAAACTCAATTAATTTAGTGTTTTTTTTTTTTTAGATATTAAACATTTTGTGGGATGGACAATTATGCTGTTACATGATTTGGACAATTTTGCTATTATAACCAGTATATATATATGCTGAATATGTATAAAAATGTGTATATATATGTGTTAAATATATATGTGTATAGATATGTGCTAAATGTGTATAGAAAATAATTGAAAAATATAAGCAGTAAATTGTTGATGCCTCCTGAAGAGTGGACGAACATGTCCGTCTCCAAAATTCTGGAGTTGGGAAGCTGAAGGTAACATCAATCAGCTAAGTGACAAACCTTTTACTTATGTTAATCTTTATATTATATGTGTGTGTATACACAGAGTCAACATATTTCTATTTCATCAGTATGATAAAAGAGTATAAGTGTTATTTTGTGTAAATAAAAACATTTTTAAATGGGTCTGACTCAACAGATGCTTTTGTTTTTGCATAATACTTTTTTTTTTTTCAAATTGGAGCCTAACTTCATGAAAAGATCTTTTTAATTAGAATATTATCTGTCGTCTTCTTTATAGAGATTTGGTTTTTGCTCATTTCAGCAAATTGAAAAAAAAAAGAAACCAGCAAAATGATTCAATCTTTTAGAATCACACATTAAAATTAGTATTTGAGATGAAACTTCAATTAGTCATTTTTAGCATCGCTACCATCTTGTTATTGCAACTACCAGAATGGTATTGCTATCCAGTTATTTTTTTAAACCCACAGTAAGAAATGAATTAACTTATCTAAAATTTTGTTATTTTTCACATTTAATATAAAAAAAAAATCTAAGGCATTCCTCCACATAAAAAGTGTACAACCTGAAAACTATAAAATTTTATTGTGTTTATATTTCTGAGGTATTGTAACTATTTTCACTATTTGGACTGTTGACCTCATCTTTATTGTCACATTCATGACGTTTCGGCCGTTGTATGCTCCAGACTTCTTCAGATGATATTTGTTTGATTTTTGAACCATACTCTTTATTTTTAGTCCACAGAGGTTAGATTATTCTAATTCTACATACCATATCTTTGGCTGTCTCAGTTTTAGTTAATTGATAAGTTTTTGTTCTCTCCACTGAATCCTGGGATTGAACTTACAACTCTTTGAGTGACTTTTAGGATTAATCAACTAATGCTTTTATCCACTTGGCCATGTATCCATGTGTAATTAGTGTAAAAACTGTTATTAGACTGTAAAAGACTAAAAGAGTTTACTTACCAACATGCATGAGTGAAAGTTCTACTAGCAGATAAGTGGTACTGGTAATCCCACCAAGATTTAGCATCTTCTGACACCACCTAAAAATAGTCAGTATCAGAGGTATAAAGATTAGTATATATATTCTCTCTCTCTCTCTCTCTCTCTTTATATTATATATATATATATATATATATATATATATATAGTAGTAAACCAAAATATTCAAAATTACCTCATATGGAGTATAGACGTATTTCAACTGATGAAAACTTTGTCAGTCTTATTCAACCCTAGTATACTGACTTATATGAGGTAATTTTGAATTTTTTGGTTTACTACTTTTTATTGGCTCTGTTATAATAAATACATTGAGCTCTTTTTGTTGATCAATTTTAATATTTTAGTATCTACTTGGATTATATACAAATGGATTTATTACCTTTACTATATATATATATAGAGAGAGAGGTAATACTGCAATTCCATTACACCACCTGCACATTCAAGCTTGCACCACCTGGTATTCCAAAGCTCTCACTCATCTAGGTATTGGTCAGTCTCTACATTGCTTAACTGGTAATCATACGGGAAAAGCAATGTTTCAATGTGATGTGGCTGTAAGTGCATTTTTTTGTGAAGTGAGAAAATTTTGGAATATAAATTCTTTTTGCAATCATTTTTTAAACTGAAGAATAACTTTGCAAAAAGATTTAGATATTGTCTATGTCATTCTTATATAGATGAGTGTGTATATTTCAACAATCAAAAAAAACATACAAAAAGGGTGCATGTCAACTTACATCCTTTTAAAATCACACTGACAATCTTCAAACTGATGCCAAGACTATTTTTTGTGTGTAATTTCAGGTTTAGTATGTTTGAAGCTACGCTAAAGGAACTAAATGAAACTTTGGATTTCTGGGATCGTACGACAGTGCAGGTTAGACGACCACCTAGTCCTTCAGAAAAGTCAGAATTTGAAGACCATCCACCACCATCAGCCAAAAGAGGTGTTCGGGGAAAAGGTAAGTTCTGTTTTTTTTTTTTTTATTTTATACTTCAATTCACCCAGTGAACAAAACTCAAGAGCAACCCAAAGTAGAAATTAATATTAAAATAGTAATGATGAAGGAAAGATGAGGTGGCAGGATGTGAACCTTATGTTGACAAGGAGGATACCATAACAACATTCAGTTAAGTCGGCTTTTTGTTTTTAAATAAACAACATTCTGAGAAGTATATTGACTTATGCACACTAGGGTGAAAAAAGACATGATGCTAATTAGACGTCGGCTAGCCACACTCCAAGAGTTGGCCTTAGAATACGAGCTGGACATTGATGTAGAGCTTGTCAAGTCATGCAACAATCGAGCCGACCAACTTACTAGAGTACCGCAGCGATGGTTAAATGAAATGCGCAAAATGACGGAACCCAGAGAACCTATGTGTGCTGTGGCTGAAGAGCGAGATGTTGCTCAAGTATGAACCATTCATCAATCCAGCGGACATCCTGGTGTGAAGAGAACACTCTATTTTGTGAAGTTGATCGACCCAAGAGTAACAAAAGCTGAGGTGCGAGCGGTAGTTAGGGGATACAATGAATGCCAGTCAATCGACCCAGCCCCTGTGCATTGGAAACCGGGCAGGCTTGATGTCATGGAAAATTGGCACAGGATTGCGATGGATGTAGCCCATTTCGGACATCAACTATACCTGACGCTGATAGACTGCGGCCCCAGTCGTTTTGTCATTCGGAAGCTCTTGCCCCGCCAAGATTCTACTAGCATCATCAAGCAGTTGGAAGTAGTGTTTTGTGAAAGAGGGCTGCCGGTTGAGCTGCTTACGGATAATGGCGCAGCGTTTTGTGGAGAGAGGTTTGCCGCATTTGCAAAGATGTGGAATGTACAAATACGATTTCACTGTGCCCACGTACCATCTGGGAATGGGATACTTGAGAGATCCCATCGTACAATAAAGCGCATTACAGCGAGAACACGGTGTTCAGTTTTGGAAGCTGTATATTGGCACAATGTTACCCCAAAGGACAATAAAACAGCTTCAACTGCACCGGTGAATGCAACCTACACTTACAGAGTCTGCATTAAGGGTATCGAAACAGCTTTAGTGCGTGACAACACGGTTGTCAATCCTTATACGGTAGGAGAGACTGTCTGGATGAAAAATTCGCATGGAAGGTGTACGACACAGTTCAGCAAGGGTACGGTGACACAAATTAATAGCCCACACTCCATCTCTATTGATGGAATACCGCGCCACATAAAAGATGTGCGACCAGTGTGCAGGAAGGATTATTCCGTCAGCAACCATGTTAGTTCTGATGATGGTGATGATGATGAAGCCCCGGTGGTTTATATAAAATCACAGGAAGAGCCCACCTCAGAGAGTAGCGCGCTTGATGAACCTATGTGGGATGAGCTCGGCGAGACGTCTGAAGAGAGCACCACTGAGGAAGCACTTAAGACGATATCACTGAGACGGAGAACCAGGCAGAAACGGCCTGCCCCACATTGCCATTTGTGTGATCTAGAGATCAGGGAGGAGTGTAACGAGCATGCGCGGAAACGTCCTCGAACTGCGTGTGTGTGTTGTCGCCGGACACACCTTGGAGTACCATAATGGACTCGACCGAGGACTATAAGAAGAAGATGCGCAAGTCGTTTGGCATCTTTTCTTGGGCGACAACAGCCGTTGCGGTCAGTCATCCGTCGGCAGCAGTTGTGGGTGCTGTTTTGCTCGTTTGCTGTCATAAAGTTTGGTTCGCAAGGAGGCGTTCGTTTTTGGTTCGCAAGAAGGCGTTCATGTTTGTGTCACAAGAAGGCGTTCATCTTTTGCGTCACAAGACGACTGACCGCAACGGCTGTTGTCGCCCAAGAAAAGATGCCAAACGACTCGCGCATCTTCTTCTTATAGTCCTCGGTCGAGTCCTTTATGGTACTCCAAGGTGTGTCCAGCGACAACACACACACGCAGTTCGAGGACGTTTCCGCGCATGCTCGTTACATTGCTCTTGAATTTACCAGATTAACTGACATCTCTGCCTAATATGCTCTAAATAGAAAATCCCTGGTTGCTGCAAAATGTTATCATAAATCATTTTCAACCTGAAAAGACTGGAATCAAATGAAAACTTTGACTTAATCTTTGATGTAAAAATCTATCAGGGAAATAAAATTGTTGTATTTTATTTTTTATTAACATCAGTCTTTTTATACTAGGTGGTATAATCCTAGACATTTGCTATCACATGAACATATATTTTGATAAATAAAGGATCTCCCTAGCAGACAATTACAGTTTTGCACTTTTGTTGGTGATCATAGCTCTTCACAGACTCCTTATTCTTTATTATCTGTTAATTGGGAGAAAAATAATGGTGTAGTTGCCCATGACCTTCTCCACTGTTTTAAATTTAAAGTAGTTCTTTTTCTAACACCCAAGTTAGAGATCCCAGTATAGCCTGCTATTTAACCCACAGCTGGGGGAAAAGAAGTCAATTCACACTTTTCTTGGGGTTATTTGATTCTACTTATTGTACCAACAATCATAATGTTACCCGTATAACTACATTTAGTACTTTTACTAGTGGAATTTGGTAATCCCCCTTTTCATATACTTTTGATCCACAGTGTCTCTTTGCCATAGGATAATGGCGCTTTTGTCTCCTTGAATTTGAAACATGCAGGTTGTGTTATTGTTTTTGAAATTTTCTTCTGATATGATAACTGTTCTTCTTGATTAGCAGTTGCCTGTTGGAGCAGTTTTCATTTTCATTTTCCTTCTTTACCTGATCTTAGGTGACAAAGGTGACAAACAAAGCAAAGAATCAGAGAAGGAAAAAGAAAGAGAAAGAGAAAAAGAGAAAGAGAAAGAAAGAGCTGCTCGAGAGGTAATGACTTTTCACTTTTTTTAAAAGCCAAACCCCTTCTAGATTTCAAAACCTTTCTTAGACCCCTTGATCTCAAGGAAAAAAATCAAATTTGATGTTAATATAAGCTGGGGCCTTTTCTAATTGACTAGACAAGTCACCCCCACATTGTGTTTCAATTCCCTTTTGCATTGATGTGCACACAAAATGGGAAAGGTCTGATGTACTTTCACAAGTGAACAAAAGGTGAAAATATTGCCATAGTGATAAATGAAAACATGGATCATGTTTGCATTATACTGGTCATTTCTCTGTGGATTCACATGGAATGGTCTGACACCTGGGACATTTTAGTTGCTACTGCTGTCTTTTCACACAACAAACTACTAGACCAGATCTTCCCTTCAGCAAATGATGACTCTGATTTTTTCCTACCTCATTCACTTCCCACCCCTATGTCTCACCACTCACCATCTTCACAAATGGATTGTCATCACCAAAATCTGATCATTCTAACTGTAACACTTAGATAACCCTACAACTGGAATTTTCTAACATTGCACCATGTGACACTCGATCCTCGAAGATTTTGTTCATTTATCTATTTAATATATATGCTGTTAAATTGCATCTCAGAAAAGGATGTGGAACTCAGGATTGGAGCTGCATATGGGGCATTTGGAAAGCTAATCAAATGCGTATTTAACAACAAAGATCTGCACTTAAACCTAGAACACAAACCATGGGTATAATATACCCAATGCAAATTTTCCTATTTTTAATTACAATTTTCAGTACCTGATTTTCTTTCCTAAATAACATGTTTTTCAGTTCCTATTAATGTTAACTCAAAGTACAAAGTTTGAAGTGTCTGCATGTAAAATATTTCAAATAAAGATTTATATTTAATATTTTTTTTTGATATTTTCAAAATTGGGTATGATATAGCCATGGTTAGTAGTGGTGTAACTTTAATTGATGGTTAGTGTTCTAGGGTTAACAACGAAAATTATGGTCTATAATACTGTTCACATTTCAACTTTGCTATATGTTTGCAAAACCTGGACTCTATATTGTTGTGATATCCAAAAATTAGAACGTTTTCAGCATCAAAATCTTTATTCAATCTTGAACATCAAATGGAATGACTATGTGACAAAGTCCTGGAAAGAGGCAACAGTCAAAGCATCGAATTGCTGATCATTTCATCCCATCTTCAATGGTCAGAACATGTAGCAAGAATGGAAAAGTAAAGATTTCCACATCAAGTCTTATTGTGCTCACTTCAGGGAAAATACTATGCAGTTGCCCTCTTCAAAGATACAAGGACCAACTTAAAAGAACACTGAAAGCCACTGGACTTGAGTCTAAATCATTTGAAACACAAGCACAAGACTGTACCAACTAGTGATGTTCCATAGGAACCAAAAGCTTTGAAGCCATTAGAAAAGAAAAGGTCAAATGACAAGAGAGAGAATGGCATGGTAAAATCAATCTCAACTTCCACCAACATTACCATGCAGTCAATGCCATTGGCTTTTCCAGGCAAGAATTGGTCTGCTTAGTCAGCAGTGCCATCATCATAAAGGAAATGATCAGAAAAGAAAAAGATTAAATTCTTGGATATGAGACAAAACCAACAATGATAAATTCTGTGGGAATAAGGGTGTACACACTGAGCATTTATAAAATGCTGGAATATACTTTAAGAAGTTCCCTACAAAATTCTACAACTTCAGTTTCAAGATTCAAGATCTTAGTTTCAATAACACAATAACCAAGTGAATTAAAGTAGTGGTTTGTGAATTTTCTAACATAGTAATTGTGAGTTCAATCCCTGAGTTGGGTAGTGTGTACTTGAAGTTGGTGGAAATGGGTGGTAATAACTGAACAGAACTAAAAATAAAGGAAACTAGACTAAATATCTTTAGACATGGGGTAGTAGAATGGGAAGAATCTACCCCCCCTCCTCCTCCTCTACTGTAGATATTAAATAAAGAGTTTAGTTGAAAATTCCATGTAGGTTACCCAGATCAGCATGCACTTGATGAAGACCAGATAGCACAAAAAGCCAAATGTTGTGATAAAAACAACAAAGATGAGGACAATAATCTTTGTTTCACATGAATAAAATTTTAAAACTGTCCCTTTTTATTTTGTAATGGCTGTGTATTTGATGATTTCCTTATAAGATGTTGTATTTTTATAAAAATATATTTACAAACTTTGTTTCCAGGCTGCATCACAATTACTTGGAAGTAATGAAGCAACTGATGTTGAGGAAGGAGAAGGAGACAAAGAAGGAAAAGTCAATCATGTTTTGGGAGTGCCTTGTATTTTTATTGACTGTGCAAATAATAACACATCATTGCTGGAACAAATTATGAAGACAGAGAAACTCCCACAAGTCAGTGAGGTAATTATACATATCTATATCTATAAAACAGAAGATGTCTGTCTGTGTGTCGGTCTGTCTTTGTGTGTGCATGCGTGTGTGTGTATGCTAATCATGCACATTCACATTTCTCGACTGATTTCAATGAAATTGTACACACATGTTGCAAATTTACTAATTTAGGTCAAGACCAACTTTTCAATTACACAGCACCCCACCAAGCTTTGGTAGAAAAATTAATAAAACTGAATGTGGGTACTACTTTTTGCAAAAAACCAAAGGCAAAGTAACTTGTGAACAAAATTTTTACTAGATGAGCTGATGTTCTTTGCACTTAATGCAAAACATAGCTCATGTTATGAGTTTATGTAGAGTGCTTGATAGTTTTCCTGTAACATTGGCTTCACACAAAAATTTGCAAAATACTGTGAAAAACTTGGGTTTTTTGTACTATGTAAATTAAAAACTTTAATAACTTACTCATTTTTTTATCCAATTTTCTTCAAACATGTTGCAAAAAATTTGCCATCATGCAAGAAATAAGATAGTGTGGTTTTAGTCTTGCTTGCTTCTCTGCATATAATGAAAAACCAGGAAGAACTGTTCAAAAAGCTTGTTTGTCGGCCATAACTCCCTACTTTTTCATCTGATGCTTTCCAAATTTTCCTTGTAAATTACATATGACATGCAAACTGTCTTGCATGAATGTTTAGTTTAGATTTTTTCAGTTAAGTGTAGAAATCTGGAACAAACTAGGTCCAAAATTAGCTTTTGCCATTTAGCCAATAGTTTCTTCATATGATGCTATCCTAAATTGGCATTTAAACAACCTCTAATGCAAAGATTGTTTGAGAAAGATTATTGAAGCATTAAAAGGGAAAAATTCCCAAAGAACTTCTTATTAACCCCTGCTTTACAGTCAATGTGTGAAGAAGGTGAGGGAAGGCATTCATGCATTTGCACTTGCAGTTGAATCAAGCTCTGATGCTTCATCCCTGTTTTGTTTGATTATCAGATTTGTGAACAATGCCATACTATTTAAAAGTTATTACAGTCATTGGAAATTTACTGAATATCTAAAACATTGAAACAATTTACCCCCAGGCAATGACCACTTAATAAAAGAATTCCATTGATAAAAACTTCTTAAGAACAATCAAACACTTGTGAAGGACAAACTGAAAAAAAAGCTGATGGTCAGGGGGAATAGCTTAGTAAACCAATGGATGATGCATGTAAGTGGGGATGCAGGCTGACATTTTTAGACAGTGGGGTTGCAGGTATACAATTGCAGGTATGTACAACCAGACAGTGCCATATATATATATATATATATATATATATATATATATATATATATATATATATAAAAATATAGATAACTAGACTCGTTTCGAAAAAAAGCCTCGAATTTTTTGATTTGCTAATCAAATCAATCTCGAGGGAAAAAAAGGTTTTAAAAAAGAAAGAGCTACAAACATGAACTTCTGCCACAAAAAATCGCACAGATGCAGGTCTGAAGCCCAAAGAAAAAACCCCGATACGAGTAACAACTAACTAACAAAAGAGCTCAATACAACCGTAGAGCAGACCTAGATACACCTAGTGAGCCAGACAAACCTACCTAGGTTTCACCTAAACGGATCGTCAGGGAAAGTTTGGCTAACAAGGCAAAGAGAAACACATATTTATAGGCGATAGCTAAAATCATACCACGTGACAAAAAAACAAAAAAAACAAACAAAACAAACAACCTAAGTGTGTGTGTGTGGGGGGGGGTAAATATTTATTCAACAAAAAAAGTCAATAACGGGAAAACGTCTAATTTAGTAGCCAAGATTTTTTATGTCTACATACATTGAGAATTTCAGTTTTAGAGTTTAATAGCTGGTTAGGTTGATCATATAAAGCTATGGCTAATTTCTCCTCAGCACATAATTTGCAAAATTTATGGCCTGCTTTATATTTTGGGCATTTTTTTAATATTTCCCATTTAAGGATGGGGTCTATATTATCTTCTTGTTTGGTTTTCCATACGTAGGTAGATAGCGTGGTACTATGTTTAATTTTTGCCTTCTTAAAACTACTCGTGTGGTTATAATATCTTTTTTTAAATTTATCCTGAGTAGTACCTATGTATGTTTTAGGGTTAGTATCCTCAGTATTTTTGTAAATTTTCACTTGATACACCACGAATTCTTGCTGGCATTTTCCCTGTAATGGACAGATGTTTTTGTTTCTACAATTACAAGTAGGAGGATTACTATGTGGATCATTCCTAGTTTTTTTCTTATTCAATCCATTTAAATGGAAAACCAAACAAGAAGATAATATAGACCCCATCCTTAAATGGGAAATATTAAAAAAATGCCCAAAATATAAAGCAGGCCATAAATTTTGCAAATTATGTGCTGAGGAGAAATTAGCCATAGCTTTATATGATCAACCTAACCAGCTATTAAACTCTAAAACTGAAATTCTCAATGTATGTAGACATAAAAAATCTTGGCTACTAAATTAGACGTTTTCCCGTTATTGACTTTCCACTGAGGATTTTTTTTTTTTTTTGTTGAATAAATATTTACCCCCCCCACTTAGGTTGTTTGTTGTTTTTTTGTTTTTTTTGTCACGTGGTATGATTTTAGCTATCACCTATAAATATGTGTTTCTCTTTGCCTCGTTAGCCAAACTTTCCCTGACGATCCGTTTAGGTGAAACCTAGGTAGGTTTGTCTGGCTCACTAGGTGTATCTATATATATATATATATATATATGTATGCGTGTTCTACAAATTTAAATAAATTTTATTATTGAGTATTTGTTTTCTTTCAAATTTAAAGAAACAAATTACAAAGATCCTTGTAAAACAAATTCACACAAAAATATTTTTGTTTTCTTTCTTTACAATACAACTAAATCAATTCCATTAGTATGATAGAAGAAACAGAATGTGTCTACATAAGGAGAGTGTCATGTATTTATGTTGTTTTATGAATGCATGTAATTTTCTAGCAGTAGCAATCAGCAGACGGGAAAGGTTGTATTATATAGCTATTCTTTTGTTTACCATTGTTTGTATGTTTCAAGTGTACTTAACCCGTATAATCAATATCCAAGATGTTAATGAGCTTCCAAATGTCACTCTCAGCCAGCATCATTTGCTTGATACACATGCAAAACTCTCACCCACCTCTTGCCAAATTCAGATTAGGAGAGTCACTTCCTTTCCATCTTGATCTTAACTTTAAGCTGATGCCTAAAAAAAATCAGTTGGGGAGAGGTAAATTTCTCATTCCTATGAAATTCCTTCTGTGTCATCTGTACTAGGACTCTGATAATGCCGAGCAAGCAAAAGAACAGTCTTTGTCAATGGTGGTACCATATTGCAACAAACAGAACTTAGCTTCAAGAACAAAAACTTTCAATGAAGCATGTGAACAATAAAGCATTCAAGTAGTCTACGCAACGGATGTATGACACAGCAGTGGAAGTCAGTAAAGCAGGATGGGGTGCAAAGTACAAGTTTCTGCCCTCTCCCATAAGGAGAGATTTCTCTGAGACTACAGACAAACAGTGCCCTGAGCCTTCTCTTGTATATCTAACTTCTTTGTTTCCAACTTGAGGTTGGGGCAGAACCAGATCCCAAGTATCTTTACATGCCCAACTGCAAACCAAAAGACTTATCACAGTTAACCTTGGTCTCCGTTACCATCTCATGCCCTATGATTTCTATGCTGACTTGTTTGATGTTACAAGTATACTGACATCATCAACATAGGCAAAGTATCTGGTAGTGTAATTCTGCATAGGACTGGATTAACATTTAAGAGCTCCAATGCAAGAATGTAGAGCAAAGGTATATATGGACAACCTTGATGAATAGAGCAAGACAAAAAGTTCTAACCTTACTCCATTTCCCTCTACCAGTTCACACGTTTCAGACAAGATTTGGACCAGACTTGAAAAGAAGGCCTGAAACAGACTTCTACAAAAATAGACTCCAGAAATTGAGGGTCAAGCCTATGCCTTGAACTGATCCAAATTGATCAGCATGGCTTCACGGTTGTCTTCAGCTCTGATCAAGCATACCAAATGAAAGTTGTCCTGAATAGTAGTACCCTTTACAGCACATCTGTTCAGGGCCAATTATACTAGGCAGGGTAGCCTGCAAACAGCTGGCCAAGATCTTGGACAAAAATCTTTAGCTCTCTGTTTGATATTGTTAAGGGCCAAAATTTACTAATCCCATCCCCACTGTTTTTCTCTTTGTGTAACAACTTGATCACATCCCTGGGGAAACATTGGTGTATAGACCCTAACTTCATTCAATTGTTGTAAATAAATTCCAGCAATGGAATAAAGACAGGTGATTGCCATGAATACAATTCATAAGGAAGACTATCCAAACCTGGATTCTTGTCCTGACCAACAAGTTTCAAGACATCCCAGATCTCAAATTCTCTTGTGAAACCCACATACCTAGCTACTTGTGTTATCACAAAGCAAGGAAAGTTGGTTAAATAGGCATTGAACAAGGCCAAGCTCTCACCAGGCTCTCTGGTGAAGAGTTCCTGAAAGTAATTCCAAAAAGTTTCACATATGCCCACATTTGTAGTCACAGTTTGGCTATATGGCAATGTGACACTAGCAATATGTCAATCAGATGCACTTCAAAATTCATTTGGATGTAATTCAGCTTGTTATATTCATTGCCTCAGAAGACATTCTTTTTAACCTAGCCAAACTCAGTCAGTTAAGTGCCATATGTGATATACACTTGGGTGATCATGTCTCTATCAATTCAGAACTAAGTAGATAGAAGATTTTTCTTGCAGTAGACTGGTTGACAGCCAAGGCTATAGGGTCCTGTCTGTCCTTCTATTCAGTCTATATCTGGAGGAATAGGAGATGAATACATACCTTTCCCAACCTTCTTGATAAGTAAGGTGGTCAGCTCTGCCCTAACTATGGCTAATTACCCACTATCTCATAATCTGCTAAATCTTTAACTCTGTTAAGGAACGAAATGTACTAGTCCGATCCCCGTCATTTTTATTCTCATGCAGCAATTTGATCACACCCCTGGTAAAGCAGAGAGGTATAGACCCCTGCTTTATCTAATTGTTGTAAATCAGTTCCAACAAAGAAACAAATATGGTAACTGCCTCAAGTATGATTGGTAAGGAAGAGTGACCAAAGCTTGGAGTCTTGACCTGGACAAAAAGTTTCAAGGCTTCCCAGATCTCAGATATCAATATCAAAGAGATATTTGTACCTGTTCAGAGAGGGGGACTTGACAGACGCCTTCCCTGAGGTTGTATGACATTTTTTATTGATTTTTTTCTTATTATTTTCAGCAACCATCACTGCTGGTGGATGTCTTTGTCTTTTAGTTTTGCTGTTCAATTTTTGGTAAGATTGTGAAGCGGTTAGTGAGGGGAACAGAGTGGGTGATAGTGCTGCAGATGGGAATGGAGTCACTGGAGAAGGAAGCCATAATTTTTCTGAAGATTGGGCAAAGGATGAGGGGCCTGCCACCCACACACGCACTGATTGCTTGTTCTGTTTGACTTTTAGAGATAACTTGTATTTTGTAAAACCCCAGGTCATACTTGCGTCTTTTTTCATTTATATTTTCAGCATAGCTATTTGAAACCACACCCTTGGGAACGAGACTGTTGTGCCCTTAACCTTGGGAGCTTCAGGAAATTGAGGTCCTGCAGTTTTCCCTCACATCCTACCCATAATTAGCCATTCTTCTTGACTCTTTTCCATGTCTACACTAGCATCTGATGAAGGAATGTCAGGAAATATGTATTCCAGAAAGGACCTAACTGGGGTCTATTGAGCATGCCCATTATAAGTGCCATGGAATTAGATATTTCAGTTTGGGAGTTTTTTGGTCTTGTTCGGATGGAACTCCAGATGCCTTCTTCTCTAGGCAGGAAGTGGGTGAGGTGACTAATCTCAACACACTTTCAATATTTCAGTTTTCTATGGGTAACAATCACTCTGTAATTCTGTCTCTTAATCTCCAAGCTTTTGGGAAGGGAGATAAAGGCTTCACAGCCTAATATCAATTCAAAGGCCCACTCCCCATATACGAAATGGTGACATCTATAATTTAGTCATATTGCATCAGGTATATGCTACCCAACCAAAAGTCAGGGTCCTCGTGTACTGCTAATCTGGTCTGGCAACTGCCGAGGTACTCAGTTTGGATTATAAAATCCTTGGCAATCAAGTCACATGTTTTCAAGTCAATACAACCTGCTGAAGGCAGTAGTATGTTTCATATGAAGTAGCCTGCACCCATAATTCTTTGCTGGGGTTTTACTCCCAAGGAAATCACTGATTTCATCACTGTGTGGAGTGACAAATTTTACACAGATGCTTATCTACCACAAAGAATGACACTTCATTTTTCAATGCACTCTAATTTGTCGAGTTCAACTAGTTGTTTGCCATCTGTGAACAGATGAGTGTGTAGTGGATCTAAGAAGGATGCGTGAATATTTAAGATTGTGCTGCAAAATAAATATGCAATATCCGCAAACATAAATTATAAGAAATGGCCAAATGGTAACGATATTCAATCATGACAAATAATACATGTTTGAAACAACAGATTAAATTTTATATACACAATTTACAATTTCTTTGTTTGTAATGATGTGTGAAAAGGAATAGAGAAAAAGTTCTTGCTGTTTCAGAAATGTTCAATGTCTAAAAAGTTGTCTGCCTTTGATTGAAAGGTTAAATTTAACAGACAAAAGATTTTTCTGTGAAAGATATTAAGTGAAAAAATTTGTTGTATGAATTTTTCTAATCTCTCATAAAGAAAGTTTGTTTCTTTGGTGGCAATTTTGACACATAATTCTCATGTGTATCTTTGCATGTGTGAGTCTCAAAATGCAATGAAAATTCATTTGCTATTTCTATTTATAGTTTTTTTATAACAAAATCGGCTCCATCAGTTGTTGCAAATTTTTCTGAGAAATGTGTGGGTGAATGTTGTATTTTTTAGCCAATAGGATTTCTTGAAATATTTAAATTAGGGATGAATTTGAGAAAGATTTTTTTTATATCAGTTCGCCTATTTTTGCAAAAATTTTGACTGTTATGGAAATTTCTCATAGCTGATTTTTATTTAACAACCAATGAAATTCAAGAAAATGTTTGAAAATTGAAATGAGGGTTACTAAAAGTGTACTCTTTAGCTTGCTTGACAAACTCTGTCATCTTAATGATGCATTTTGGTTGGAAACTTCAATTTTAAATTTTTTTTCACAGATGCTACACCGGTTGCTGTTTTTCTGATATTATCAGTTGCCATATTGTTACCCTAATAGGACTACCTTTTTGCAAGAAGGTTGAACTTTCAGAAACCTTGTTCCCAGTTTCTGGCATATTCTTCTTCTTTTGGTCTTTCATAGTTTTAAAAACGTTTTTCAATGAGATGGCTGGTTTAAATTGTTTTTTTTTTTTTTCTTCAATTTCTTGTCTTGTTTGTTATTAGTTTTTTTAAGAGATAACCAATCTTTTAAGAAATAATTTTTATCTGGAGGATTTGAAGGCAAACCCAAACAAGTCCTTCCCTGCCTGTAATAAATTCCACTGAAAAATTAATATTTCTTTCTCCAGCCAAACAATATTTTCTATATTTTTTTTTGTAAGGGAGAATAATAAACAAAATAAACCCGAGAAGAAATAAATACAGAAATAAACAAAAAAAATATGAACATGCATTCCTCTAGAGAAAAATCATCATTAGACCTGACATGCTTTGGACCTCTTGACCACGGAGTGACTCGATGACCAAGCAAAGTTGAATAGTGCCTTTAAACACAGTTTTCTTTGACTCACAATGTAGACATATCTTCTCAGTTTCAAATCCTAACATAAACAGAGCAATTTTTAAAGAAAAGGAGGATGAAATTTTTATTTATTAATCCAACAGATTTTATTGCTGAAATGTTATTTTTAGTGGCTACTCTCATTTGAGTAGACACTCTGTTTATATATTAAACAGTCTATTTATTTATTTTCATCTATTGGCCTGAATATTTGAGAAATCTTATAAAAAAAAATATCATAGAGGGCACATATTTTTCTCAAATAAGATTTCTGGAATAAGATTCAACTTTGCTTGACCATTGATACACTCTGTGGTCAAGATGTCCAAAGTATATCAGATCTAACAAAAAGTTTGATGTAAAAGCATTACCTTGACAAAAGAAAATTATTTTAAACAAGGAAATACAACCAAAAAAATAGGTAAATTAAAACAAACTCTAATGTAAAATTAGATTCAAAAGACCAAAAAGAAATATGAATTTGGTGAAAAGCTGAAGTGGGGAATTTTAAACGTGAAAGTGATTAAAACAAAATTAATTTAGCAATATTAACTTCCAAAACAACCGCAATAAAAATTTGTGCTGACAAATTCTTTCAATCAGATGTCAAATAAGGATAAACAAGTTTGCTTTATTCAGCTTAGAATAAAATCTGTTACAAGAGTGGATATTATTAATAACAGTTTGACATAGACGAGTTCTTCAGCCAAGGGAGATAATCTCCAACAAGGGAGGTAACTACTACACTGTACAAATGTTGTACTTTTAGTAATCCTTGTAAAAATGTTTATCAAAACGTATTTAACATTTTTATATAATTTATTGATTTAATATCAAAAGAAGATGATCATTTTTTTTCCATTTGAGACTTTTGCAGCTGTTTTAATTTTGCCAAAATTTTAATGTTTCACGTTAAATCAGTTACTATACTCCTATTAATATTTTAAAATATATTCTGTGGGTTATCTCACTTGGTGTTGCTAAAATGCCTTCGGGGGGGCACTCTTTAAATCTATAAAAAGGGCAATGATATTCTCTCTATTTCTGTACTCTTTTTTTTAGCTCTGGCTTTAAGATGTAGGTGCATGTGGGTAGAAATGCTGCCACTTGTAGAAGTCAAGTGACTCAACTGCTAACATGGTTGCAAGCTAACCAATATTCTACACCACTGAAGTGCATTTGCTTTCTTTGTCCTCTGTTGACTTTTAAACTCTATCACTCACAGACACACACAAGTTATTTTATGCCACCAATGAGTTTATTCACTGTGCTTCTTTTAGTGTGAAATCAATATTAAGACTTCAGTTGAAGCTATAAATCAACTCATAACAAATTTTTTATAGATTTAGTCGGCTATTATAAAGTTGGCATTTGAAGTCAGATATTGGAATTGACATCTGGCAGTCAATATGTTAATAATAGTTTATAGAAGTGGAATTATCACTATTTTTTTTTTTTTTTAAGGTTTTGGAAGGTCTGGGACTTGGTCCAAAGGGACCACCAATTCCTCCAGCAGCAATATTTGCAGTTGTACCCTACCCAGTCAAGAGACGTCCTTCTGCTACAATGGAGCTTTCAAAGTATTATGTATTTGTTGCATCATCACCTGATGATCCGTGAGTTACATGTTGTGCCACATCAATTGTACTTTATTTCCTATCCAATATACAGGGTATAGTTTGATAATCAATAGGTACCTTTTTTTGTTAGTCAGTGAAAAATACATCTAATATTATTGTATATTCTTTAGTGATTTGTTTATTCAATTAAGAATGTAACTGTTATTTTGTTGCAGGTTCAAATCCCAACAGATGACTTTGAAGATCTAACTAGGCTGGTAGATGTTAATTTAACTGCTTGTAAATAAACATTTTTTTTTTAAATCTGTTTCACCCCATGCAAGACAGTAAAGCCACTAAGACCCAAGGGATTACTGGATTAAGAATTAGGAACAGAAACATTACTGTGCTTAAATTAAAAAAAATCACTGTAATGCATTAGACTGGGTACTTTGGATTTTATATATTTGTACTTCCCCAACATCACTTAGTTGGTGTGTTGTATCAGCCCCTAAGGAAAATGCCTGACTAGTTAGGGTCAGGCTACAGTAAATATCCTATTCCATAACATAGATTTACTTAATGGGATATTTACTTTCACCCATCTTAATTTAAATCAAATGCTGGAATGTTAAACAGAAACAAAAATGATTTTACCAAAAGACTTAAGCAAAGATTAATCTCTGTGTTTACTTATTTATTTTTATTTGGTTTCACCCCAACCAAGGCAGTAAAGCCACTAAGACACGAGAGGTTACTGGGTGTGGAAGAATTAACAACAGAAACATTAATAATGAGCAGGAACAGAAAAGAGTAATCAGGAGGGCAGTAGATAGAGATTGACATTGCATTTAAATTTTTGAAGATTAAAGTTGGCTGGAAAGCATGGAGTTGGAAGAGAGTTTCGCAAATGAGAAGTGAGAGAAAAGAAACTGTTAGCATAGAACTCACAGCTACATCTAGCCAGCTCAACTGTAAATTGATAAGATCTCAACACCAGTCTCATACTGCACTTAAATTCAAAAACTCTAGGTACGATAGTGAAGAGCTCATCTGAACAATTACAATGAAAGTATTTATAGAAAAGACAACCTTATGGTGGTGGGCAAGTGACTGAAGCTGAGCCACCAGATCAGGACCAATAATATTGCTGATTGGTCTTTGGATTTTATCAAGGAGTTCAAGGTAAATAGCAGGAACACCAGACCATATGTGACAGCAATGCTCTAAGCATGGATGAATGGTAGACTTATAGATATGTAAGATAGATTCTGGAGAGAAAAATTGTCTTGCATAAATGGTGCACCAACTTTCTTAGCAGTTGACCTAGCAACGGATTCAATATAGTCTTTCCACTTTATATCAGCTGAGAATGCTAGCCTGAGAAGGTGCAACAAGTCAGTTTCATGGAAGGTAGAGAAGGGTCTCTTTGATGATTAATGGAGAGCAGTTAAGTTTTGGAGACATTAAAATTAACAAGTCATTGTTTTTCCCAAGTTAACAATGGACTTCAGGTCATTTTGGAACATGTCATGATTATTAAAACACATGTACACGCTAAAATAGTGTATGTAGTACTGTATTTTGCTGCTTATAAAACACTCTGATGCAAAGATTTTGAAAGAAGTTTTTTCCTTGTAATTCATAGCTCCCACTATCCCCAATTTTACCCACTGAAATGACTATTTCAGTATGAAAGTCTTACTGATCATGACACATTTACCACAGGCCAAGAAGTAGCAAATTTATGTAATGTAATTGTTGTGTCATATTCTCACAAGTACATTGTGTAGTCAAGGAAAAATAACTCACTCCCCAGTGCACAAACCTTCCCACTTATATGTAATCTAATTTGCATATCACCACATCTGGAACCTTAGAAGCTTTATGTCTTTAGTAAACCTGCTACTTCTATGAACCACATCACGTGTACTACTTGTCTCATGGTGATTGCCTAGATTCCTCTTTAAAGGATCTCAGTCTTACCAGATTTTCTTCATTTGAACCTTCCTCATGTTCCTCATTATCACTAGACACACTCATTGTTTCCTCCCCTCCACTCTCAAAATCTTAGTGATCATCCTGATCCTCTCTTCTGCATCAGGCTTTTCCTCCATTTCAATATCTTTGGGCTCTCTTCACAATCTAAACTAGTCTTTATGAGCTAACATGATCTGCCCATTTTTGTTAATATTGCTGTATTAAATCCTTTTTACACTGCAAATTGTGCTCTCTCAGGATTTGAATCCTTATTCCTTATTATACATTCTCATTTTTGAAGATATTGGGGCTCTAATTTGCCTCCCTGTTAATGCCAAGGGATTTTGTGTTCTGCCTGCATGTGTGATGTTCTGTAACTTAAAAGCAATCTTGGTAGATAACTTTCTAGACTGCAATTCCCTGGAAAGAATGTTTCCAATCCAACTTTTATCGTCTGGACCATCCTCTCTGCAATTCCATTTGGCTGAGGATAGTAGGGGGGGTTGTTATGTGACCTGCCTCCAATTCGTGTTAACCATGTTCACAAGATTTCTTCAGCAAACTCTAGTGCATTATCTGGCACCAATGTCTTAGGTACTCCTTTCCTTGAAAATACTACTCTTAACACCTGTTTTACAGTACTTACTTTTCTGTCCAAAACTTTAACCACTTCAGGCCAACCTGAATGCATCTACTAGTGTGAGGAGTAGGCCTACAACTTTAATGTATGCATGATCCATGTGTACTCTTATATACAGCTCCTTCTCTTTTGGCCATGGACTAATCTTGGCTTGCCTAAAGCTCTTTTTTTTTTGCACAATGAGGGCATTTTCTAACATAATTCTCCATGTCTTTTGTATACCTCAGCCACCAGGCTTGTAGTTTCAATCTTATTCATGTGTTCAATATATCACCATGTATGTCGTTGTGAACTGCTTTAATAACATTTTTTTTTTTTTTTTTTTTTTTTTTTTTTTTTATAATGATTTTTGGTAATCCAATAATATCTCTACTACATATGACTCCTCTTTCAATTGTTAATCTGTACCTTATTTCCTTAAAAGGCATTTTCTCCATAGAGCAATAACTCCATATATTATTCTATTAAGTATAGGGCCAACTGAAGGATAACACATCTGTCTCTATTCAGTGCAAAATTCTGTCCTCACAACTGTCCTTTGTTTCAACATTCTGAGTATTAAAATTCAATCTTGACAATATGTCGACATGTGGAATGGCATTTCCTTTACTATACATAATGTCATAAGCTTAATTGCCCCCACCTCAAAATTCTAGATGATGTGACTTTAGGCAATTTTTACCTTGGGTTGAAAAATGAACTCTAAGGGTTTGTGGTCCAACTTTAGTAGAAATTTCTAACACAGACAAATTGCACTTCCTTTCAGTACTCCAGACAATTGCCAGCACTTCTTTTTTAATGTTAGAATAATTCTAACTGCTGTCAACTTTCTGGAAAAGTGCATAATAGGATGTCCCACTTGTGATAACATCACTACTGTGGTATGTTCGCTATCATCAATAGTTAGTGTGGGGTCTTTTGTCAAGTACCTTAACTACTGTCTTGTTTCTAAGTGCTTCCTTTATCTTCTTAAAGGTCCCTTCTGTCTTTCAGTCCACTGAAATTTATTATTCGTTCTAAAGTTCACAAAAGGTTCAATCGTGTCGGTATATGGAGGTATATATTTATTATAAAAGTTAGTCACACCCAAGATTCTAACTTATTTTTTGGTATGCTTATTTCTGATATTTTGCTAATAAATCTGTCATCTGGTGAGATTCCATCTTTAGATATTTGATCCCCTAAGTATGAAATTCTGTCACAATTAAATTTACATTTATCTTGATTTGTCATGCCTGCATTACTCTGCTCAGAATCTGTTCCATTTTAATCTTCAGCTCCTCCTCCTCCTCGGTATGAGCCCCAATACCAATGTTATCCTGATAGACAATGATGTTTTTTTGACTCCTTTTGGAATATATGGGTAGATGTTTTAATTCCAAATGGCAGATGAGTCCACCTTAGAAGACCTATAGGAATGTTTATTGTAACTTCTTGAAAATGTTCGTCAATTTTAATCTGATTATACTTGGCAAAAAATTTCATGCCAGCAAACTTAAGACAGGCTGTTTGAATATTTGGCAATGGGAAGGAGTCCAAACATATCTGTTGATTTACACCAACTTTGTAGTCACCACAAATTCTTAAAACTCCATTGGTTTTTGCATATGGCCATGATTGGGGAAGCCAATTGCTACCACCATAGCTGACCTTCTCCAATATTCCTTGTTCAGTCAAATTATTAAGTTTCACCATAATCACTAGCAGAAGGTGAATTGGAATTTTACGAGATTGAAAATATACTGGTTGGCTATTCTCTTTGAGCCAAATACTCACCTCGTAATCCTTTAAATGTTTAATCTCAGGTTCTTTTAATTTCATGCAATTAACTAACTTTGAGGTGTCTATTCTTAATATGTCAACCCCCTAGGAGACCATGATCTTTTACACACTTCACAAATATGATTGGTATTACCTTGAAATGAGTCTTAGTCTCAAACACTGCCTCAAAGTATCCAAGTGTTTTAATGACTGACCCATCAAATTGTTTCAATTGCAGATTGGTCCTCCTTAATTTTGATCTTCCCATTTTGTCCCCAAAATTCTTGGGTATTAATGTTACATCACTACCCATACCCACTTGCATTAGTACAGGTATTTCATTTATTTTTACCCTTTCTCTATTCCTATCTTGCACTTTTACTTCATAAATTTCAGTATTTCCCATTGCAGGATCTATCTTCTCCATTTCTACTGTTTTTTGTTTTTTTTTATATTTCCATGAAACTAACTGGAAATGTTTTTTCTTAAAACACATCTTTCCAAAAGCTGGGCATTTATACTTGTTCATCCTGTGTTCTTTGTCACAAAAACATTTACATAAACTCTCTGTGCTACTGTATGTCTTAATTTTAGTCTTAGTGGTATTAAATCTCTCTAGCTACTGTAAAAATTCAAAACTTGTTTCAATATTCATGTTCTGGACTTGAAGCTGTCCCAAAATTTTGTGTTTATTTGAGACGTCATACAGTCCTTCAATTAGCCTTAACTGTATTAATTCCTCTTCTATAGACATCAGTCCTTTACACAACTTTTCATATTCACAGTATCTCAATGCTTTTTTTAGGCTGTGACTATACTGTCTAATGGTTTCATCCAGGTTTTGCCTGATTTCAAGGAACTTTGTCCTCTCAGCTATGACCAATTTCTTTTTAGGATGTATGTTTTGCTTGTATGATGTTGGCAATTTCTTCAAATGTCATGTTTTGTAATGTCCTTGGATAGACCATTATGGAAATCTTTTTTATGTCTTCACAACCTGCTGATGCTAGAAATAAATCCATTGTTTCATTTACTTCTCCTTGACTCTTGTCAACACCGCAAAACATCTCATTCAAGTCTCAACAAACTTAGGATTAGATATCCTATTGTTGACGCCATGTTGTTGTGTCACATAAAGTTCTCATAAATATGCAGTGTAGTCAAGGAAAGATAACTCCACACTTGAGTGTAGAAACCTTCCTACTTATATACAATCTAATTTGCATATCACAACAGTAATAATTAAAAGAGAAGTTAACTCTCTATTTACATTATTTATATTCAAACAGTTGTCCAGGTCTTTGTTGTTTCTATCACAATGTTTCAGTTGTTGTGCCCTCCGACCTTCCTCAGGTGTATATTGATCTGGATCACCTACAAAGAATTATGAATTGAACCCTTTTTTAAATGATTCCTATAAAATATCTCCAAAAATCTACCTTGCCTCCTATAAATTGAAGATCAGTGATGAGAGTTAACTTTTGTATGAATTTCTGGAATGAGGAGTTAACATTATTTATGGTATTTATATTTGGACTATTCTCCTCATTGTAATATAGCAACAATTCAAGAAAGTAGAAGCTTTACTTGACTAATTCAGCTCTAGCACTGAAAACGTTTATTTTATTAGAGTGGATAGTTACAAGCAAGAGGGGAGATGGGATGTGAAGTTTCTTCTTACAGTTATTTTTTTTTTAAAAAGTGGGAGTGCCAACGATGCAACATCTTTTTATCTCTTTGAGAATTGAAGAATATTATTTTCTTGAAGTGCATATAGAATTTGTTGTAAACTACATCAAAGGGTCTATTGAGGTCGGGGTAGCACCTAAACAATAGCTCTCCCAGCTGCTGTGAGGTAATAGGCAGAGAAAGTCAATGATATGAGAGGTAACAAAAGGACACTACCTCAGAAGGCACAAAACTTTAGGAACAAAATGCCCACGGGACAGACTTCACAAGACACTGAGTCTTGCCCACTACTGGTTTTCCTGTCACTTTTGTTGACAGGAGACACTGACAGAAACCCAGATCTAGACAAGTTGCAGAGAGGCCTGTATCTGGACATGTCAAGCTGTCCTGCTGCTAATGGGGAAAACCCGGATGTAGCTTGTTTTAACAGACATGTCTGCATGTGTTCAGGGGCCTCTTTTATGTCTGTCACAGAGTTTTAGATTAATTAATCCCAGTGATGTGAAGTGATGGGATTTAAGAGAAGAAAAATAAGCCTTTGTTTTTGTTTTTTTAATGGAATAAGGGTGAGTAATTTTAATGCTTTTTTCCTCTCTCTCTTATCAGTAATGTAATTATTGAGGAAAAAGTAAAAGAACCCACTGAAGTAGAAGAGGTGCCAATTCCAGATAAAGAGAAGCCAGAGAGAGCCACTCCTGCCTCCAAGATGAAGACAAAGATGGCAGAAAGACAAAGGGGAAGTATTGACTCCAGTAAGAAGAAAAGTGCAGACAAGAAGAAGAATCCCCCACCAAAATCACAGTTCCAGTTACCATCTCCTCCTCCTGGAGGCATCACCCCAAGTTCTGATGATGGCCAAAGGTAGCTATTTTTTGTATTAAACAAAATCAACCAGACTTGTCATTACTACATTTCACTGTTTTTTCAGCTATTTATTCACATGCAACATTCATGTGTAATGTTCACATGAAGTAATCACATGCAGCCTTCATATATAGCATTCACATGTAACAATATTCACATGTAACATCCACATGTCACATAGCAGAAAATTAAACACAGGCTAGAAACGAATAGGCCAACATAATAAGCAAATAAAGAAAGTCTAATATTTGAGAATCTGTTATTTTATTCAGTATAAAATCAGTTTCAGAACTTAAATGAAAATTGTTGTTGTTCTTTGTAACACAGTAATACCTGTGACAGGGTTGTGTTCTCCACCAGGATTTTCTGATGAGACATGTGGCTAGACACCCAGCAGGACTAAAAAAAAAATACAAGACCTGTCAATGGGTGGGTAAACTTTTTTGTGGAGTCAAGTCATCTAGCACACAATAAGGTAGGCTGGGCTCCTTAGCTATGGATGCAGCCAATGTGATAATGAGACTCTGTATTGCTAGTCAACAGCCAGAGCAGAGGGTTACCCTGATGAAATCAATGACCATTTCTCTGCATGCCTTCAAGTTGGATGACATCAGATGTGCTTTAACATAGAGAGGGATGGGCTCCACCAGGTCTACTTGCCCAAGACATTCTCTATGCATGAATGAATACTTCACCGGTTTTCAACCCTGATATGTGGAGGGAATTGATCAGATACTCAGCTGCATAGTGACCCTTTGTCCACAGCCAGTAATGGGACTGATGATTTTGTACTCTGCAAAATCCTGCAATTGTACATTGCAATGTGGTGTTGCACATACTTGAAAAGACTAGAGTAGATAACCTTATTGTGGGGCTCAATTGGAAACAATGGCCCTGATTAGCTTAAACTTGATCCTGAAAACAAAGCCTGAAATATTTCATCACAAAAGTGATATATGTAATCCAGTTTTCTTTTACAATTTAATATTGCCCAACTGGACTACACAAAGGAATACTGGATACAATATGACATAAATAAATAAATTGATGGATGTGTGGCTGATGTGACGGACAGCAGATCAGAATGAGAAATCAGAAAGATAAGTTCAGGGTCCAGTTGGGATCATTGCATTTACTTATACACAAATAATATTGAGAATTAATAAGTTGCCAGATGGGTAATTTTTTGTCTAACATGGTAAGTTGGTACAAAACTGAAATATTGACCTAAAAACATGAGTCATGTACTTAAATAGCCTTGTCCTTTCATAGGAATGTCATGCATGACATCCAACTCTTTCAGATCAATGGCTTTTCTCAGATCAATGACTTCAAATGAATTAGGATATGCAGGTGGTGTAATGTATAGGTGCTTTTAATGAGAAATCAGAGAGCCAGGTCCAAATTCCAGTTGAGTTTGTTGCATTCATTTACACACAAATGTTCTTGGGAAAGGTATGAATTGATTTTTCCCTTCCAGCTATGGGTTAAATAGATAGTAATACTTGTATCTGCAAAATCATTGTTGTTTTTAAAAAAAACTTTATAATGCAATATCCATTCATAAAAAAGAATTATTTTTACAATCCAAAATATGTTTTGGCCTTAAATAATCCATAAAAATCAACAGAAATAATTTTAATTTTAATTCCCACTCCTCAAAATGATAAGTCAATTTTGTTTCAGCTTCAGAATCCAGTTTGGGCTTTACATTTTCACTGATATCAATTACACAGAGTAGGTCAAAAGTCACAAAGGGGTCAAAATTTTAACAAATGTTTTTATTTAATTAATTTTTTAAATTAAATTTAAGTTTTTTTTTTTAATTTCCTTTTATGTACTATGGTAATGTAAATCGAAAAAAAATTGAAACCGTTTTGTGGCTTTTAGCCTAACCTGTTCTATGGGATGCATTCAGTAAACTACAACAACAAAAAACAATATCTGTCTGATTTTTGTTTCAGTTTGCTGGGTGACAACATTGCACTGAGTGAACCAAAGACACCAAAGTAAGTCTGAAGTTATTGAGCATTTAATTATGAACAGCAAAAGAAAAAAGAGGAATTCTTTGTTACGCTTCTTCTTACTAAGTTTTTACTTTTAATTATCAAGTTTGCCCTTTTTCATTACAGCGAAATATTACTCTTGTTTTTGAGATTATAATAAGAGCACAGTCTTGTTTCCAACAGATGATTGTTCATTTAATTTCCTGATTAACCTAATTTTCTGAAAAGTCCCCAAACTGCAAAGAATCAATGTCTTGTTTATTTTATTTTCTCACTTGAGACATTTTATTTTTACTGCAACTAGAAATTTTCAATTGAAATATTCAATTGACACAATTTTGGGGATGAATTTGCTTGAATAAGACCTGCATTGTATCTATGATGAAAGAAAACCTTTTGATACTGATGTAAATGCCTTTTATATGGATTGAATCAAAACAAAAACATTTCAAAGTAAAAACAAAAAAAAGCTAATAAAATAAATTTGCCATTTGCAACCACATATAAATTGATTATTGCTATTTTGTGCTTCTAGTTTATACTGATTGCAAAGATGCTTCCCTAGTTTGGCTCAAACAGATTTCAATTACTGTTTGGTCCTACAATGTTTCTTCAAGAAGATCTTAGTCCTGGATATGACACTAAACTCCATTCAACTCCAAGACCAATGATGGGGAGATGGGAGGTTTTAAGAAGCATGGAACTACCTCTGCTGTTCCCAGCTCCACCCTGACCTGAGGTGGTAGCACCTGTTAGAGTCCCAGCTATGGACAAGTAGTGAAACCTCAAACAAAAATAAAACATTATAAAAGTATAAAAATACATTTTTATATATAAAAGAATTACCAACAATACCTACTTATAGTAACATTCCAACAATACCTATTTATACCATATATTTAGTTGAAGCCATAACATTGTTCAAAATATTTAGATTTCATCATTGAATAACCCATAGTGGTTGATATACCACTAAACAAAACCAAGCAACATGAAAGAACTCTTTCATGACATTAATCCATATAATATCCTACAATTTCTTAAAGAAATCAAACTGTATTCCAAAATATAACTTCAACATAAAATACACATATCACTGCCTCATGTAATTATGTCTTCACAAACATGTATATGCACAATAGCTGAGTATCATCTACAATGTATTCAATTGTGAAAGCAGAATAACATGTATCATATGTTTATTATTTCGACCCCCCCCAAGAAAATTAAATTTCAGCATTAAATGACCCATAAGGAGTTCATATGCCATTAAACAAATTAAATCAAAAAAAAAAAAAAAAAAGAATCAAGAAGATCTTTCAGCTTTCAACGTCTTCCTCTTTTCTTTCTTCCTTTCTGCTTTGACAATGTTTGTTCTCCTGTCTGCTCTTGTTTATTGCTTTTTATGTATTGTCTAGTATTTTGCTTAGAATATTTCCAGATTGCTCTTGGCCAAGTATGTCCAATGTCACTTGCTATCATTTTTCAGATTTATTACCATATTATGTTTCTGGCTGTTAATTTGTATGTTATGCCCTGTCAATATCTCCTAACATTTCACATTAACCTACTGTGTCATACTAATGGGGAATCATAAAATATCTGTAGGTATGGATAGCAGAATGAGAACAATCTCTTCCTGTAGTTTAAATAAAGGGTTCAGTTTGAAATTCCGTAAAGGTTATCCAGATTGATAATAGTCTGAATATAAATAATGATAACACGCAATTCCAAAAAGCCAAAACATTATCATAATAACAACAAAGATGAAGATATTTGTCTGAATGTAAATAATAATATCTCCTTACCCCAGAAAGATGAGGACAATAGACTGAATATAAATAATGATATCTCCTCATCCCAGAAATTCTAAGTGTAATTTTGTTTTGTTTGATTCAAATTTCTTATGATAGTTTATTACATGTGGAATTAACTGTAATATTTCATATCTTAAACAAATTAATAAACAGAAGAAAGATTACAAGTTGATCTTCAACCCACAAGTTTTTCTACCTCATTCTTCTTATTCATCATTCTACATTTTCTATTTATCTTATAATATATTCTAGCATTTTCTAATTCCATCTCCCTCTACTTTCTCAGACAAAAGGTAATGACTTTGTATTCAGAAGCAGGTCGGTTTCTTTGAGTCAGCTTCTGATGCATTCTAATAATCTAATATTGCTTCCATCACTTTCATTCCTCTTCTCTACTTCACTTGAATTTGAATCCTTTTCAGGCTGAACTATTTTCGATGGATTGTTCCTGCAAATGGTGAAGTCACGCTAAGAATCCGATTCTTGTCTAATGAACTCGGTCAGTTTGATCACACCCTGACTTTTGAGATAACAGGCACAAGACGCCGATACCAGATCTTCAACCGAGGAATTTGTGCCTTCCCATCCATCAGCATGGATCCAAAGTAAACCTTTTTCTTTTTTCATTGGCACTAGTGTTATTTCAGCCCATGAGAACATAGCTTAGCTGTTAGGTCGAGGACTAAAGGGTTTAATTGATTGTTACTTCAGTGTTGCCAGCACATGTAGAAATACTTAGTCAGTGTGAATCAAGATAATAAGAGGCTGACAGGAAACATTCTTGTGTTTTAAAGTCATTTCAACTGAAGTTGAATTTAAATCTCTTCCATTATTGGATAAGAAAAAATTCATCTTAAACAAAACTCATTTTATTTTCTTTATCTGTTTGTTGGTTTTCTCTTATGCTAAAGAAAACAGCAGTAGAGGAAAAGGGTACAAAATGGGCTTTACTAGGTTTGTGCATTCACCTGAGGTAGGCAATTACTGCTGGTAATTATCTCTGTTACTGATATTGCTGCTGTTGCTGCTGATGGGAATGCACCAATTTCGTTGAATATGGGAATGCACCAATTTCGTTGAATATGGGAATGCATCAATTTTGTTGAATATGGGAATGTATCAATTTCATTGAATATGGGAATGTATCAATTTCATTGAATATGGGAATGTATCAATTTCATTGAATATGGGAATGTATCAGTTTTGTTGAATATGTGAATCTATTAATTTAGTTGAAGTGGAACTGGGAGGAATAGTAAGGAAACAGACATTACTTACCACTACAAATGGTAGGAAGTTGTAGAGAGCCATGTTCACCTACCTAACAAGATTATATAAATGGATGGCAAAACAGGAACTGGGATGGATAGTAAGGAAAAAAACATTATTTAAAGTTACAAAGGATAGGAAGTTGTGGAGATCCATGATCATTCACATCCTGAAATGACACAGCACATAGAAGAAGAATTTTGTAAATAACCATAAAAAAAAATAACTTTATCTATGACTCATTTTCTATGTCATCCTAGTAAATAATTCTTTTCATGCTTGTTGAACACTGGCTCACAAAAAATGCTACTCATAAAGGTTAGTGGCTAAAGTTTAACTTTTCAACATCCTAATACTTTTGAGTAGTATTTGATAGAGTCAAATAAATCAACATATTTAGAATTTTTAGTTTTCTTTTGATGATTCCGCATCAAACATTTTATTTTCTATTTACCTGATTTTATAGTTACAATCTCAATTTTTGCAAAAAGCTTCAATAGAGCAATAAAAGCAGACATATTAAAATGCATTTCATAACAAAAAGAAATGATTTATAACAAAAAAGATGATAAACTACATCCAGCAACAAGGCCTCTGATTGGGAGATTGGAGGTTTTGAGCAGCCTGAAATCACTTCTTAATTTCTGTTGTTCCCAGGTCCACCCTGACTTGAGGTGGTAGCACCTGTTAGAGCCCCAGCTATAGGCAAATAGTTGACTCCCAAACAAAAATCAGTACGTTTTTATAGTAAAATGACCAACAATACATTTTTATAGCAAAATGACAATCAATGCAACACTAAAAATACGTTTTTTTAGTAAAATTATCGACAATACACTTTATAATCTACAAACTATATATTGATGAAACCTGATCTACAAACTTATTTCTTACAAAGAATACATATTCTTTTCAGATAAACATATCCTAAAAATCTTATTGGCATTAAATAACCCATTGAGGTTGATATGCCACACAATTAACCAAATCAAACAAAACAAAAAAAGAGGGGTAATAAAAAAAATTTATATTTATAACTGTAAAATGGTATTATTAATAAGGATTAAAAAAACAACTAAACTGGTTTAACAGTCCTCTTTTAGAGAAAAGCTGAGGATAAAGAAAAATTTGCATTTTATATATATATATATATATATATATATAAAACATTAATGGCTAATTACCTTTGTTGGTGGGTTTGTGGTGTATTGCCAGAGGGTTCTTAGTGTTTATCTTTTGGAAACATAGGACAAAAAAACTGGGTATAAGGTATAGAGTGAGTCCTTTGATATTCAGTGTAGTAAAATGTTTATAAAGTAGCAATCTGGAGAAAGTCCATTTTTCATCTCGGGAGTGGATAGTTTTGAAGTCAGACCTTGCTAGTAGTAGTAGTCATCTTAGAAATAGACCAGTGTCAATCTGCTGTGTTTTTCTCGGCCCTAAATAGGGCAGAAAATATCATTAGCAAATGACTTCTTAACTGCTTCACACGTTGCGCATGGCTGGTTTCTCCAGCAGTTGTGTTTCTATGCCATGAACGTTGGTTTTGGCTGACATCTAATGTCTTTTTGTGTTCATTTTTTTGATTGGCACAAATTATTTTATTTTTCAGTATTCTTTTCTTTTTCATTTTTTTTTTTATGACGGAAATTATGCAGGGAGCTTATCGTATTTTGGCAGATTTATAGTCCCAAAATAAGTTGGCTCTGGCTCCACAGTCTTCTGCTGTTTTGCAGCCAAGTTCAGTCTTTTTTTCTGCTTCCTCATTTTTATTTGAGGCTTTTCTTCTCAATAGTTGAGAGAGAAGTATATAGAGAGAAAAAAGAAAGAGATAAGGGTTTTAAAAGAAAGTGCAAACATTTTATTTTAATTTGAATTCTTTTTATTTTTCTTTATATATTTTATTTTCATATTTTATTTTACTTTTATTGTGACTTGTTAGCCTTTAATTTTTTTTTCTTTTTTGCATATGACATTAGTCTGCGGTTGTATATATTTTTTAGTCCCTGTGCAAATTTTTCATCCTTATTTTTTGTGCTAATGAGAGAACTGTTAAACAGGTTTAGCTGTTTTTTAATCCTTATTTTATTTTAGTATTAACCTTCTAAAGTAATATTTATTTTTTGTTACCCAACTTTTTTGGTATGGAATGTATTTTAATATGTCTGCTTTTATTGCTTTGATGAAACTTTGTGCAAATGTTAAATTTCTTGCATTTTCTGCCACTCGAAAATTGTAAAATTCTGTTACTTGCTATTTTGAAATTTCTTGTATATTCTAAATAATAACAAATTCCAAATTTCTTGCAATTGTCAAATTTTTAACTTCTGGCAAATTCTCAGTTAATTGCAGATTCTAAATCTGTAACACTAAATGGCTTACCTCCAGGATGAAAATGGATTCACACATGTCTCACATGTAAAATATTTTCTAAAAGAAAATGGTGGCTTCATGAGACATATATATTTAAAAGAGATAAAGCTCAGAGTGGGCTAGACTTGTGCAAGAATTTTTTTTGACCTATGCAAATTTGAACTGTCACTCAATCTATAAAAAGTGCTTAAAGAGGTGACAGAGAGGATTGTGACTCTACTGTAGCAAACAGGAGATATGTGTTGTTGAATTGCTTGCCCTAAATTCATATCTCACTACTCTGTTGGTAAAAGGAAATGGATTCCAGATATTTATTACAAGACAAAAGAAAGTGACTACAAAATCTATTGTAAATTCTCAATTATTTTCAAATTCTGAATTACTTGCAGCTGCTAACATTTGACAATTCCTCTTGTAGATAACAAATTTCTTGCAAATTCAAAATTTCTAGCAAATGTTTAATTTGCAAAATCTAAATATTTTGAAAAATTTAAATTACTTGCAAATTTTGTATTTCTTGAAAATTCAAAATTACTTGTAAATTCTAAGTTCCTGCAGATTTTATAATTCTGGTAAATTACTTGATGTCATTTTTTAAACAGGACAGTGTTTGTTCGTCGGAAAAAGTCAAAAGGCTATCTGGAAATTGTTCACAAAAAATACATCCTTTCCTCAGATACATTTGAATTTGGACCGCTCCTGGTTGGAAATTGTGTGGATAAGTAAGTTGATTTCAAAGAGAAAACTCATTTACATTTTTTACATTGAGTAGGTAGAAAGTTTGCTTAATTATTGCAAAAATATTTTCTTTTATATTTTTTATGTTATATTTATTGAACAACATATTTATCCTTTTGTTCTGCTATTTTATGCTATCAGGCAACTTCATAATTCCATCCCCTCAGAATTTTTTTATCTTCCTAAACAAAGAAAGAAAGGCTTACTGCCTTTCATAGTCTTCCAGAGAGATTGTACAGAGGTGCAATATTTGCCAAATACGGCAGATCAATGAAAAAATTCCTAAACAAACGGTAACAATTTTTGCTTAGCCACCAAAGAAATATATAATCTAAAATTATTCTGATAAAATATTAAACCTTTTCTCTGAAATAAAACTCATTGGATGGTTTCCAGTCTCAATGAATACTTTTCATTGATTACTGCCTTCAGTTGGTGTGATTGGGAGCAGTACTTGTTTGAATAAACCATTTGTTCTGCCCCCGAGAATATGTGTCTGTATCATACCTGTGTGTAATCTTGAAGAGAGCCAGATAAACACGTTAAGGCATTTAAGTAGCTACCTCCATTTTGTAGCTAAAAAAAAAACAGCATAGCATTATTAAAAAAGGCCCCAAACTTAAAATCAAAGTTTTATCATCAAAGTGTTTATGTTATTATTAAGAGGAAAGATCAAAGTATTTTTTCATTAAATTTTTTAATCCTTTCTAGCATGTTTGAAATTTTGGCTAAAAATTTTTTTTTTTTTGGTGTCAGCATAATATGATTAGTGTTTTTGTTTTTTTTTTCAATTGAAAAACATATTAATTTGAAAATTCTTGCAAAAACCAAATCATTGTTGGATTTAATAAAACTTTTAGAACTTATTCAGTGAGTCAGTGGCTCAAAAATGGCTGCTGCAAAAAGTGATTTTCTGATTGGTCAGAAAAGATGTTTTATGACCCTTTTATTGTTAGGCAGTATTCTGGAAATAGGTGCGTGCAGCTGGACAAAATCAATTTCTATTTTTGTCATATGAGCTGCAGATGTCAAAGTGAACATTTCCATTTTAGTTGAAGAATTGGAGTTCTGAAAGAATATGACAATAACTTACATAGATTTAAATTTATCTCTTAAGTGTATATTTATCTAAAGAGCCAGAATTTCATTTAAACACATCATTTCTAGTATGAACACGTCATTTCTAGTATGAACACATCATTTCTAGTATGAACATCAAAAGCATCCATTATGTACAGATGCACTATTTTCCCCTTTTTATATAGTAGATTTTTGGGGGTTGAATGGACACAGAAGAGTTGTTGTTTTTTGTTTTTAAATGCCACGTTTCTCCTGGGCATAGGCAGTTAGGGAGTTCTTTTTTCTTTTTCTGTATATTGCCATGACTGTTCTTGGGAAAGACTGTGAAGTGTTTTTTCATTGCTTTCTCTACTGTTTTGAATCAAAATTGTCCTGCCTTACAATTTCACTCATAGTTGATGGAATGAAAGAGATGGTTTGATGCATTTCCCAAAGATATTTCTGTAAAGTGAATGCAATAACATTGGCTGAAATTTGAACTTAATCATGATGATCCCATTTTCAATGCAGAAAACTGCTTTACTGATTGTACATCAAAATAAAAGTTTTTTTTTTTGTTTTTTATTTTAAATGTCATGTCCCTTCATGATGTAGGTGATCATAGCTTTTCACCGCTTTATTTTCCTTTTAATTACCTCTAAATTGCCATGACTTCTTAGGAAAGATAGTGGAGTGATTTCCCATTACCTTGTCCACAGTTTTGAATTCAAAGTTGTCCTCCTAGACAAGTTACCCTGCCAAGGTCTTCCCAGTTTCTGCCCTGCAGAGCTGGTACAGAGAAGAGACACATTCATACCTTTTCCAAAGGTATTTGTGCACAAGTCTGCACAACATTTGTGCCTGGAATTTCAAATTGGCTTTACAATAAAAATAAATAAAAGTGGTGTTCTAAAAGTTTTGAGCCCAACATTCTTAATGCCATGACAGCAGGAAATTTAATGCTTTAACATTCACTTGCTTAAACCTGCCCAGTAAATAGTGTCCCTCAAAGTCTCATTGTTTGTGTGACTTCCAGCATTATTTGAAATGTTGTCATATATTACAGCAAACCCACCATGGATCCCCTAGATTCAAAGACCAACTGAAGTCCTCTCCCATTCAAGCTAGAATCAGCATGAACGCCTGGGAAACAAAAGCTGCCAACCCTCCATCCTTGTGAAGAACAATTCATTTTGTTTGTTTCACTTTCGAGGAGAGGAGAAAGTCAAAAGAAGGACCATCACCCACTCTCCCATGTGGTCACTAACAGAGACTCTTCCATTTTCAACTCAGTCTCCTGAGCCATGCCAGATTCAAGCATTTTTGGAGGCACCCGATGAACCAAACTCAAACATGAGTGGTGTTGATGATGTTATATGGGGGTTGGTTGAATATTGGGAACTGATATTTATGGGGAAAGTTTGGGTGGGTTGAATGCTGAAGGGGGTTACTAATTTTGTTTTATTTCTGTTTAATTTTCAACGAAAACTTTTATTCTCCAATAAAAGCTGCTTTCAGGGGCTGTCCTTATCACAGCAAGTACTTTGAAAGATGTTTTATTTACTCCATCCCTAATTTGTCTTTGTCACTTTTCTTCCGATTAAAAGAAACAATTCCTATTTGTTTGCCACCACCCTTATATATTTTTAACTCTGTTCCATTTTTTGTTTTTCATCCAGGTACAAAGAATTCCAAGAGAATGTAGAATTTTTCAACATTGTCAACATCTCCCCGATGGAAGCAGAAGTCTATTTTTGTTTCTTGCAAGACAATAAGAGAGAAACATTTATGCTTGACCCACCAAGTATGACCTTAGCACCTGATGAGTCCAAGAAACTTTCTGTATGGGCATGTCCTCGTCAGCCAGGGCATTTCTCTGATGCTGTCGTCTGCTGTATTAGGGAGAACCCAGAGACTGTGATATTTAAAATAAGCTGTGATGGATTTAGACCTGAGCTGGAACTTGACAAAAGAGTTTTTCAATTTGACAAGGTTCTAATATTAAGGTTAGACATTTGTTCAAATTCATTTTTTATCTCTAATCAATGATTACAAACAATATATATATATATACATACACATGACCACGCTGCTGATAAATTACTGGTCATTTTAAGGGCTTCCAAAATATTTTAAAGTTTTTACTCATTTTTTTTTTAATCATTTCACCCCAACCAAGATAATAAAGCCACTAGAATGCAAGGGGCTACTGAGTGTTAGAGAATACAACAATAAAAATATACTATTAAGGAGAGAAGACAATAAAAGAACTGGAATTAAGAAAACAGAAGGTAACAATTAATATCGCATTCAATCATTTCATCCTAAGCAAGGCAATACAGCCACTAAGACACAAGCAGTTCCTGAGTGTTGGAGAATATGAGGAAAATATATTGTTAAGAATAGAACACAATAAAAAAAAAAGAATTATGAAGAAAGAAGACAGTGATTGACATTGCATTTAAAATTTTGAAGATCAAAGTTAACAGGGAGCAAGAAACTGAAAGAGCATTCCACAAGCAAGAAATGTGAGAGAAGAAACTGTTAGCATAGAACTTACAGTTATATCTCGCCAATTCAGCTGTAAAATGGTGAGACCTTGCCACCAATCTAGTACTGAGTTTAAATTCATAAAGTCTAGGTACCATAGAGGAAAGTAATATTTATTTTGCAAATACAGAAATGTTTCACAAGGCCAAAAAGGGTAATAGGGGAGGGTGGGTCTTTAATCTGTCTTAACTTAAACTCAGCTAGCCACAATTACTGGCCCAAACATACCCCAGTATCCTTACACCAAAACAACACATTCTTACTTACCATTTTTACAACAGCCACCATAATACCCCAAAGTCTCTATGAAATCCTAATTAGTTCTCATATGTACAATTTTTGGGGGATGGATCAAAATAACATCAAGATACCAAAGAGGAAAGATCATCCGAACAATTACCATGAAAATATTTATAGAAAAGGCAGAGGGAATCTACTTTATGGTGGTGAGAAAGTGAATGAAGCCAAATCTGGGGTATAAATAATTGAACATGGCTGGTACCTTTGAACACTTGGTTATAATGACTTATGACTTCATGATAATACAATCATCAACAGATTCTGAACAGTTTTGTCTATCTAATTTTACTCATAAGGCTTGAATCAATCTGTGGTATAGTTTTCAGGCATTTCTCAATGGTGCCACACACTGGGATCATCTCCTCAAGCCAATACTATAAAGTAGTGATGAATCACTCATGATGAGATTTGAACCCAGGTCTCAGGGTGGAAATGCTAACATTCCAACCACTTGGCAATATGTCCATAAAGAAAAGAGATATTGATCAACACTTAAGCACTTGTATTTTTTGCTTCTGGCATAAAAAAGTCATTCTTGAATAAGATAATTACTTTTAATGAAAAATAGATCTATTAGAATTGAGAACAAAGAAAATTATGACTTGATCCATGATTGCTCTGAATTGTCAACCTATTAGCATATATGTATTTTTTACTGTATTTTGTACAATTCAAAGGGAATTTATTAATATGAATCCTTCAAGAGGTTAAGCTTGTAGTAATTAGGTGAGCATCCACAAGGTAATAGTTCTGTGGGTGGGTGGGAGTTAAAGCTGTCTGAGTGGAACTTTATCCTTACAATTGAAATATGGAAGAACTGAGGGCAATTTGACTCATGTCCAAAACTGTAAAGAGTTGAACTGGTGAAACTAAAGAATGGAGCTCTTTTGAACATATGCCATGGAAATAGCAACAGAGTAGCAATTGGTTTTCAAGATTATGTTTGTTGAAAGGTGATTGCAGAATGGAGAATAAGTCTTCTCCTGCAAACTTCATAAACAATTTTGAATTTTATCAATGCTAGAATGTGAGGATTGAATAGCCTCAGCCTGAATATATCAGCAATAATTCATTTTTGGTTGAAGGGAGAAGGAGTCAGGTGCTTCCTGGAGCAATAGAATGAACAAACATTATTTTCAGTATCTTTAGCAATGAATTGTATATATGAGTTTCACTCAAGGTCTGTGGTGAATTTGCCAATGAAACTCTTTATGAAGACTGAGGAAAACATCAGCACATGCATTTTTTCTTACTCAGCAGTTCCGACAAATTCATTGAAGTCTCTTAAAATGGATACAAGGCCCAAGCGCTACTTGAGGTAGAGTGTTACAGAGTAAGAGTCACAGTTTATACAGATATGTGGACAAAATAACGACCGACCCTAGGCTTAAACAGGTTAAGACTGTAGTGGTTTTGGGAATTAGTCCCACAAATAAACCGTTCATGGGAAGAAGCTGCTTGAGTAGAACTTACATCTCACTAATAGAATATAAAGGGAATGAGGGTTGGTATGATACGGTGGGTGTGGCAGGGTGGGTCTTAGAAGTGGTGGAATTAAGGAATGTACCTTATTTGAGTTCTTTCCATGGGAATTGAGATAGAGCAGTGAGTGGCTTGTGAAGTTTTGTCTGTGGGGAAAGAGGTTGTAGGGTGGAAAATAATTCACCAGCCACAAGGACGCAGAGACACTTTTGGACTCTGTCAAGACTAGGAATTGAAGACTGGTCAGCTCCTGACTATATATGGCAGCAGTACTCCCTTATTCAAGTGGTCTGGCTCTTGTAAAGTTAGTGCATAGCAGGATGAGCCAGGCACCAACTGGAATGGTACAGGGAACCTGCTATTTTTCCAGCATCTTTAGCGATAGATCATATGCACAAGTTCCCTTTGAAGCCTTGGCTGAGTCCCAGTAGGCACTCAAGGTATGTGCCCTCCCTGACAAAATATTTTTTCATCACGATTGGTAAAAATTCTGGGTTCAATTGGTGATGGCAGAATGTAACTAGTTGGGTTTTTGAGGCATTGAATGTGATCAGCCAGTTTTTCATCCCTACTGAGCTGTTAGAGCTAGATCAGATTAGAGATCAGCTGCCAAGCTCTCGTCACCCAGGGACTTGGATGTACAGCCATGTATCATCAGCATAGATATTAATAAATAATCAGAGTATACTTGTAAATGTAGAGAATAACAGCAAGAGTCAGTTTTTTTTTTACTGGAGTGGTACAGGGAACTAACCATTTTCCCAGCATTTTTAGCAATGGACTTTATACATGAGTTCCACTTAAGGGGTCTGGATTGAGAGCCAATTGATGCTCAAGGCACAGTCTCCTTAAGGGAACACTCATTCATTATGATCAGTGACAGTTCAGGGTTCACTAAATGATTTGATGCTATGATACTTTAAATAATTCAAAGATTTTAATCAAAATATGCCAGAAACCTTTGCATCAACATCTTGTTAAAAGAACAAGAGAAAATGGATGAACCTATATTAGTTGACGAGTTGACTACGGTTGACCTCTGTTGAACTCTCTGCTTTGGCAGAGATGAACCCGGACGAAGCTTTGCCGAAGGGCAGGGTTTCGTCCGGGGAGGTAGACAGGCCCTAAACCCGTCTAGGCGGATTCAAAGGTTATATTTTTGGCTGAGCCTACGGGCTCGGGAAAATCACGTTAAACTCGGCCTTGTGCCACATGCAACCCTCGTGGTGGGGTGGCTAGATACCTATATTAGATTTTCATGTTAAAAGGAAATCCTTTTAAAGAAAGAAAGCAAATGGTCTTCATAGCAGAATATTAAGAAAATGATTAAAAAAATTGCTGCTATTTTTATTTTATTTTTGCAGAGAAGAGATGCGCACCATTTACCTACGCAATCGCACTCAAATGCCTGTAGCTTGGAAATTGATAGGAACTGAAAATATTGGCGAAGAATTCTCTGTGTCTGTCCATAGTAACGTGGTGGAGCCATTGACTGAGTATCCACTCCAGGCATTCTTTTGTGCTAAAAAACCTGTAATGATTACAAAAAAGCAGATCAAACTAGAGGTAAGACAATTTGTTCTCTGAAATTCACAATTGAGAGAATATTGCCATTAATTAATTCTTTTTATAATCATTTTGACCCAAGTAAGGCAATAAAGTCACTAGGATGCAAAGGGTTGCTGAGAGTGAAATAAACAGAGAGGACAATGAAAGAATAGGATTCAAGGAAATAGAAAATGATGATTGACATTGCATTTAAAATTTTGAAGATCATAGTTGGCAGGAAAGCTGGAAGCTGAAAGAGAATTTAACAAAGAATTGTGTGAGAAAAGAAAAAATTAGCATAGAACTTATAGTTACTGTTAAGTTCTATTCTATGGACAATATTTGTTACCCAGCATGGGGATTGAACTTACATTCTCCTGCTTATAAAAACTAAGGCTTTTTTTGAATTAATCTGTCTCTCTTGCTGGTTGGGATGGGTTCAGCTCAATTTAAACTCGTTTTTCTTGAGTAGGGGAGCACTTTCAGTTGTCTGGTGAATTCCTGTTTATTACTGTGTTGGACTAATTAAGTCTTGCATCAACAGTTTTCTGTTTCTGTTGAAAATTCATGTTCTTATTATTTTTCAAAGACTACCAAAAAGTTATAAGTTATTTTTGATTGCATTTCATTTAATATTTTGATTGTATTTTTTGTGATTTTTGTAGTTTGTTTTGTATTTTCAGTTTTTTTATTTCTTCTTTTTCTAGTGTAATGTCTTTTTATTTTTGCACTAGTATTTTGATTTATTTTTTATTTTTTGGTTTTAATTTTTTTGTAAATGTTTAATTTCTTTTACCAAAGACCAAGAATATATGGAAAAAAGAAGCATCTCAAAATAAAAAGATTATTGACAATGCTGAGGTTGGAGATTCGCCCTCTTGTTGGAAGTTGATGTCAGATAGTACTTTAGATGCAATAACATTAGCCACATGGCAAAAGATTGTCTGAGCCGAGAAAATAATCATGGACGAGGGCAAGGACAATGCAATACCATCCACTGTTACCATTGCCATACCATGAGCCATATGTCTCAAAACTGTCTGGGAAACCATGAGAAGAGATATGTCAGTGCCAGTATCTTCTCCAGCCCAGTACTACCTGTGATTGGGGTCCAGGTTGATGGCAGAACTGTCACTGCATTGGTCAATACTGGTTGTTCACTGTCTATACCCAGCAGAAAGATATGCCAGTCTTAGATGAAAGAGCCTGTATGCATAACAGCTATAGACCATGAGACCAGAGCCTGTTGTGGGATTGGAGTTGGTGCTCTCCGGCTGCAAGGTGGAAGTCCTGTCAATATTGATGTACTGGTGGCTTCAGCGAAGACACTTTGCTTTGGCCTCCTGATTGGGATGAATGAGATCAAGGATATGGGAGTGAGTGGGAATCACTTCTTCAGGTGTAGTAAAGTTCTTCAACAGAAAACCATCCCTGTGTTTGGCTCTCGTCATAGTGGAACCAGACTTTAGCATTGAGTTCAATTGAAAAAAGAAAGCATGGATGATGTCATGGAAGTGAGTCAAAACTCAGGCACCAGCAAGATAGCAGAGCATATGGAATATAACCAAGAGTTAGAAACATGGTTGTATAATGGCTGGTTCATAGCATATCCTGAGGAGGATCTCAGACCTCCCAAGGGTCTAGTTCCACTGATGGTTATTATCCAAGAGAGCAAGAAAAAGGATTACAGAGAGTTAAACAAGTATATAGACATATTCAAAGCAAGTGCAAATGTCTGAGCAGACAAGCTAATGGAATGGTGACAATGGTGGCACAATGTATCTCTGTTGAACTTTAGGAGAGTGTACCTACAGGTTCACATACACTGGTTGCTTTGACCTTTTCAGACAATTTTACTGAAAGGGTGGAGGTACTGCCTTACATGATTAGGCTTTGGCCTCAATGTGGCACCTCTTATAATGTAGGCAATTATAGAAACTGTACTGTTGCAGTATGAAGCAATCCAAGATGCCACTTTGGCATACATAGATTACATCTTCATTGACGAAAGTGTGCTTTCTGTTGCGCAAGTCAGAAAACATATGTCTGACCTCAGACTGATCTGCATTACCCACTGAGACTCAATGATGGTACACAATTGCTTGGTTTGCATGTTTGGGGAGAGTGTGACATGCTTTGATGAAAATGAGGGAGTAAGTTCCCAGACACTCCAACTGTTATCATGCGTCATAATATGTTCTTGTAATAAGCTCATAGGCCACCTTCCGATATGCAGTTGGCTTAGGGCAGCTGTGGCATTCTTGAAGTGACAAGCCACTGCAGTAACCAAAGGGTGATATGACAAGACCTTTGACATCCCCCTGAAATGCATGATCCATGAGATGGTGACAAGAGTGCACCAAGAAGACCCTGCAAGAAGTGGCCAGGAAATGACAGTGATTTTAGATGCAATTCTCAAGCTACTCAGGTGTCATTGGAAGTGGATGAAGACATTATGGAGGACACATGCTGGCTTCATTGTGATGGTGACACTCTGGACAACTAGGGACTCTTTGGGTGCTAATTGCAGAGTATGGCCTCACCTGGGAATTAGGGCTGGCAAAATCCAACCAAAATAAAGGTGACAAACTGTTCTACAGAGGTGGTTGGATTTGTTAAAGAATGACACTGAACCTATCCTCTCTGCATGTGGTGCAGCCATGAGAAAGCTGGGTCCATGCAAAATTATGGAAATGTAGCAGTCACTTTGTTGTTAAGCACACCACTTACTTTGTCAGACAAGTTGATCCCTCTGTATCTAACACAGCTGTCAAGATGGTGGTTCAGAGGTGTCCTGAATGCCATCCATAGATCTGGTACCAGTGCACTGGTAGAATGGAAGACTAGAGGTTTGCAGTACGTAGTCCAGGCTGGGGATGGATATTACATATTATGGCCACAGTCATTAACTGACCTTGATTGACTGTGGGCCAACATGGTTCTCTGTTTGGTGACCCATAGCACAACAAGATTAATTATTTGACAGTTGGAGTTGATATTTTATGAGAGAGGTCCACCATATGAAATCCTTACTGACAACAATACTGCATTCACCAGCAGGTCATCCAAGACTTTTATGGAAGAATGGGGTTATCCAGCTGCACTTTTGGTGTGTGTCTGTGCTGTCTGGAAACGGGATAATAGAAAGGTGCTGTAGGAGTGTAAAACAGATTGTGGCATGGAAGCAGTGCCCCGTACAAGAAGCCATTTACTGGTATAATACAATGCCAAAGGATGACACATCAAGCTTATGTGCACCAGCTAATGCAACTCACACATATGAGATTAGGATCAAGGGCATTGATGCTATACCTCATTTCACCATTGACAGAGCACAATGTTGACCATGTTCACCAGAGTCTATAAATATAGAATACAGCGCAGTACATAATCTTTTACTGAATCTGACTATATTACCAATACCACCAGCAGCTGTTCCATAATTCTTCAGTCTTCAATATCAAAGGCTGGCAGTGCATATTCAGGAAAAAACATGGCCGCCTTTATACATGTCGCATTGAATATTTTGAGCCTTCTGATTGGTTAACCCTTCTATTGGTGAACTATAAAATGGGTCAGCTCATTTTGGCTGGCTCACTAGTACACCAGGGTACCCAAAAATTCCAACACACAAGACATATGAAGTTGGAGATGTGGTGTGGGTGAGACCACCCCAGAACAGATGTACCACCAAATTTAAATCCACAATCAGTCCTGATTGATAACGTGTTATGTTATGTTAAAGACCTCCAATCAGCATAGGACCAATGTTCTGCCACAATGGAGTCAGATAGTGACATCAATGAAGAGGAAGTATCTTTGTTGTGAAGAAGCACCAAAAGGAAATACCTGCCCCATGCACGTTGGTGCTGTGATCAGGAAAACAGTGGGGAATGTAGAGAGAATTGTGTTAACTCGATAAGAGACTCAGAGTTGGTTGTGTGTGGTGCTTTAAGCACCAGGAGTGATGTCCTCTTCCCCAATGGGCTGTTGGGAGAAGAAGAAAATTACAGTAGGTGGCACTGACAAAATTTGCATATGAACAATACTGGGCAGGTATTAGCCAATAGTTAGCCTGTGTCTGGGACTGGGAAGGGCTATATAAGCACCAGTGTATTTTCCTAGTTGGGGCAGAGTGCTCTCAACATTTGGTTTAAATAGCAGGGTAGATTGGATTCTTTAGCCTTGAGTAGCAACCAGTCTAGAAGAAGGATAACTTTGAATTCAAAACTTGTTGGTATGATGCCAACAAAAGCACTCCATAAATAGCCTACTTGCTATGGAAACCACAGCAATGACACTAGCATAGTCAAGCTGGGGCCTATACTTCCATGTGGAGTAAGAACAATTTGCCTCTATATTGTCTAGTTCAGGGTTTTTCAAACTGTAGGTCCTGAGCCTTCTGTTGGCTGTGAGATAAATAAAATGTGTAGCAACAAAAAAGAAAGAAAAAGAAACCAAAAATATGCAAATGCAAGTGAGGTCAAAGTGCAGAATATAAACAACTCTAAATGTTGCACTGATCATCGGTAGTTTTTCACCCACCTATATTTTATTTTTTAAAATAAAATTATATATATATATATATAATATATATATATATATATATATTATAAATTTGCTAATTTAAAAATATGGTTTCATTGCTACAGGAATTATCATGTTTCATAAACAGAAACTAAAACTTCAAATTCAATTATAGAATTAAATTTAATTAATTTTAATTTAATTCTATAATTGAATTTGAAGTTTTAGTTTCTGTTTTTTGAAACATGGTAATTCCTGTAGCGATGGAACCATATTTTTAAATTAACAAATTTATAATATTTATGCTCTGTAGATTTGCATTGAATACTGTTTTGTAAAAAATAATTAATAAGAACACTGGATTATATATGTTACTGTTCTTTCTCTTTATTATTTATTAATAATAATAATAATATATATATATATATATATATATATATATATATATATATATATATATATATATCTGTTCTCATTGAGTTTATCTATCTTGTTTTGGGTTAAGATCAATGGGGAATTTCCACTAATGAGTAAAAAGGCTATTTGATTACTATTGTCTTTTGCATCTACTTGAGAGAACTGAAATTTTCTACTTTAACTCAATTTAAGACAAAGGACAGAAACTGATTCAACAGTGCAACTGATATGCATGTAGCATTGTCTTATTGTCTTCCAATTGGAATCAGCTGCTTATGAGCAAATGAACACATCCATCTCATAAAATGACATTTTTAAAAAAATATTATTTACTTTACCTTTGCATCAGAATTTCCTTTAAATTTGTTTTTTTTTTTAAATGATAATTTTATATTTATACAAATAGATAATACATGCAAGAGATTCACCTATTCAGTCAAAATTTCTTTGATTTCTTTTTTATATTCATATAAATAGATAATACATACAAGAGATAAATACCTGCAATATATTCGAATCATAAGAAATATAAATTGTTAATTCTAAATAAATGAACTGAGTGAACAGAGTTTGTCTTTCATTTATTACACGTAGGTATAATAAGTCGCAATGCAAAATGGGGTTCTTGCTGGGGGTTGCAGTAAACAAAAAGTTTGTAAAATGCTGGTCAAGCTTACCATTTTGAATTGGAGAAATAAATACAGCCATTCTTTCATCTCTTCTCTTCTCTTCTCTTCTCGGATTTATGGTAATTTATTTCATTGGAAACTTCTTTTTAGTGTCATTGAAAAACCAATGATAAGGATTCTTTAATGTTGATGGAAATTGCCATAAATTATGCTGCAAAATAAGCATTGTTTCTTTTCTTTTATTGATGTTTCTGTGACATTTTATTTATTAGTTACTTTCAAAAGAAAACATAAGGAAAGTTCAACTTTTCCTCTCCACCTTTAATTTTTTTAACAGATATCAGATGTAGACAATATAGTAAAACCGATTACAGAACAAATCAACATTGTGGCTGAGGCATACGATGTAGCAGTGGACATCAGTTTCCCTAAAGGCATTGCTTCAGGTAAGGAATGTGCTTATTTTGGGGATTTGGTATTTTATAGGGTTTTATTTATTGAAAATAATTATAAGAAGCTTAACCTGCAATTTGGTGTCATGTCAGTCATTCAACAATATTTTTTTCTCCTGTCCAGATGATGAGAGACGTCTTGATTTTGGGACTGTGCGTGTTTCAGAGGACAGCAAACAAGCACTGACTTTGAAAAACAAAGGAAAATATGATATTCTTTACAAGTGAGTCTGTTTTCCTTCATTGCTAAACATTTGCACAGACAATAAGTGCCTTGAAGATTTTTAATCAATTTTATATCACATATTGATTGTGCTATAGATTATATAGACTGATGTCTTCACACAGGGTCTTTGAGACAAATTTCCCTTATCCACCCTATTTTTAGACATTAAGGATTTTCTTTTAAATCAATTCACCCCAAGCCAGGTGATAATGCCACTAAAACAGGGCTTCTTGTTTCTTTTATGTGCCATATCCCTTCAGGAAGTAGGCAATTATGGCCCTCCACATCATCCTGTCCTTTGTAGCTCTTAATAAGTTTTGTCTTTTTGTTATTTCTCCTGAACCTTGTTCTACCATCCATTTACTCAAGCTCATCAAATTTGTTATATGCTACTTTCCTCTGTCCCACTTTCTCAATCTGTCCTGTGAGTATCAGATTTTCCAAGTCTTCCTTCCTCATTAAGAACCCCAGAAATTTCAACTGCCTCTTCCTGATGTTAAGTATAAGCTTCCTTTTTGTTTTCATTTTCTTCAAAACCTTGTTGTTGTTCACATATTCAGTCCATGGTACCCTCAGCATCTTTCTGTAGAACCACATTTCTGTTGCTTCAAGTCTCTTCTTTATCTTTGAGGAGATTGTCCAACATTCACTACTATACAGGGGGACAGATATTGTGTAATAGTTCAATACTCTTTTCTTCATTTCTAACAACATTTTTCTGTCTCTTAAGGAATTGGAAATTCAATCCTAAACAGGAAACAAGGGATTAACCTCTCCTTCTGTTTAAAAACCTGGGTTCAAATCTTGTCATGGTTGATTTATCAGTAAAGGTGACTTCTTGATGTTATTGGCCTGGGGAGATGATCCCATGTGTGACACCTTTGAAAAGTGCCTGAAAATCACACCATTAGTCAACCCAAGTCTTGGCAGTGAAATTGGATAGATGGAACTCTTTGGGAGTTGTCAATGGTTGTGTTCATCATGACCAAAGGTGCTGGTCTTGATCAGATTGTTGATCATGCCAGATAACATGCTCTCTCCTGGAAGCTATAACCAAGGTCTGCTCAGTATAGTTTCATTATAAACCACAGGTGAACTCTGTGGATGTTCACCAAACACAAATGTGCCTGAGCAGGTGTCTGCAACAGGGTAATTTTTGTGTTGGTGTACAACTCTTGACCAATCACAGACTTTCTTACACCAGTAAAATAATGCTACTTTAGATGAGTAGGTAGTTTTTGTTGTGAATTGTGGATAAAGATTTTTTACTCCTTTTTGATTTATGTCTGCTGTTATTTTTGACTTTGGAACTGTGAGACACATTTATGACCTTTGTAATTATGATCACAGACAGGGCTGGTGTGTACTACCCATGAATCCTCTGACCAGAGGGGCCCATGCCTGATTGGGGGCCTTGAAACTATTTCTGTTTTATCAACATTTGATTTTTTCTATCTACATTTATATACATTACAAATTAAATTAAGCACAACTGATGATTAAATAATGTCAACTTTTCACAAATTTTGATGCCATTCTGAGTTCTTTTTTTTTGTCCAAATCCATGAATTTGATTTGCTCATACTAAGTCTCAAAAAACACAATATAAAATTCACTATTTTTTTATCCATGATATTGAATGTGTTAAATTATTCAACTTTTTAACAAGAAAAATATCAACTTGAGGTTAACAATTGCTGCAAAACATTGTTGATTTAAAATGACATGTCTCTAATTTGTATTTGTAAGGATACATTGTATTTGTTTTCAATTTTTTCTAGTTGAATTGTTCACCTATATTGTATATGATCCATTATTGTACATAATTAAGTTAAAATAAAATGAACCTTATGAAAATTGAGATGTAGTAGAACAGAGACCCTATTATCACTGTGATTCAATTATGAAGTGAATTCACAAATGTTTTGCATTTGCAAGATATTAAAATCTCCATGGTTAATGTTAAGTGAGTCATTCAAAATGTACAGTCTCACTGAATGAACCAATTTTCATGATACAATTGTTGGCAGAGTTATGTGTTATCTGAGTGTTTTTTTTTTAGTTTATTAATGTTTACTTTTTTTTTTTTTTTTTGTAGCATTGTGCCAAATCCTGAACTACATGACAAGTCCTTGATATCATTCTTCACAGTGACACCAATGAGAGGTGTTTTGTCACCACTGGACAGACCATTTACAGCCCATGTTGTATTCAATACAGAAAAACAAATTACAATCAAAGATATCAACATCTTCCTTTGTCAAGTGATTGATCCAACCGGTGGAGAATTGGTTGTGGCCAATCTGCCTATTAAAATATCTGTGAAGGCTGTTTTTAGCAAGTGAGTTCTTAAAACTCTTTAGTCCTACTAGTAATCAAAATCACTGTATATATGTAGATGTACTGGTATGTATGCATGTAAGTATATATGTGGGTATGTGTTAGTATATATATGTGTGTTTGAGCCACATCACTTGAAAACATTCAACAGTAAAAACACCAAGAATTGGTAACATTATGACTAGAAGAGAAAATGATCATATTATCATGATGTTGACTTTCCACACAACTTTAAAAGGCTTGGAAGGAAACTCCCATCAGTAGTAGTAAGAGGTATAACAGTTAGTGGACTTCTTTTTTATGTGCTGTATCCCCTCAGGACATAGGCGATTATGGCTCTCCACAATTTCCTGTCCTTTGTAGCTCTTAATCAACTTTGTCTTTCTATTATTTCTTCTAAGCCCTTTTCCACCATCCATTTACTCAAACTCATTAAGTATGTTATGCATTGCCTTCCTCTGTTCTATTGCCCTCTATCTGTCTTGCGAATATCAGATTTTCCAAGCCTTCCTTCTTTTTTATTTTTTTTTATTAAATAGAATTAAGGTTTTTAGATAATTCTAAATTTCTTTTGAAGATTTATTACATATTATAGCAACAAGTATAAACTATTTCAGGAGGGATTTTTCATATAATATATTCTGAAGACATAGTTAAAAATAAGAATATGTAAAATTTACTCATATAAGATGAATTTTGACAGCTTGCATTTTACTGAGCCAAGAAGGCCTCTTCTATCAAGATGGTGCTGGGTAAGGAATCGTCTCTATTTTTTAATAAATCTGTCAATTATGATATCTACTATTGAAAACTGTTATATTCTGTGCTAATAGGAATATGGAATGGACAAACATGGTGGATAAATAGTAACAGGTTTATTGTAGAAACCAGTACAAGTAAGGAAGTAATAATTATGTGCACAGTCATTGCAAGTCAGTACAATTGTGTGTGTGCTGCTATCGGAAGGCCATTAGTTCTCACAGATCACAGCTCGACTCTGTTGTCTGCTATCTTAACGGATATTTATAGGTGGTTACCACCTATAGTGCCGCCACTTATGGGGGTGGCAGGTTATTCCATTACATCAAAAACAATACTTAAAAAATAAGAATTGAAGCTTAGCAAAAACATGAGAACTTGAAAATTCCAAATATGAAAAAATATGAAATTTTTTTAGGAAATTGTTGTAAAATATGGCAAGGGTGTGTTGAGGTTGGGGGAAACCAACTAACTGATTTCTCTCCCAAGAACTATGGGATAACAGGCAGAAATGGGAGGAGAGGAAAAACCCTGTCTCGGAAACCACAGCATGGTGAGTAGCATACAACTTGAGGAACAAAATGTCCAAGGGACCAACTTCCCAAGACACTGAGTCTCACCAACTGCCCACTGTTGATTGCTGGTTTTCTTTTCACTTTTATTGACAAGAGATAGTTGAGAGAAACCTGTATGTTGACAAGTTGTAGAGAGGCCCATATCTGGACATGCCTAGCTGTTCTGCTGCTAATGGAGAATACCAGATGTAACTGGTGTTGACAGACATGTCCACAAGCAATTCGGGTCCTCTTTTGCATCTGTATTGATGCGTGATGGCCACACATATTAATTTTGTATCTTCTTAGAATTACAAGTTATAAAGTGCCAAATTGGAAAATCATGCCATTTTGAAATCAGCAAAAACTGACACCAAATACCCGGTTAAGGCAGTGGAGAACTTTCAGAGGGGAATTAACAGGAGATAACTGGAATCCATTAAAACATGGCACATGGAACTAGAACAGTCTACCCCAGTGAGCGAAATAAAGGGTTCAGTTCAACATTCCAACCACACGAAGGTCGGAGCATACAACAACCGAAATGTTGTAATAAAAGATGAGGACAATAATGTAAATAATGGACATATATTACCTCAGCTCAGAAATATAGACAGATAATGCAGTTGAATGTAAGATTTGGGTCATTTAACCTCATTATTATTACTAAAATTAAAAAGACCATTTTGGTGGAAGTTAATCTTGAATAAATATGTGTATTTATTTTCTTGATTGGTTGAATTTTGAATGTGATCTTTGTTATGGATTTTTTTTCTTGATTTATGATCTTTTAATTTCATTTTTTGTTTTGTTTCTTGTGATTGCTTACTTTGGGGTAATTTTTGAATGTATATATTTGATGTTTTTTCTTTTTAATTTGATATTTATGTTTTGTCTTTTGCATTTTTTTTTATTGTTTTGCTTTTTATGATTGCTTATTTTTTACTTTATATTTTGTCTTTATTTTTTAAATTTAGTCTTGTTAGGCTTATTTTTTAATTTGATTTTTATTTTATCCTTTGGATTTGGGTTGCAAATCTCTGCAGAGTGTGTTTCTGTGTGGTGTGTTCTTCCTATTTTTTTCAGATATAATTGATTAAATTTCACTTTTTAAATTGATTGATTTTAAACATTGTGAAATTTTGAATAATTCCTTCAGTTACCTGTTGAATTTTAAAAGCAAGAAACTTGTCTGAAATTTTAAAAAGTTTATCATCTGTTATTTTTTTTTTCACTCTAACAACTACAAATATTGCTGGTCTTTCTTTTTGTCACAGGTTCATAATAAGTCCCGAGAATGACATCAATTTTGGCTTTTTAATGTTATCTGCCAAGAAAAATAGGACAATTACAATAGAGAACAAGGGTGAATTTGAATTTAAATATAGCCTTGCCAAAATGGTACGAGATAAAGATTTATCCAGTAAAATTAAAAGAGTGTAAGTATTTTTTTATTTATTGAATTTAATTGGAAACTGTCATCAAGAGAGTTTTCTTGACTTTTTGCAGTGAGAAAAAAAAGAAGCTAATATCTTAATATTGTCTTTAAACCCAATAGTTTCAAAATGTGTCACTTCATTCACAACTAATTTGATGCTAATACACATTTTATCACTGTAAAACTCAAGAACTGCTGCCATATCTGGGCTGGAGATGCACAATTCTAACTTTCCAGCATTAAAAGAGTTCAAAATCATTTAAATGGTTTTGTGGGGGAAGACATACTTTCTATCATGTAGCCTTTTTTCCCACAGCTATAAAATTGTAAGCCTATTGCTATTCCATTGTTATTTCCATAGCAAATATTCCACCAGTTCATACCTTTATGTGCTTCTTCCATAGAGTCAAATCAGTCTCATTTCCTCTGTATTCCAAATGTAAGGAGAGTTCTCAGGTTTTTTTCCCAAAGAATTGCTACTTTGTCAAGCAGATTCCCACACAGATTCTTCCCTGAATACTGTAATCTTAACCATCTTTGAGTCAAAGATCAGTTGTTACCTCTTTCTTTATCTTCACAATCTTTGCTTCTTACCACCTCCTCTTTCATTCATATCACACGCCTCGTTCATCATAACCATTTTAATATTAGCCCTAAACCTTCAGTGGTTCTCATGCTGTGTATTGGGTAAACTATAGTATAAAAAATAGTACAACAATTTATTTTCTGTCTGAATTTCTGGGGTGAAAAATTATCATTATTTACACAGTTTACATTTGATATCTACCTGATGAAGGCTGTATCATTGTGATTGCAACAACAAAGACAAGGACAATAGTCCTAATATAAATAGTGTAAATAATAATTTATCTATTCACACTTTATATAATCATTTATATTGTCATCATCCCCATTGATCAATAGAAAGGCTTTGTGCTTTTTTTTTAATTTGCATCTGCCTGAAATTGAATGTTGCATTTTATCTTGTAAATTCTTGGAATTCTGTGATTGGGATTGTGCAATGAAATTGGCTTTCAATTGGAATGCTCTTTAACCCTTTGAACCAATAACCCTAATATTTTGGGCACATGGAGATCAGGCACTCGTCATAATAACTTAATATGAGAAAATATTCACAACATTCCCTGCAATGGAGTGAGGCAGATAGCACTTTCTTTTAATGGAAGATTTCTACACCCAGGAATGAAATTTGAATGTGTTTTGTGATCAGTTTTTTGTTAATTTTTCAATGGATAAGACTGACAAAAACACTAATTGCAGAAAGGATAGTGGATTTAAACAAATAGTGTTTCATGTATATTTGGGGACTAAAGGTTCGAAAGTTTAATAAGGTTCCCTATTCTTGAGTTGTATTATCCCTTTAAAATTATCATATAAAAAAGGCTTTAAATTTCTGGGAAAATTAATGAGTATTTTCATTTGTTTTAAAAATCATCACAGTTAAAATTAATTAGATTTCATGTTTTCTCATTTTTAAAACTTTGTTAGCTATCCAATGTATCAGTGGGGAGGGGGAGATCATATACACTGAGTAATGTATCAGTAAATACTGTAGTGCCCACCACAGATGGTAAATTAATGAGGGATATTAAGTGCATTCAATAAAATAATCATAGGTGATGAAGGGGATCTAAATTTTCAAGAATAACACAAACGCCTGCCCAGAAAACACAACTGAAGAAATTCAGATGTGCATACAAAAATCATGCAGCAGTTAGCATGCAAATAAGGTCTGTAGTGGCAGGAATGCATAAAATTTGCAATGGTGGATGTTTTTTATAAGATTATGTTATATTCCATACTAATAGGACTATATACTCGAAAAAAAAAAACAAGGTAGATAAAATAAGTAAAGGTTTATTGTAAAAAACCAGTACAATAACAATTAAAGGTAACAGTTATGCACAAGGTCGTTGCAAGTCAATCCACTAGTGAGTGCTACTACTGGAAGGTCGGTAGTTCTCGTGTAAGTCTGAGTCGTACTCAACATATCCCAGCTAGTAATATTTACCAACCTCCCCACTGGGTAAGATGTGGCACTAGGCTGAATTTAATGTGGGGTAATCTGAGTCTGTAGGATTGGCCAAAAATTCCCCGCAGACCCCGTATAAAACGGGGTCGATAGCTGTTTTCTAAGACGAGACTCTGTCCTTTGACATAGTCTCGTCTGGGGATCCTCTATGCCTGGAGGCAGGGAGTTAGACCAGCACAGCTGGAACAGATCCCATCTAGTATATTTACTAACCTCCCCACACGATCAGATGTGGTACAAGGCCGGGTTTAATGTGGGGCATCCAAGTCCGTAGGCTCAGCCAAAAATTCCTGTAGACCCTGTATAAAATGGGGTCGGGTAACAGCCTTGTCTGGGGTTCCTCTCTGCCTGGAGGCAGAGAGTTTGACCAGCACAGCTGGAACAGGTCCCAGCTAGTATATTTAGCTCCCCCCCCCACGAGGGTTGCATGTGGCACAAGGCCGGTTTATCGTGGGTTCTCCGAGTCTGTAGGCTCGGACAAAAATATTCCCTCTCGAACCCGTATAAACGGGTTCAGGGACAGTGTACCTACCCGAACGAGACTCTGCCCTTCGGCAGAGCCTTGTCTGGGTTCCTCTCTGCATTCAGGCAGAGAGTTCGACCATCTAGCTGGAACAGGTTGCAGCTAGTCTCTATAGTTCATTGACTTACAAATACATATAGGCAGTTACTGTCTATAGTGTAGTCACTCATGGGGGTGACAGGTTATTCCATTACATCAAATTATAAAAAAAATAGTTAAATAAATATGAAAGCTCTCATCATGCACTGGAACAGGCATTTTTGCCACCAATTGAAGCAGAAATAAAATTTCCTCACTCTTCATCTTCAACTGTCAAATGAAGTAGATCTCCAGGGACAGCCTTCCAATATCACATGTTGTTAGCAAACAAATAAGCATAAACTTTTAATCTCTGTATACGTATATGTCTGATATATAACATTTTATCTGAAATGTATGCTAAAGCCTTTTATCATTTTTGTTTGCATTTATTGTTTTGTATCTTGTATATGAATTCTTTGTCATTTTTATATTTCCACTGTGAGGCTGATGATGACTTTTTAACCGCTAAAAGCAAAACAACTACATACATATATAAAAAAAGAAGTACATTCACACAAGGCTAACATATGATCAGAACAATCACACAACACATGTCCAAAGGGTAATCAAATTCAGACTTTCTTCAAAAATAATGTTTTTAAGAAAATATACATACATACATACATATAGACACACACACACACACACACACACACATACATATATAAACGCAGCATATCTTCATTCAAATAATATAGACATATTATATCTATTTATTTTATACTGATCCTTTCCTGTTCTCTAATCAGTTTCTTGATGTTACGATGAATTTCATTAAGGAAGATTTTTTTTTAATAAGCAATTCACCCCAAGCAAGGCAGGAGTGCCACTAGCATTCAAGGGGTTACAGAGAGTGAGAGTAAGAGTAAAGAGGAGTGTTTGGGAAAAGGATGAAGAGAAGGACAGGGATCAAGGTCAAGGCATCATAAGATGTCGACTGACATTACATTTGAATATTTGAAGATTGTAGCTATCAGGGAAGCAAGTGATAGGAAGGGAGTTCCACTGATAGGAGGTGCAAGATAAGGATGCCGTAGTTTTTTCCTGTTCAAGTACTTTCAGTTTTCTACAAGATTATGATGAACATCTTAAGATCAAAAACCTGATTAGAGAACAAGAAAAGATCAGTATAAAATAAATAGACATTATTCAATGTTAATTATTCAATGAAATATATATGTATTATAGAAAGGCTGCTTCTTTTCAGGATCCTCTTTGCAGAATGAATAGATTGTTTTTCTTGCTGAAATTGTCTGCTCTTTGTGATGTGAAAAAAGATTAATTATCTGGTTGAATCAAATCTGCCTTCTTTAAAATGAGGAAGATATATTTTCTTATGGAATCAGGCCTGTCATCTTTCATCTTCCCATCAGTCTAAGTGCTACAACCCATTGAAAAGCATTCTCTTGTTTCACATCAAAACCATCCATAACAGCTAATCTCTCCTCATACAAGATTCAGAGCAAAAGACAAACAATATTCAGTCATTCTACTTAAATATACAACATTGCTCAGTTCTTTGAGGACATTTGCATGAATTTAGTAAAAGACATAGGAGTCATGAAAGAAGAGCTTTATTTGAGAAGAAATTGGTAGAAATAATGTTGAGACTAAACCACACAAGAAGAACACAAGCTATTTTGGCAATTAACAGACAATGGCAGACACCAAATTCGAATTAAAATTAATTCCCAAGTTTGATGTATCAGCATCTGGTCTTCCAGTAGTTGAATGGATAGAGAAGCTGGAACTCATTTGCAGGATATGTGGAGTGAAGTCCTTGGAGATTTATGCATGGAGCATTTGCAGTTTACCAACAGTTGGATAGCAAAGCAAAGTCTCACGTTGACTGGACAAAGACTGCCTTAATTACAGCATTTGCTATGGATTCATTCATGGCATATAAACAATTCACTGAGCAGAACCTGTGGTATGGTGAATTCATGGATGTATACCTGGCTGAATTGAAGAAAGTCATTTTCTTGTTGGGCAGGATGAGTGACTGTATGCTGGTTTGCACATTTGTGCATGGGTTGCCAGGTGATGTAAAGCGGACCCTCCGTGCATTGTTTAGCATGGGCACGCTCTCTATTGAGCAGCTGCTTGCTCGAACCAGGGCGATTATGAGAGACAAGGAGATGGAGGATGTTGTGGTGGCACTGGCAGCCTGAACAATGCAAAGCATGGAAGTTGATGTCAGAAAATGCTTTTGATGCAATAGTATTAGCCACATGGTAAAAGATTGTCAGAGCTGAGAAAATGATAGGGGACAAGGGTGAGGACAACACAATCTTATGCGCTGTTATCATAGCACACCATGGACCATATGTCTCAAAACTGTCTGGGAAACTGTGAGAAGAGATATGTCAGTGCCAGTATCTTCTCCAGCATTACCTGTGATTGGGGTCCAGGTTGATGGCAGAACCGTCACCATACTGGTCGATACTGTCTATAGCCAAAGGGCTTGTATGCATAATAACTATAGACAGAAATTGTGGGATTGGAGTTGTTCTCTGGTTGCTCTCTGAAGTCCTATCAAGATCGATGTATTGGTAGCTTGAGAGAAGCCACTTGGTTTCAACCTCCTGATTGAATGCAATCAAGGAACCAGGGGGAGTAGGAATCACTCCTTTGGGTGCAGAAAACCATCCCTGTGTGTGGCTCTCAACATAGAAGAACCAGAATTTTCTATCAGAAAAAGAAAGCATGGACAGTATCATGGAAGTGGGCCAAAAATCAAGCCTACAAAACAAGATAGCAGAGTATCCTGTGTCCGAGCTAGTACGTAAGGAATATAACCAGGAGTTAAAAACATGGTTGGATAACGGCTGAAACGTACCATATCCTTAGGAGTAGCTTTGGCCTCCCAAGGGTCTCTTTTCACTGATGGCCATTATCCAAGAAAATAAGAAAAAGGTACGCCATGTAAAGAATTACAGAGAGTTAAACAAATATGTAGACATGTTCACAGTAAGTACAGATGTCTGAGCAGACAAGCTAATGGAATGGGGACAACGCAAGCAGAATGTATCACTGCTGGACCTTAGGAGAGTGTACCTATAGGTCCTGCACAGATTGATGGCATACTGCATCATGTTAAAGACCTCTGACTGGCATTGGACCAATGCTCTGCTGCAAGTGATTCTGATGACTCATCCATGAGCAATAGGGAGTTGGAAGTAGATTCCTGGATGTTCGATGTGCCTCCTGATGTGGTGGAGACAGATAGTGATACCAATGAGGATGAAGTATATCCTTCACATGGTGGCAACAATGAAGATGGAGTACCTCCTCTGCAAAGGAGCACCAGAAGAAAATGATTTCCCCTTGTATGTTGGGGCTGTGATCAGGAGATCTATGGGGAGTGTTACAGAGAATCAGATGAACCCGATAAGAGACTCAGACTTAGTTCCATGTGGTACTGTAAGTACCAGGAGTTATGTCCTCTTCCACAATGACCACCTACTTAGAGTAGGTGGCACTGACTATTTGCATATGAATGATACCAAGCAGGCATTAGCCAATAATCAGCATGGGTCTGAGACTGGGAGAGCTATATAACACCAGTTTTTTTGTCAGTTGAGATAGCACTCTCAATGTGTGAATGTGCAAAAACCAGACAAGATGAATAGACATCTATCTCAATCCATTTCAATCTTTTCATATCTATTTCTGTCTATTTCAGTCTCTTCATATCTATCTTGGTCCATTTTGATCTTTTTATATCTATCTGTCCATCTATCTATCTATCTCATTCCATTTCAATTGTTTCATATTTATTTTTCTATCTATCTATCTATCTATCTATCTATCTAGCTATCTATCTATCTATCTATCTATCTATCTATCTCAGTCCATTTCAGTCTGGGTTTCCCATATTACTCACTGTAAATGCACTTTCAATCTCTTCATTATTTGGGTTAAGAATGTTATTCTTTAATCCACTGTGTAATGCTGACACTTCCATGCAAAAACTAAGGTACATAAGTGTACTCCAATTTTATTCTTAACTGCCACATATGATTAATAATTAGGCTGATATATTCATCATTACAATTGGGTCTCAAAAACAAAAATTACTTATGATTCAACCTGATAGACAGATAGATAGATAGATAGATAGATAGATAGGAACAGACTGAGATAGATAGATAGATAGATAGATAGGAACAGACTGAGATATATAGATAGATAGATAGATAGATAGATAGATAGATAGGAACAGACTGAGATATATAGATAGATAGATAGGAACAGACTGAGATAGATAGATAGATAGATAGGAACAGACTGAGATAGATAGATAGATAGATAGATAGATAGATAGATAGGAACAGACTGAGATAGGTAGATAGATGACCTATTTTTCATCACCTGTTATGATACTTTTGAGTAATGGTCAGTTATGACCAGTTCCCTCATACCACTGCAGTATGTACCTGCCTCCACCTGCTATTCTCTACCTGACAAGAGCCAGATCAAGCTGAAATATGAGTACTGTTGTCATATATGGGCATTAACTGCCCAGTTTTCACTTTTCATTATCACTAGAGATCAAAACCATCTCTCTGTTGTTGTGGATGATATATATTATTTTCCACACTATAACCCCTTTTCTCGCAGTCAAACTGTTGTCAGCCCCTTGCTGCTGTATTGTTATTTCCATGGAAAGTGTTCAAACAAACGGCACTCGTTAGTTTCACCAGTTCTAACCCTCATGGTTAACACCTGCACATTGAAATGAACCACCCTCATTTCTTTTGTATTCCATGAGTGAGATGTAAGTTCCACTCAAACAGCTTCTCACGAACCACTGCTTTGTGGAACCAACTCTCAAGAAGATGCTTCCCTGATTGCTACAACCTTAACCAGTTCATGCCTAGGCTTAACCATTATCTTTCACATATATCTCTAAAAACTGTGCCCCTTACTCTATAAGCCCCACCTCAAGTGGCTCTCAGGACTTGTACAGAGTGAACATCATTGTCTAAAAAATGATGATACATTTGTTATTACAACTGCTTCCTTAAAACAGAAATTGTTTATGATTTAATGCAGTGTTTCTCAAACAGTGTGGTGCATCTCACATGTGCGTCGGAAGAGGATAGCAGGTGAGACGGAATGATTGAAAGACAAAGATTTAGAAACAGTTTCAAAAAATTCATATGCCAAAAATAAATATGATTATGGATTACTTGTAATTGTATGCATGAGTCCTAGAATAAATAGTTATAAATAATTATTGACCGATTTTATCATTGTGATATTTTTTCATTATATCATGTATTAAGAATAGAGTAACTAGGATCTGCAAATTGGAGGAGAGAGTTATCAATGATAATGTTCTGAGTTTGAATCTATGGTTATCTCTTTTTGAACATCTCTCCATTTTTTTTAATTTTTAAATGTACTTATCACATAAAATTTGGTTATGTTTGAGCAAATTTTCATTCCACAAATGCAGCCTAGAGAAAAAGTTTGGGAACCGCTGGTTTAATCTAACAAATCTAAATGCCAATAGCTAAATATTTTTCTGAAGACAGAATTTACTGTGAAAATCTTTATAAGTAAATACCAATTCTGATAATTTTTTTATGCCCCAAATCAAAATAATTTCAGATTTCTATAAAATTGCAGATATCCTATTTTTTTAAAGAGATATATGCAGCAATGCCTGTAGCTGCAAAATTGGTAGAGTAGCTTCATTTTAGTTGTCAAAATGTTTTGGGTTTGTTTTTTTTTTAACTATGACCATAGAATTCTTATGCTGATTATCTTTGTATAAAATATAACACTTTTTTATTTTTTCTCACAGACCCGAACCAGTGACTGGAGTTCGAATGATGATTGGCATGTTCTCCATCTTTCCAGCTTCTGGAAATGTCATGCCTGGAGCTCAGCAGGTCATCAATGTGGAATGCTCAGCTGATAATATCAGCATTAGTGATGAGGTAATGTTTCTTTACATTTCTGTTTGAATTTTCAGGATGAGGAGTTATTGCTTACATTTGGAATAATATCCTCATGTTTGTTGTTATTATCACAATCTTTGTTGTTGTTGTTGTTATCAGAAAACGTTTTGTCATTCTGAGATGGGGAGTTGCAATTTTTTAAATTTGAAATAATATTTCTATTTTAGATAAGTAGATTTTATATTAGAAGATCGATATGGATTTTCAATGTATTTCATAATTTTGATCATCCAAACTGCATCAACATGAATAAATATTGGCAATATTCACATTCGGATTGTAGTCCTCATTGTTGTTGTTGTTATCACTACATTTAGGTCATTATAAATCGATCTCAGTAACCTACAGGGAATTCCAAACTGAATCTAAGTCTAGATCTTATTTTCAGTCATTTCTCGCCCTGTTTTCCACTGAGTTGAAATACTCATTACCTTTCCAAGAGAGTGAACTCAAAATTACAATGTAACCAAATTCATGAACCCACACTTTAATCCACTCAGCAGTGAGACAATTCTCCATAGAGAACTTGGAGCCTTAAACCTAACCTGCCTACTGATGAGTGCTGCTGCTGCTTATCATGCTTGACTGCACTCACTGAAGCTCTTCTCTCTTTTATTCCAGCTGCTGCTGTTTTTGTTTGTCTTTCTTCATTAGTAGCTCTTATTGTCTTCATTTCTATGCTAGGCAGAAATGAACAAATATCTCTTCTTAAAAAAATACTTAAAGATGTTTATGAAACATTGAATATGAAACTTTATTTTTCAGGAGATATGCATCGACATATCAGACCGGGATCCCAAACTATTTCCACATGGCATTCCTTACCGAATTCAAGCAGAAAGCTGTATTCCAGCCATTGATATGGATGACATTGGTGCTATCTTCGAAGAACACCGAATCTGCAAGAGCCTTTCTCTTTGGCAACATTACAATAAAGTAATTAGCTATATTTTTGCCAACTTTATTGAAACATTTTTATGCACTGCAAAATATAGATTTTGCTAGAGACATTGTCGATAACCTTCAAAATTGCTCCGTCTAAGTCAAGGATGGTAACAAAGTAAAGTAGTTATGCCAAATATTTGAAAAGAATTTACATTGATCTTTCTTATATTAAATTCCAAGAAAGTGATTTCATTTTTTCGATCATGTGACCTTTTGTTTTCTGTTTGCAGCTGGAAAGTGGAGGCGTCTATGGGGAGATGGAGAAGAAGTTCATGTTCAATAATGTACTTGTTGGTAAAAAGTCCAAAGCTCGCTTCAAGATCATCAACAACACAAAGGTTCATCTTATTTGACTCCCTTAAATCAGAGCCTAAAAAAAATTCCTTTAAAAGTCACATTTCGAGGACATAGCTTGACATGTTAAATTTTTTTTGATTTTTGATCTGAAATGTTCACTGTATAATATTCCACCTAAATTATTAATATTCTAAATTGAATTAAGTGCATGAACAAAGAAGAAGATTATGTTGAAAAATAAGTGTTTCTTGTGTAAATCAAGTGCTTTTTTCAATATCACTGTTGACATATTGATATATCTGCAAATGTAAAAATTTTCAGATAAAGCATATGTGCAAAAAGAAAATGAAAGGAAAACTTAACTGATGCATTTCATCCTCTGAAGGACTTTATCCAGGTCAATGTAGGGAATTTATTTTGTGATAAGTATTTATATACAAGATAATAATGTTTGTTTTTCAAAGATTTTGGTATAGTGGTGACCATTTCCTGCCAATCTGACGGATATTCTTGAGTGCCCTCATACCAAAAATTTTGAAAAACCAATAACGTCTTTGCTCTTGTATATAAATACTTGTCACAAAAGAGGATGAAACACATCAGCTAAGATAAGATTTCCTTTAGTCTTTTTTTCATATCTACATATATAAGTGTGGCCATACATGAAGTGATCTATACAGTGGTACCTCAGTTATCAGCCATAATCTGTTCTAGAAAGTCATCCAAAAACTGAAAGGCACAAAACCCAGGTTTGTTATTCCTTTAAGATATAATATAAACCCTTCCACACACCCAAAAATCTTGACAACAGATACATTTTATACAGAATGACTTCAGTTTTGAGTGCAGAAAACAATAAGAAATAAATATAAATGACAAATAAATAGAATAAATGAATGTTTAACTTCCCTTTACGTTTACTGAAGATTTTTGTTGGTATATGTAAGATGGTGAGGAGGAGGCAAGTAGGGAGTAGAGGTGTTATTGTTTGGATGGGGAATACCCCCCCCCATAAAGACTTTCGTTAATTCTTTTTCTAGGTTAATTTCCTTCTCTGTTTCATTGTGCTTGGGGAAGTCACACAGCAAAAAGGGAACAGGAATATAGAGATTTTCCTTGTTTGATAACCAAGGAGATGTACAATTTCTGAGACATACTTTTGCCAAAAAAAGTGAACACTAAGCAAATCGTACAGTAACAGAGATGCTTGATAATCGAGGTTTCACTGTAAATGCAGTTTGTTGTGAATATGGATTATCTCCTCTTTGATAATCCAAGCTATAAAAGCTGTACATTTCCGCTTGTCAAGTAGACGAGTAGTAAGATTACTAGACAGAATCTCTTGTCCTGTTTTCATTATAATTTATTCAATTAAGAATGGAACAATTTATGCGACCGGAGCGATTTACCACAGATCCAGAAAGCGATTCAGCCGACAAGTGCTGGAAACATTGGTGGGAGACTTTTACAAATTTCATTGAGGTTCTACATTCAGAAAGACTGGGACGTCCCATCAATAAGCATGCGCTCCTAGCCAACTACCTGTCTCACACAGTCAACGAAATTATCTCGGATTGCGTTACCTATGAAGAAGCAATCGATGTACTGAATGCTACATACATAAAGCCCAAAAATGAGATATTTTATAGACACCTACTTGCGACTCGCCGACAAGAATCAGGTGAAACATTGGACCATTTCCTTAAGAGCCTTCGGACACTGAGCAAAGATTGCAACTTCTGCCCAATGACGGCATTAGAGGCCCAAGAGCAACACATTTTGGACGCCTTCATTAACAGCTTACGTAATACTCAGATAAGACAACATCTTCTTGAGAATACGACCCTTACACTTAGCACAGCTTACGAGTTGGCATATATCTTCGAAAGTGCTATACAGCAGTCTAGTTCTTATTTACAGCCAGACACCGTGGGCACCGCGTTAAACCCACCTGTTCTTACTACCCCCCCTCATAACGATAATCCGACGAAATTTCAAGAACAATCAGTCACTGCCGCTTTAAAAAGGGACACCTGCTATTTTTGCGGCTTATCTAAACACCTACGAGTTTCATGCCCTGCCAGAGAGACTCGTTGTCATAAATGTGGAAAACTTGGTCATTTTTCAAAGGTATGCAAGTCTTCTAAAACTCTATACAAAGCCACTCGTCAAAATATATCTGCAACTTTAGCCGCCTCCCCCGACTGCCTTTCAAAAACTATTGTAAAAGTGAAAATTAACGGGAGATCTACAAATGCCCTGCTCGATACCGGGAGCTCAGAAAATTTTATCAAAGAAAGCTTGGTAAAAAGCAACAAATTGTATTTGACTGTGCTATTGCTGCTTCTTTGAGACAAGCTGATCGTCCTGTAGCCTTTTTTTTCAAGGACCCTCTCACAGGCTGAACGACGACACCCCGCAATTGAAAAGGAAGCCTACACCATACTCGAGGCATTAAGAAAATGGCGACACTACCTGATCGGACGCCACTTTAAACTTATTACTGACCAGAAATCAGTTGCTTTTATGTTCAATTCTAAGACTACAAGTAAAATAAAGAATGAAAAAATAGTGAGGTGGAGAATTGAACTATCTTGTTTCTCCTTTGACGTCAGCTACCGACCTGGCAAGGAGAACTTAACAGCTGATACACTGTCAAGAGCATGCTGTACGGCATCAAGCGGGACGAACTCCGAACGCTACATAACAATCTCTGTCACCCGGGCATTACTCAAATGGTTCATGCTGTGAGGTGTAGAAACTTGCCTTTCTCAGTGGAGGAGGTAAAAAGAATTACAAATTCCTGTCGAACGTGTGCTGAAATAAAGTCTCGGTTTTAATAAACCCAAAACTGGCATTTTAATAAAAGCAACACAACCGTTTGAAAGACTCAATCTTGATTTTAAAGGACTGGTACCAAGCAAAACAAGGAACCGATATATATTAACAGTTGTCGACGAATATTCACGGTTTCCTTTTGCCTTCCCTTGCTCAGACATATCGGCTGCTGCAATTATACAATGCCTCTGCTCACTATTCGCCATCTTTGGAGCCCCTGCCTATATACATTCGGACCGAGGGGCTTCTTTCATGTCAGAGCAGCTTCGACAATTTCTACAGGAATTAAGAATAGCTATAAGCCGGACAACTCCCTACAACCCTAAGGGTAACGGCCAATGCGAAAGATATAACGGCATTATTTGGAAGACCGTTCAATTGGCTGCCTCAAATAACGGATGTTCGATTGATAATTGGGAAGATCTCCTTACTGTCGCATTATACGCCATTCGATCCCTATTGTGTACCGCCACGAATGCCACCCCACATGAAAGGTTTCTACCTTTTCAGCGACGGAGTTCGGCGGGAGCTTCACTTCCATCTTGACTCTCTCGACCCAGTACTGTGTTTCTGAGACGACATGCACGTTACACCAAGAACGATCCCTTGGTGGACGAGGTAGAGCTTATAGAGGCGAACCCCCAGTACGCTCTAGTACGACATGCAGATGGTAGAGAGTCTAATGTGTCTCTCAGGGACCTAGCACCGGCCGGAGACGTACCCGGACCGTGGATAGCCCCTGAGGACAGACCTACTACCCTGACACTGAAGCCCCTCCAGAAGATCATGGCAGTGAAATTGCTCCTGACAGGTCGTCTAATGATACTGTCTCCGTTGAGGCTCCGTCAGACACTTCGGATGGGCCAATACCTGAATCCCTGAGAGATGAAGGACTAGCACCAAAAAAACGTGTTCATCCAGAGACTGACTTTGACGCAGAACAGCCTGCTCCTCTGAGAAGGAAACATTTCGGAGCAAGGTATTTTAGAGCCCACAGACAGGCTCGCACTGAAGAGCCTCCCTGTTCGAGTACTCCGACCACGAATCATGGACTGCCGAGGCGGCCACTGCGAGCTCGTAGGGAGCCTGGACATTTAAGGGACTTTCTTCCCTATCAGTGAGAAATTTGGTGGGGGAGAATGTTGTGAATATGGATTATCTCCTCTTTGATAATCCAAGCTATAAAAGCTGTACATTTCCGCTTGTCAAGTAGACGAGTAGTAAGATTACTAGACAGAATCTCTTGTCCTGTTTTCATTATACAGTTAATAAAATTCTGTTCAGAAATAAGATAATTATAAAAAAAATAGTTTTTAAAATTTCTCAAAATTATTACTAGTTCTTTGATAGGATACAGATTTTGATTTGTATATTATGTATAATGCCTCTTCAATACACGGGTGGACGTGGTTCTCCACAGCTTCCTGTCATTTATTGCTTTGAATAATATCCCTCTTTAACTTTGTGGTTCTTATTACTTTTTCTATTTGCACAAATTTGTAAAGTCAAATACTTTTTACATTTCCTCTGCTTCTATTGCCTTCAATGGTGCCCTGTGTGTATTAAATCCCCCAAGCCTTCTTTCCTTTTTCATGATATGTCTTCAAAATTTGCATTGTCTCTGATTTTTAGCAAATGTCATCAGTGCTTAACATTTACACAGATCCTCACAACACTTTCTTTCCTCTTCTCATGATTATGAACTGCATGTGTGGGAGATTATCAGGTTGACATCCCGTGTCTTCACATGTCTGCAGGTTGCATGCTTTGAATGATTGACCAGCACTAAGGTGTCCATGTTTTTGGTGATGACAACAAGATGTCATGCATATCTTGTTGTCCTCTCCCTAATGACCACTGGTAGATCATCAGGTTGGCATCCTTTTTCTTCACGTATTTGCAGATTTTCAATGATCAACCAGTGTTAGGTAGGCCATGTTTTGGTCCCACAATGGAATGTCACTGATAAGCTTTATTCTTAGTAATCCAGGAATGTCTCACAGATCTTGTTCTATCCTATTTTCTGTACATGTTTATTTTGTATATTTTAATTTAATTATTGCAAAATATGAAGATTATGAGGCAATCACCAATTCTGTACCTGGCTAATATCTTGCCGATTCCACAGATCCTCATGATTCTTTCTTTCTCGTCTTCATAATTATCGACCACACCTGGTAGATTTTCATGTTGGCATTCTATGTCTTCACATATCTGCTTGAATTTTTTAACATTATCAAATGATTTTGCAAAAAATTTAACTACATTCATATTTGTTTTATATTCATGGAAAGACTGATGGTTTAAATTATATTTGCAGGTCCCATGTGATGTAATAATGAACCTGAGAACTCAAGCAGCTCGTGGAAGTGGGAAAACCCAACACCAATTGGAAGCATTTGAAATTGAACCAGTGAAAGCACAGATATTAAACCATGGCCATATATTTGTCACCGTAACGTTTGCCCCACAAACCATGCAGGTATGTGGCGTCATAATCTTGGCATCAGCAACCGTAATTGTTTCTTGGAGTTTTGATGCTTTTTATTAGGGTCACAAATTTTTTTCAGAACAGGAATTAAATAAATGCCATGAATAAAATAAAACAATATTTTAACAAAGTAGATATGTGATTGGCTTGGTAGAACATATATATGAGGATGTTTAGCGTTACATTTTGTGTATCATGGAAAGAGAAGAAAACAAGGAGCTCTGTGGAAAACAGCAAAGGATGATGCAATCAGTACAGATTACAAGACTATGATTCATTAGGTACATTTAGAGGGAGAAAGAAGATTTGTTAAATAAAGTACTCCTGCAGAAGCCTAAGCTGTATAAGTTGTAAGAATTCTGAATCCTTGTCACAAGTTATAAATTGCCTGAGATTGAATCCCTTGTCACCATTGTTATAATGCACTTGATAGCAGTTAATGTAATGTTTCGGCTACTTTTCTGTGACACCTGTAGTAATTAGTTTGATGAAGACTGACTCTAAACAGCTTCTTCTACCTCTGACCTTTATTGATAGTTATGGACTAGTTCATACAGTCATCGGGGATGTACTATAAAATTATGCCACAGTAACATAAAACATTTTTGTGCAAATTATAAAATTTTTACTTTCCTACCAAAACTGAACCCTTGTGCCAGACACAAAACCCAAGTCATAAGAGGCACAAACTTTTAAAATCAAAACAACCAGTGCATAAAATTTCAAAAGGAAAACATATTTATTTCCAGTTTATACAATTATGAAAAAAGATAAAATACAGGTGTTGCACAAAATTTTCTTTCTGTACACCTCAAAGGCAGGATAACAATTTCTAATGTAACAAAAAAATGGATTACCCCCAGAAACAAGAAAAAAAATTGTCACAATTAGAAACAGATTCATATACAAAACATTAATCCCTTTAAAAATAGAAAAAATGGCAAAAACCTGAAGAAAGGAATAAAAAAAAATGACACAAGGCAGAATTTTTTCAAATAACACTCACCTCCATTCTTAACAGTTTACACAAACAGGACATCTCAGCTTGAAGGAGTTTTTTTTTGTGTTTTCAACCAGTTTTCTCCAGGGCTTTTTGAATATTGCCACACAATTCACTTGTATCTTCAGTGTGAGGAATTCTCCAGTAGGCTCATAAAGAATTTAAGTTTTGGAGTAGAAATCTGCTTCGAATCTGTCAGCTCTGATTTATGACTTCTGGCTGGACCGTCCTTTGAAATGCTGGTGCTAATAGTCTCTCCGTTCTCGTCAACTGCACATTCTTTTTCTCCTGTCTGTTCTTCTTTTCATCTACTGATAGCAGTCCTTTTTATTGAAAAAGTGACCAGCCAATAATTCACAAGGGCCAGAAAACTTGTTTATCATTGGCCAATATATATAAAAAACCTCTCCAAGCATTCAAAAAAATTAATCTGAAACACATCAAACAATTTTGGTAGCATCACTGGTTGAGCCTAAAAGGTCATAAAATTTGCACAAATTTTAACACACAAACCATCTGGCCTTCAGAAGAATACACTTTTCTCAAAATGTGTATAAAAAAATCAATCAATTATGCATAGATCTTTAACATTTTTTTACAAATAATAAAAATAAAATTTTTATAGTACTATTTACTCCACAACAGAGGGAGATTGCCTAAAATATGTGTGGATCATATTTAAGAAACTATAGTGTTTTGAGGAGTGAAGAACTAATGCTCCATAGTCTCTTGGTGAGAAGTAAGTTCCACTCAAGTAGCTTCTTCCAATGAACCACAACCCTGTGGAAGTGACTCCCAACTGGGTGTTTCCCTAATCACTACAATCTTAATCTGTTCAAGGCTAGGGTTAACAATTATCTTCCACTCCTATATGCATAAATGGCCTCCTCACATTACCCTCTACCTTGAGTGGGCCCAGAGCATTGTAAATAGTGGACCTTACTGCAAAAAAAAGAGATCATGGGCGAGAGAGAGAGAGAGAGAGAGAAATGAGTCAATAATGTTCAAGTTCAGTCAAAATAAGAAAATGACATTTATTTATTATAATTTATTATAAGTGTATCATCAATTTAGATCAACATGTTGAAGATATTGTCTGCAAACAGATTACTGTGATAAGTTAGTGATATTTAAGTCAGAGATTGGTAAGTATGGGTGAGTTGATGAGAATTGCATCAGAGGATGGATGAGTTGGTAGAGATATTGATGTTAATTCAAGTGTGTATGTGTTTGTGTAGTTGTGAGTTGTTTCCAGAAAAAAACTAGGTACTTCCTCTCTCTCTGCTTTAATACTCTTTATAGAAGTTCAATTGGATCCCATACAAGGTTAGGTGTGAAGAAATTCATTAATATGAATACGTATTTTTCTTCTCACAAAGTTCTAATTAGTTAGAGAGGTAATGAGCTCAGATCCTCATGAAATAATAAAAGTATTTTTGTTATATCTCAGGTTGTTGGGATGAGCAAAAAGAATGAAAATCAAAAACACATAATAAAATAATTTTTATTCATTTACTGTCTGAGAACAGCAAGGATTAGTTTGGATTTAAATATGTGTGACAGCTCATCACCTTCAGAAATGTCACGTTGTCCTTAGTGGTCAAGAGAAGTAATGATGTATTTTGAGTTATTGTCCTTTATAGGGGAAGTAATCAGGCTCCTCTAACAATTTTGGTGTCTGCACTTTTGCCCAACCCTAGCAAGTGGGATATTTTACTTCACAATTCTTTTGCCTTTGTTCTTCAGTTGATACCAATTTATATGCATTTAATAGACACCACCAACTCCAAATCCAGGGCCTTCTCACTACTATTTTTATTATTATGGGTGTATTAGTAGATTTCTGGTGAAAATGCAGTATTTTGGTATTTGTTCAGATTGAATGAAGAGGGATTAGTTTGTGGCATATTTGTTCATATGAATGTTGCCCATGTGGATATGTGGTAGGATAATTATTTTATTGGAAACTTTGGGAATAAAATGAACTGACTCAAGGGTTAAAATAAATAACATATTTTTATTTATTTTCATTAGTATTAAGAGTGAGTCTTTTGGTATTCAGTGTAGCAAAAAGTTCATTAATAAAGCAGATATTGGAAGCAGTCTGGAAAAATGTCCACATTGGTGTTTTGAAGTAAGACTCTGGTAGATTTAATGTAAGAAATTAGGTCAGTGTCAATTTACTGTGTTCATTTTGGCCCAGTAACAGGGCAGAAATGTCATTAGCCGATGACCTTTTAACTGCTTCTTCACATGGATGTGTTCTTTTGTTCTGTCCACTACTTTGGGGTCATTCTGGTCACTTCTCTCTCTTCTGTCGGGGGTGTCGGGTTTTTATACTTTTGAATAGGCTTGAAAATTTGATGCAAATGTCAACAGCTACATTGTGTCAATTTTTTTGATTGGCCAAATTATTTCATTTTTTTTTCTTTTTCATTTTTTTTGGTAATTGAAGTTATGTGTAGATGCTCCCTGATTTTTGTTATTTTTCAGTTACAAATAAGTAGGCTCTGATCCTGCAAACTTTTGGTGTCTTTCGGTTGGGTTCAATTTTCTTATTATTATTTGAGGGTTGCCTTCTCATAAGTTGAGAGAAAGGGTGAAAGAAAGAGATAATGGTTTTAAAGGAAAGCACAAATGCCTTATTTTAATTCTTTTAGCTTTTGTTCATATATTCTAAATTTTTATTTTTATCAGGACTCACTACAAGTATTCATGGTGTTTGTATCAATTGTTAGAATGAATGGGTTGTTAAATTAACTTGTAGGATAGTTAATGATGACCAGCCTTTTTCTCCTGCTCCTTTTGGCTTTATGATGTAAACAGTGTACTCATTGTTAAATAAAGGAGTCTACTTTTGGTAAGACACACTTTGCTATCGTCAAATATTCAGTGTCTTGTACAGACATTCCTTTGTCATATTTTGTTCCAGAAGTTACATACTGCCTGCATGCTGTGGTTTTTGAGATAGTGACCACCCTTGTCATTATTCATTTCTTTTTTATTTTTATTTCTTCCTGTCTTTCTCGCTTCTCTGCCTGTTCCCTCCATTTATTTGTTAAGAGAACAATCTGTTACCCATTATATGTTTCTCTCAACCTCAACATCTTATTTTGCCTTATTTTCTTACATTATTAATTAATAAGAAAGAGTGATTTTATACTTTATAGATTTTATGAATTAAATTAAGATGATATATTATTACATATCAACAATTTTTCAAGTAAATATTATCATCTTAAATTGGTTCTATACTGATGTGCCCAAAGTCATAGGATGCTACCTCATATAGAAACTTCTAAAAAATTTTACTATTTCAAGAATAAATGTAAGTAAAGTTGATTGGATCCATTGAATAGAAAATATATTCAAATCAGAGTTTTAATTATGAATCACCACAAGCAAAATATGCAATTTTTTACTGTATTTGATAAGTGAAAACTGCAAAAATTGTAAATGATGACAAAAAGGCTAATCAATGAATAAAGTCTTATGCCATTTCTTAGGCTATATTTAATAAAAAAACAAAAAATAAAAATTTATATAACACCATAATACTTCTGGGTACAAATTATAAGTCAAAATGTTTTAAATTTATGTTGTTTATTAAAAATCATACTAGGACTATGATAATATAGCTAAAATACATGATAATATAGGCAAATTGTTCAATATAATTTCCCTTTAAAGCAAATGAAGGTCATATTTGATGGCACAATGATTTAGTAATATACTTGTGTTATGTATCTTGTCCATGTAAAATTTATAAAGCTTCAGTAAATTATAAATTTTATAAGGTTGTGCAATAAGGCCTTCACTGATGACCAGAATGAAATTCCAATGCTATGATTTTCAACCTAAACTTAGTATTCAAATTAGTTTCCTCAAAAAATGACAAAGATTTGGAAAAAAATATTTTGCGTCATTATTTATCATATCAAACCCCAACTTTTAAATTGAGTGCAGTACCACGATTTAGAAATCAACCTGCCCTACCATGCCACATGTTACCACTATCCCAATCTCCAATTAGTGATGTCAGAAGCCCAAGGGTGACACTGTGTTTGGTATTGTGGCATTAAAAGGAAGACTCTGACGTGTCTTCTGCTGAATTTTTTTCTCTTAACCTGTCTGCATTCTTTTCTGTCAGCCATAATTAATAATTATAATTAATCTTAGTAATAATTAGCATTTACAAATAATTATAATTTAAATTCTAAAAATAGAAACTGACTTGATAATCAAGCAGAAGATATTGTAGAAGGTATTTAAAAGCAAATCTGAATGATTATAAAAATACCTGCTTTATAACTTAGGAAGTTATTTAATACAAGGCACAAGGAAATATGACTTAAAAAAAAACCTTTATAGGTTTACTTCTAAAATCCCTGTCTGATTTGTTATTTCATAAATAACAATGGTTTTTCTATTTCAGATGTACACTACAACTTTTGAAGCTGTCATAGATTCAAGCAACTTACCATTTAAGATTGACGGCTTGACATTTGATATATCAGGGGAGGGCACTCTTCCAAGGATCTCTGTAACTCAGCCAATGATACGTAACAGACAAGGCCAACCAGTGTTAATCTTTAAACAGAATTTAGTTGGACATGCACAGGCTTTAACATTAGCTCTGACCAATGATGGTACTCTGCCTTGTAAGGTAAGATTTTTAAATCTATTAATAACTACAGCAAATATTTAATATATATATATATATATATATATATATATATATATAATCACAAAACTGGTATCCCTATGGGCCCCATCATTTCAGGAATAGGCAGTGCCCTCAACAAAATAGCTGGAGCTATAGCAAAAATATTAACCCCTCTCCTTGGGACAATAAATCCATCACATATAAAAATTCAGGCAACATTGTTGAAAAACAAAGGGAAACAAATATGACTGACAAACTCATGGCCAGTCTAGATATAAAATCACTTGACACTAATAAACCAGTTGAAAAATGCTTAAATCTCTTAAAAAAGCATCTAAGAAAAGCAAAGATAAACCTTTCCCTACCAAAAGCTAAAATAATAAAAATCTGTCATCTCATTACCAATCAATACTAATTCACTTTAATTAAGAATTTTTACAAACAAAAATTTGGATTACCAATGATAATGGCTCTCAGTGGAGTAAAGGCATGTATCTTCTTAGAATTTCTTGAATCTAGTTCTTTCTAAAATATTTTACCTAAAGAATCAATTTACTTTTGATTTATTGATGATTCCCTATTGATATATCCCCATGATACTAACTTACCGGATCTTGTAGATAAACTGAACAAAGTTGAATATACAATAGAATTCACATATGAAATAGAAAAAAAGCAATGCTTTACTTTCTTAGACATCATGTTACACCAAGATGACAGCAACCTAAAACTTAGTGTCCACTGAAAATCAACCAATAAAAATGACTTGATAAACTTCTATTTCTATCATAACAACACAATAAAATCTGGTGTTATCATTGTATTCTATTTAAGAGAACACAGAATTTGCAGCCCTCAACACACATGCACACACACACACATACAGAGAGTGTAAAAAAAATCTGAAATTTCAAGGTTAATGTATGTAAATAAGTATTTATAAAATAATAAAATAGACATTCTGTAATTCAATCATTCTCATCAGAATTCCTGATGAGTGACAAATCACGAAAATCTGAGTCGACCTCTAATAAGTATTGTGAACAGATGTTACTGCTGAATGTGTATATGTATATATATATATATATATATATATTGTTGAAACTTGACTAATGCATGGAATAATAATGCAACACAAAATGTACTTAGAACAAAATGTATTGAAACAAGAAAGTGTACACAATATTTACATATAGTCTTTTGTATATTCCTGGTAAGACCATTCCTGGAGAATGTGTTGACTGAGTCGCAGTCAGGCAGAGTCTCTGGTTGAATCTCTTGATTCCTCCCTCTCTTCCCGGTACCAACCATATTTATATGGTCGGTACTCCACTATGCAAATTAGGTGGATCCCACCACAACAACATATATATATATATATATATATATATATATATATACTGTATAATGCAAGATGGTCCATAATATGCAGATTTAATAAACTGGTTAATGAAATTTGAGGAATAAAAAGCCAACAAAATGATAACAATATTGTCAATAAGGTTGATGGTATTTATTACGTATTAACCTTTTAAGTATATTGAAGCATGTAAAGAAAGATTTTAAAGTTAGAATTTTCAGAGATGTCTTTGTTCTTCATCTCATTGAAAATGGACAAAGAAGTGAGACTTACTGTTCTGAGAAATGTTATTGTTGTTTGTTAGAGAGCTCCCTGTGGAAATTATATTCTCTGAGAAAAAACCAAATCCCTGTTTAATCCATTAATGTGAAAATATCTTTTAACCCTGATCTGTGTCTTTCTTGTCGGCTGTTGACCGAAGATGCTAAAAGCACACATCTGATGTCATTAATGCTATGGAATGTTTGGTTGAAGTGTGCAGTGACAGGGGAAATGTTCTTGTCTTTCATGTTTTTATGGCTATTTATGACATATATATATATATATATATATATATATATATATATATATATATATATATAATTTTTGAGTTTTACTGAATTATTTTTGGTAAACATTTTTCAATAGTTAGTTGATACTACAAATAGGTAGCACAAGAAGTTCCAGTTTACAACAGTCTAAAAGGTAGACATTTGATTTTATACACGTTTGCAAGTATCTACCTGAAAAGTGACCCCTTTTGGTGGCAAAGAGGTCTTACTGAACTGCAGCTGATGCAGCTCAGCATATTCTAATATATTCCAAAATATTTGTGTGAACAAATAGTTACTCAGACTAATGATTAGAAAAAAGAATTTTGTTCATGAAATGGAAAAGTATGTTAATAAAAGCAAATGTCAATTATTTTCTTTGTAGGTTGACTTGGACCTCATTGATACGGATAAAGTTTACAGTTTGGTACATTCTGCAGACAAAAATGAAAACATGGAACACAAATTCATCAATGGTAAAGGTCAGAAGTCATCTTCATTTGTAAAACTTAGTTAAATCATTTTCATTTAAGACAATAAATAAATATGATGATGTTTGTAATAAAAAGAAATTAATGTATCCTTACTGTTGCAAACTGACAACTTAAGTAAAGTTGCAATAAAAAATGCAATTCAAAATTAAGATGAAAGAAAATTGTGAGGCAAAATTAAAAATTAATAATAGCTAATTTTGTCTCACAATTTTCTTTCATTTTAATTTTGAGTTGCGTTTTGAGTCACAAATCAATTTGATAGATCAACCAAGGTGAAATTTGAACCCGGTTCACATGATCCGACACCACTTGGCTACACACCCACATACATATGAATAAGAATATCACAATATACACACTTATTTACATCTTATTTAGTTTTGCTAAGGCAATAAATTGTTATAGACAAGTGTATGGTTGCAAGAAAGAAATACGACAACAGCAGAAATAGATTTACATGGTTTATTTCAACAGGAACGTGTGGGTTTGGGACAGCTACCTTGTGGTAAAGTTCATAAGCCGGCTTCGGATCTAGGTCAATCACTCATAGTAGTTTACACATGTTGACGGTGGTTGACGCTCTCCTGCTGTCAGCAGCTGAACGTGACAGGTCTCTATCCTGGGCACCTGTGGACTGACTGTTGAACTTCTGTGTGACCCCTTTTATAGCGTTTTTTTATGGCTTAACAGGCTTGAAAAACGAAGCGAGTATAATTAGGAGGGAAGCATTTTTATTGGACGAAAAATAGAGCACTTTAAATATTATTTTATTTTTCGACCAGAACACGTGTGTCAGGAACATTTGTAAAGAAAGATAATGGTCATTTTGTGACGGGGCTTTGTCCCGTTCACATCCGGTTCTCGCTCTTGAGTATTTGTCTGTAAATCAGCTGAGATATGTCTTATTTTATTTTATAACAAGGCTCCCGTAGATCTCGGTCTCATTTACAGTGAGCGTTATTTGTGTATATTTGGGTGATTAAGTCATGATAAAGTCTCTGAAGCGTGTGGGGAGTTGTCCTTGTGTTCTTCTTATTGGCATTTGTTTTGGTATGGAATTATTTGCTGAATTATGTGTCCCTGAGGGATGTGGAGGAGAATGATCCTGGTGACTGTTACATGGTGGAGGCAGAGGGATTGTATTAGAAAGATGTGTTGGGCGTGGAGCCAGTTGTCGGATATGTGCACGGTGAATCCAGATTGTATCATCATCATTGTTTTGCACCTGACACATCATATTGTTCGTTTTTATAATTGTGTAATTTCCTATCCAGGGCAGATGAGAGGATTGGGCAACAGTTGAGTGTGGCCGATGAAGTAAAACCTTGTCGCCTACTTGTATTGGGTCCTTGTATGTGAGGCGATTTAAGTTAGTCTCAAATTTGCAGTCAGCTTCATCGTTGGCCAGGGTGACGTGGTGGTGAACCTGCTTTAGCAGGGCATTAATTTGCATTCCATATGCTCCAGGATCGTTGCTTGTGATTTCTTTTCTGTGTAGTGTAGGTAGGCCGATGTTGGGGTGACGGCCGGTAATGGCATAGTGCGGGGAGACACCGGTGGCGCTGTTGGTTGTGGCATTCATGGACGAAACAACAGATCCTAGAATGTCTGTCCATTCACAGTTCCTGTCTTCGCATAACATATAAAGTGCGTTCTTCATCGTGCGATGTTGTCTCTCAATATTTCCTGAGCTTTGCGGGCGCCAAGGATCGTGAAGTTCTTGCGTGATTGACATCTGGTTACAGAATTGTCAATAGACTTCTCCAGTGAAGTGTGTGCCTCGATCAGTGACGCGCTTGTGGGTGCGGGCGTTTTGTGGTGTGTGAGTTTTGGGAATGAGCTGTAAACCATTAAACTCGCCGAGGCACCAAGATGGGATGTTCAAATGTCCTGCCTGCAGGTGTAGGGTCGTTCGGGGCTTTTGTTTTCTTATGTCCACAACCTCTGCTGAGCATGTCAGCCCATACATTTGATTCGCATTCAACATATTCCAAGACAAATTTATAACATGAAATTTCTTCTTGTCGTCGTCGTATTTTGGCATTATTGAACTCTCGTTGGTCCAGATATGTCAGCGATCTGTGGTTGGTGAAGATGACGAAGGGGCGGTTGCGAAGGAAATAATCAAATTTCAATATTGCCCACTTTATTGCATATGCCTCTCTTTCCGTCGTGGACCAGTTCTGTTCCATGGAGTTGAATGTATGGGAAGCGACCACTATGATATCTTTCTTCCCGTTGTCGGCTTCTTGCATTAAGATTGCTCCACATGCGACGTCGCTGGCGTCGGTGGTGAGTGTGAAAAGTTTGAAGAAATCTGGAAACGAGATGATGGGTGGCGAAGAGAGACGGTCCTTGATTTTTTTTGAAGGCTCTGTCGGCATTTTGCGTCCAGACAAACGGTTTATTAACCTTGTTGAGTTCATGTATGGGACCCATAAGTTTTGAAAACATATCTGACCTGATTTGTTCGTGAAGATGTGTCTCTAGGAATTGTCTGATCCACACTAAACAGCCGATAAGGCTTTGTAATTCCTTTTTTGATGTTGGAGGTTTCATTTCCCTGATGGCACGAACGTATTCTGGATCAGCCTTGAATCCTTTGCTGTTTACTATGCGTCCGAGGAATTTTGCCTCTGATGCGAGGAAGGAACATTTATCGGGATTCAGCTTGAGTCCGAATTTTCGGAGGGCAGTAAAAAATTGTTCGAGGGAAAGTATGTACTCCCTAAATGTCCTATCGTGGATCAGGTTGTCATCGATATAGGAGGAAATGTTGTCACGGGATGTGACCGTGGCTAGGGCTTCTGCTATGCAACGGGAGAAGATTTGTCCAGCAGATGTAAGGCCGAAGGCCAGGCGCATGTATTGATAGCATTGGTCCTTCCATGTAAATGCTGTTTTGTATCGGTCTCGCTTGTCGATCTCAATTTGCCAGTAGCCGCTGCATAGATCGAGGGTAGTGAAATATCTATTGCCTTTGCCAATTTTGTTGAACAAGTGGTCGATCCTTGGCATTGGGTCAAGATCGACTAAGACCTTGTTGAGAGTTCTTTTAAAGTTAGCAACGACATGAATCGATCTGTTTTTCTTGTGTACGGCAAATACAGGGCTATTGAAGCCTTTGGGGTCGCTGCAGTTTTCAATGATACCTTCATCAGCCATACGCTTAATTTCGGTATGTACGTCTGCTTCCAAAGCCTAGGCTATCGAGTGTTGTTTCTGGCTGCGAGACTGGCCGTTGGTTGGTATACGGATGGGTCGGATGAATGTGCCTTTGCTGCTGCTTTCTGTGCCGATAATGTCAGCGTAGCGAATGAGTAAGTTTGCAGTGGCCTCTAGTTCGTCTCGGTTTGGGTGGTTTGGTAGCGATAGCCCTGTGTTATGCTTTAGCCAGGTTAGCTTTTGATCCAGTGTCTGGCTGTTGGGCTGTAATTCCATAGTAGGCTGGTTTTGGATGATGTCAGCTTGGGCGCCATATGCTGGATCGTTGGTTGACAATGACAGTGATATGATTGCGACTGTGTGTGTTGTGCATCCTGAGGAAAGTGTGCGCCTGAATTCTATAGTCGCATTTTGGTTGTCGATTAGATAGGAATCGAGCGTGTTGTGACGTAGGATATTTTGACCGATCAGGATCAGTGTGGTTTAGGTAGTTAACCTTTTTGAATGTGGGTGAGTCTCGACTGCCGATGGTGATGTCGCAAGTCAGTTCGCCGAGGGCGGTTGTGCTGCCGTTGATTCCTTTTACTACGACGTCGGAGTGGGTCATGAGTTTCTTGGCTTATCTGGGTAACCGAGATATTGGTACGATGCAGATGGAGCATCCAGAGTCTAGCATTGCGACGCCAGAGAAGGTGATGTCCCTGAGGTTGAAGGTGGACTGGATGAGCGGTGAATGGTGAGCGAGTTCTTGAAAGTTGAAGGTGTGATAGCTGATGTAGGGGCATGGCGAACGAGGCATCACATCTCGTCCTGCCCGAAGCAAAAATCCTGTTCCACATCATTTATGGGTTGTATATTATCATTCGTTGCGGCGATATGGGCCTGTGCCCGAGTGTGAGGTGGGTGGCGATATACACAGTTGCGTCCATGGTGGCAGGGGCGACCTCTGAGGTAGTTCTTGCACACGCTGATTCGTGGTGTGTGCTGATGGTTTCTGCGTGTCGGATGGTGGCCATGTTCGGGAGGGTTGGTGAGGCCCGTCTGCTGTGGGTTTGGTTGCCTGCTGGGTTGGAATGGCGCGTTTCTTTGGTTTGACCGCTGTGGTTTCTGTGTGAAAACACAGTGTCGTGCGAAGTTGAGTCGTTGGATTTTACACCATGATCAAGGTATATTTGAGCTTCGGAGGCTATGCCAATGACTGAATAGTGGTTGTCCATTGTCTTGATGAGATGTGGGTAGAGATTTGAGTTCCAAATTTTCAACTTTTCGCTCATTAGCATAGCGCCGATGATGGAAATAAGTCCATCGACTGTTAAGTCAGTATTTTTGTCTTTTTTGTATTTGTTTTTTATGTGGACGGCTGCCTCTCTAAGGGTGTTTTTGAGTCGACCCATGAAGTCTATTAATTTTTCACCGTCTCACAGTTCCAGATCCCAGGCTTGGCTGAGGTGTTGGAAGTTAGTCATCTGGCTTCCGTGGGCTCCTAATAAGTATTCCTTCAGTTGTTCGAAGGTGGATATGTACTTTTTTGAGTTAACCATCTGCTGAAAGATACTTTGGTCCAGGAAATCTTTAGCAGACTTGACAAATTCGCATTCCAGGCTGGGATAGGTGCTAAGTTCTGGTGTGACATGGATTGTGTATGCTTTGTTTAGGGCCGTGATGAATCGGTTCACATCGTGTCCAGTGTCGTGTCGAGTGGTGGGAGGTGTTGAAGTAGTTGATTTTAGGGCAGTCAGCATGTCGTTTATGTCAGCTTGAATTTCCTGTATCGTGGCCTCAGCTGAATGTGACGGGTCTCTATCCTGGGCACCTGTGGACTGACCGTTGAACTTCCGTGTGACCCCTTTTATAGCGTTGTTATGGCTTAACAGGCTCAAAAAACGAAGCGAGTATAATTAGGAGGGAAGCATTTTTATTGGACGAAAAATAGAGCACTTTAAATATTATTTTATTTTTCGACCGGAACACGTGTGTCGGGAACATTTGTAAAGAAAGCTAATGGTTATTTTGTGACGGGGCTTTGTCCCATTCACATCCGGTTCTCGCTCTTGAGTATTTGCCTGTAAATCAGCCAAGATATGTCTTATTTTATTTTATAACAAAATGATATAGTTTTATGTCCAATATTTTTTGTAATTTTATTCATTTCCCTCATCTTCCACAAAATATCTTTACAATAAACACTGGTGGTCTTGGAAATCATCACGGAGCCTACACAAAGAAACAGAAAAGGGGAAAACTGTTAAACCATCCTGATCCACACACTTCACTTGATCATACATGTATGTGACTTTTCCAAACTATATCAAATAAAAGCTTAGGAAGGAAACCTCCATTAATACTGGAAAGATCAATAACAGCTACTGGATTTGAAAAACCTGTTTTCCTGAAAAATTGTTTTAAGAGAAAGATTTTATAAATTTCAACAGAAAGCAGTACTGGCTGCTGGGTCAATGAATACCGAATGTTTCCATATAAGGGAATGGTTTATATTATCATTATCATCATACCAATAAAAAATGTAAAGATTAGTACATGCTATTATAAACCCTCCTTAGAAGTTTATTCTGAGTATTATCTCTACCTTCTATTACTTTATCTGTAGACACCTGTACACACACACCTATTGCAAACAAAATGCAAATAATATGGTGGAAAAAATGATAAATATTTCTTATCAAAATAAGTTATTTCTTTTGGTATGATTATCAGAAAGGAGAAAATATAGTAAGAGGCTCCAAGTTTAGAAATTCTGTTTGCTTTGGTGAATTTTATGATATATATCAACTTTCATTGCATTATTTAATTTTGACATCTGTTTGTTTTGTTTATTATATTTCATTTATTAAACATTGGTGAGTTTTATACTTAAAAGGAAAACATTGGTTAACTCAAAAGGTAAATTTTGGTTAGGTTTTTAAGCTTGACTCAAAACATAAACATGTTTCTGGTTTATACTTGAGAAAAAAAATTAAATATTTGTTGAGTTCATTCACTAGTCAAAATGTTGATTCAAATGTAAACATTGGTTGTTTTTATACATGAATCAAAGGATAAACATTCTGGGTTTGTACTTGAGTCAAAAGGTAAAGATGTCTCTTTTACTAAAGGGAAGCCTGGTTACCAGCTGTCATTACCATTAGAATTACAAGGAACTCATCAGTTGGCAGTGGTAAAAATCTAACTTTATGAAGTTAGCCATTTTCTTAATCTTCCAAGACCTGCTGAAAATACTTCAGGTAAACTCGTTTTTAGTTTTCCTTTTAATTTGTCTGCCTCGGTTGATAAGCTTTTTACATTTTGGCAGTACGTACTAATAGGTAAATCCCACAATTCAAATTTTTGCATCCGGTCTGTTCTGAATAAGTTTTCGGTATTTCTTAAGACATACATTTTTAGTTTTTTCATCATTCCATTAAATGTTATGTTTGTAATTACTTCACCCTCGAATTTTATCTTTCTTCCCATAACTGATCTAGCAATTTTATCCGTTTTTAACATGACAGGTTTGTTCAGTTTTCTCCATGTTTGTAGGTTTATGATAGTTAAGTCTGAGCCAGAATCCAGCTGTAACCTAATTTTTCTGTTTTGCATTTCAACTTGTACATATTTTCTTATATTAATCTCATCTGCTTGATCAGTCCTCGTAATTCTTATTCTGCTTTTGCTTTCTTTTCTATACCAACAATGAGAACTTTTATGGCCAATTTTTTTACATGATAGACAAGTTTTAAAACGATATGTACAGTCTTTAACCCAATGCCAAGACCCACAACGATAGCATGGACTGGGTGGTTGTTTTTTTTATGTTGATTATAATTAGAAAATTTTGTTTTACTTGTTCTTGAGGCGGGAAAATTGGTTCAGTTTGTTTGTGAGGAGGAAAAATTTGTTTGCCTTCATACTTTGTGTACCTGTGCTATGCCAGCTTGTTCTATGTCTTTTGAGTCTTTCTTCACACTGATGCATCTCTGGCAGTCTTCGGCTTATTTTTTGAAGTGTCAGATCTTGTTCACTCTCCAATTTAGTAAGTATTCTGTGTCTCATTTCCACGTCTTTGATTGAAACCAGGCCTTGGACGTAAATTAAGCATTTGAAATTGTCTGTGCTGAGTTCCGATAACCTGAAGTCATCACAATATTTGTTAACAATGGATGCGAAAGTTATGTAATCTTTGCTGTCCTTTTTTATAAGGTTCAAGTATTTCCATCTTTTATGGAATAGTGAAATATTATGGCTAAAAAGTTCCGTTAGCAGTTTTATGGATTCTTTGAACGTTAACTCGCTTGTTTTTCTGGGAAGGATATAATCTATGAATTTGGTATATTCACCTGTGCCTAATTTTCTTAGTAATTGGCGTACTTTATGTGCGTCTGACCAATTTTTGCAGTCAAAATCATATAGATCTTCATACCTTCGGAAGTAATTTGCAAAAGTTTTGTCTTCGTCAGGTGCGTAGTTGAAATCTTCGATATTACTCCAAATAGCGTATTGTGAGAGAACTGTTTCGTTCTCGGATTTTTGCTCCTTATTTGTCATTGCACGTAACAATAATTCTTGCAATTCCAGATGTTTCTGTTCATACCTTTGTTGCTGTTCAAATTGGATTTTGATAAGTTCCATAATGGTTGACTTAAAATCTTCCATGTTAACGTATTTTTTTTGTGTGTAACCTGATATTCTGTAGCCTGTGTACGCAACAAAAAATAAACAAACTTTCCTTTGTTGTTAGTGAAAATTTGATAAAAAAAAAAGAAATTTTTTTTCTTTTTTAAGAATTAGTTTTGTATTACTCTTTTAGGGTTTCCTCCTTGACACTTGTTATGCACGACAGTTAGCAAAAATAAGGTATGTCCTCCGCGTAGAGAGTTGGTTTCTTTGCGCCACTTGTTATACTGTGGGAAAAATTTTTTTTTTTTCTTCCACTGAATGAATTCGAATCTTCGTCGCCACTTGTTATGGTCCAATTCCTTGTACCACAGTGATAGTCCAAGGTAGAACCAATAAAGAAGAACTCAAACATGGATATATTACAAACAGGAATATATACAGAGAAGTAGAAGTGTTAGTATGAACAATCAGGTTTAGTAGAGAGAACCATGTAGTCTCGACCAGTATCACTATTCCAATGTCTTGCAGTAATTGTCTGAATGCGACTCTGTTTTGGACTGCCTCTGACTCAACTCTTGACTCGACTTGAACTACTGACTGACTTGTACTACTGACTCTTTGCCTACTCCTAAGGTGCAGTATTTATTAAGTATGGAATAGCCCATTATTATTATTATGGCTAAGATCCCATAACACAAACATACACCTGCACAAAATAAACAATTGGTTTAACAATATCACCAACAAAAAATTGTTTTTTTCACACAAGTATCAAACAAGTAAAGTTGAATGCTACAACATACTAAAATATATTACAGTGAAATAATACAACCCACTAAAAAATACATATAGAGTTAACAAAAATACACACACAAGCACACAAGTAAACACAAAATACAATTAATATGAACACAATACAGTGTATATAGTAATTTCTAAGGAATTTAGATTTTATTTTTAACCTAACATTATTTTTTATTACTTTAAATGATATATTTTAGTGTATATATTTAGTGTATATATGTGTTTGTTTTTTAAACAGTGCAAATTATGTCTACCGGCCTGTGCATTCAAGAGTCTTAATAAAAATGCATAGCCTCATTATCTTTATTAAGATTCTCAAATTGCTTCTGACATGTCCTATATGCCAAAGGAAGTCTAAAAGAACCAATGCTGATCAAATGGCATAAAAATATTTGTTGCAAATTTTGATCAATTCTATTTCCTTGTTTTTCTGTTCTTATTTCTTCAGTCATACAAAAGAAACCGTACACAGCCACTGTGTCTCTGGAATGTGATGATGTGATTGCATTTGATGTGATCTTCCACCCAAAGCAACCTGTTAAGAGTTATGGCCAAGTGCAGTTGAATGTACATGGCAATCAGTACGAGAACACTATCATCTGGCTTATTGGAGAGGGTTACTTAGAGGAAGTCACCTTTGATAACATTATGCTTGATTCACAACTTGAATTGCAATTAAAAACAGAAACTTTGGAGAATTGCCAAGACAATGATAATATTCAAGGTAAGTCATTTGCAGTCAAAGAAGAATGGCATCTAGAAAAAAAATGCATATTATTTTTTAGTTGTTTTTGAAAAAGAGGTCAAAAGTTAAAACAAAAAAATCATTTGCACTATTTACATTGTTTAGACTGTTGTCGACATCTTTGTCACATGGCCCAGTGGATTGAAGCATCTGTTGAAGTAATCCAGTGACTTGACCCAGCAGAGATAAAAAAAAAACTTGGAGAGATGAGTCACTAAATAACTGAAACTGAGATATCCAGAAAAGGCATGGCATGTGGAACTAGAACAATCTATGTTGGTGAACGAAATAAAGAATTCAGTTCAAAATTCCAACATATATCACCTGAAGAAGGCCAGAGTGTACAATCACCGAAACATTGGGAATATGAAAATAAAGATAAGGTCAACAGTCCAAACAATGTAAATAGTGTAAATAGAATATCTCATCTTAGAAAGATAGACAAAAACAAAAGTTTTTTTTTAAATTACTAATATATTTCTGAATTTTTTTTTTTAATAATTTCACTACAAGCAAGGCCACTAAGGGTTTACTGAGAGTGAAAGGATCTGAAAAAAACTTTATTAATGGGAGAGAACATTAAAAGAACAGGATTCAAGTAGACAGAAGATGACAGTTGACATTGCATTTAAATCTCTGAAGATCATAGTTGATAGGAAGAATGTTCCACAAGTGAGAAGTGCAACAGAAGAAACTATTAGCCTCGAACTTATGGTTGCAAGTAGCAATTTCAGCAGTGTAATTATGGAACCTAACTGCCAATCTAGTACTAGGATTAGATATGTGAAGTTGAGGTACCAATGTGGAAAGCTCATCAGAACAATTACCATGAAAATATTTATGGAAAAAGTACAGGGATGATATGTTACAGTAATGGGAAGGTGACTGAAGCTGATATGCCAGATCAGGACCAATAATTATACGGGAAATATATTGAAATTTATTAAACTCTTAATTCTCAGAATTTTTAGTCTAATAAAATTAATAAAAATAAGGTTAATCATTAGTTAAAATTGTAAATAAGTGACTATTATAATCGCCAAGGTTGTTTTTTTGCATGTTCTTTTGAGAAAATTGTATTTTAAAGAAAGCTAGCTGCTTTGTAAAAAAATTGTTACCTTTGTGTGAAAATCTCGAATTAGGATCTCTGGGAACCTCCTATTTTCTTATAAAAGGAGTTGTGGTGGGGGTCACAAATAAGATCAGAATGTACTTAGACTTGAAGGCAGAAAGAGAGAAGCCTCATTTCAAGGCACAGCCAAGTTTCCAAGCAGAATGGATTCATAAATCACTATGGTGAAGAAAAACGAGCAGACAGTAGCAGAATGTTACTTGAGGGCTGTTACAAAACCCAAGAACGTAAATCCATTTGAGCTGATCTCAGAGAAGAATTTCAAAAAAACTAAAAACTCAAATTTAACTTTTCTATAAAGGAAAAACATAAAAAGTCCTCATGACACCAACCAGTTCAAACAATAAAACTCCATTCATGCTGAGACTTTCCTATTCCATCATTACAAATTAAGGTGGGTGTGCTTTTTTTTGTATTTTCTGCCTTATCTAATTTTTTACTTCCTCAAACTTTGTTTCTTTTTCATTTTTAAAAAATGTATTTGTTCATTGTCATTTATGTTTGATTTGTTATGCAACCTTATATAAGGATGCACAAAACAAGTTTATAAAAGGATGCACAAAAGGAGATTATATAAGGATGCACAACTGGAGTTTATAAAAGGATGCACAAAAGGAGTTTATAAAAGGATGCACAAAAGGAGATTTTCATGCAAGTTCTTGTTTGAATGTGTATTTCTTTATTTTGTACTGTAATAAATGTGTGTTCTTTTAAATTTCACATAGTGATTGAGTCTCACTTTGTTGGCCCCTTGTTCAACTTTAGGGGTGAGACAGGCACGTGTTCTCTTCCCTTTCTAGCCCTACTAATCTAATTTTTTCTAAATACAATATAATAATTAATGCTACATTTGATTATACATTTTGTAATATCATTTTCGAACATTTTTGAAAAATAATTATATTTATATAAATTCATGGCCTCAATATTAAGCTAACAAAGCAATTTACCTTGTCTTCTCAGAGTTTATATGACCTTTTAGCTAAATTGTTTTTCTATGTTAAGGTTTTCTTAAAATCATTTCACTCCAAATGAGACAATAAAGTTGCTAAGATACAAGGTGTTACTGGGAGGGGAAGAGAATGAGGAACACATTAGTGAAGAGAAAGGACAATAAAAGAATGGGATTAGGGAAGACTGGAGATGGCGATTGACATTGCATTTAAATTTTTCATATATACAACATTTATGAAATAAAAATCAATTGAAAATAAAGTGAAATAGATACTAGTCATAAGATTAGTAATGCTTCCTGCAAAAGTTCAAAATTCTATTACTACCACTCTTACTAACAATTGGGAAATGATTGAGAATTGCAATAAAAGCTGCTAGAATTAAGATGAAAGAAATACAAAGCATAAAATGAATCAGAATTGACAAACCTTTATCTAAGAAATTTAATATTACTACTACTACTACTACTACTACTATTGCTAGCAATTATAGAATAGCTCTGAGAGATGCGATGAAAAGCAAGTGAAATTATGATGAAAGATGGACTAATAAAAGCATTTTATGTAACTGATTGCTTTTTTTTTTACTTTGTCAAGCAACAAGAGCAAACTTGATGGCATTTGGTGACTGCTATATTCAAGAGCCAAAGACCCAATGCCTATCCATCACAAACAGATGCCAAACAGACTGTATTCATTTCCAATGGGTCGACCAATATCCACTGAGTTTTTCACCACAAGTTGGGCATTTAAAGCCAGGCCAAGCAAAAGAAGTTGCAATCACTTTCAATGCAGATAAACCTGTGTGCCTGAAGCTAGAAAGAGTAAAGTGTACCATAAAAAAGATTATTTTTCAGCAACCCCTTAGTGAGGTAAATGCATTTAAATCTCTACCATCTTCCTGTTTGTTTATATGTACAACCTTTATGCATGTTTTTAAATTTTTTTATTCAGGATCAAACTATAGTATCTGCCTCATATCCAGATCCTGGCACTCGTGGCTTGACAACTCAGAAGGCAAAAGTCAACTTGCAAACAAGTTTTTGTGATTTTGCATTTGATATATATATATATATATATATATATATAAAAGAGAAATTAAAAAAAAAAAAAACATTTGTATAGCTATTTCCCCCCCACAAGAACTACCTTGCAGGATTTGTCAACAGCAAGGAGTTAGGAAATAAAATAAAAAGGTAGCTTAAAACTTTAAAGAATCAAGAAAGAAGAGAGCAAAATGAAAAAAAAAAAAAAAAAAAAAAAAAAGAAAAAAATTGGAGAGGGAGAAATAACAATATAACTGAGGACCAGCAGATTGTCTAGACAAAACTTAAACCCAGTTTCATGGTGGTAGGGGGGGGAGTGTTAGGATTCAGACATCAGATAAAATAACCATGACCTATATTTTAAAATATTAACACTTAGTTTTTATAAAGAAAAATACTTAAAGAAAATTCAAGATTTTAAAATTAGAGAAGACTTTTATAATTATTTTAAAAAAAAAATAAAGAAGGGTAATTAAAAGATGATATCTAAAATAATAATACATATAATATGATAATTAAAAATTAATGAAATAATTATTAAAGACAAGTTATTAAGTAACTTTAATAAAAATATTATTAAATATAAATTAATAGGTAATAAATATAAGCTAATAAATAAATAAATTTAAAACAATATATAAGTGAAATATAAATTAATTATTAAATATAAATTTAAAAAAAACATTTAATAAATATAAATACAAATTGATATAAATACAATTAACTATTAAAAATAAGTATTAAGTTTTAAATATTAAATCAAAAGTTAAGTATAAAATTATAATTTAAGTAAAACATTAAAATAAATAAAAAAATTATAAATAAAAAATAATTAAATGAAATAAGACAATACATATAGTAAGGACAAAAAAAAAGGAAATATTAATATTAGTAATAATAATAATAAAAACACGCATGTAGGAGGAAGGTTATTTGAAAGGAATGACTAAGAGTAGAAATAACAGTATATGTGTTAGGTGATAACAGATTAAGTAAGATCGAAAATATTCTAGATCAGTTTAAACCTATTTCGGTGACAACATTTGGAAACTAACTCATTCCTTTGATTTAGTAGTATACTTTGATTATTGAATTTAATAATTTGAATCTTCTAAACACAGGTTACATTCTACCCTTAAAATTACTAGAAGTTTGAGTAAATCCTATGAATTTCCAGTCAATCTGAGGGTTCAGATCTTTTTACACAATTCCCAAAATTTTTTGGAAAGAGCAGTTTGGTGCTTTAATCTTGGGTTGGAAAAAGAGTGTCTATGGTTATAAAGTCTTTCTATTCCCCCACGGAGTCCCAATGTAAATATGGTGGTTTAAATAATTTTCTTTGGGGTAAATGGTTGCTTGGTAAGTAACATTAGAAGCTCTTCATTTTCCTTTGACTGGAAAAAGTTTGCTATTTCTACACTTATAGGGGGGATCTATTCTAGGTTTATTGTTGATACCATTGAATTTGAGTATAATTTGATTATTGAATTTAATAATTCGAATCTTCTAAACACAGCTTACCATTGAATTTGTTTAGAATATAATTATTATGGGACTTGATTATTTTAAACATGATTTTTGTACAGGAATAACTTATTTTGATAGTTTTTCTATTGAAGATCTTACTTAGAGGATTGTTATTTTGGAAATGTTTATTTATAAGCTTCAAGAAAACTTGTCCAATATTAATTTTGGATAACTTACAGAATGGGGAGTTGAACCATATTATATTTCTTTTTCTATTTTTGTGCTTACGATTCCTCTTATCCTCATTAGTGTTACTTTTGGGGTTTAAGTAGGATAGTTTTGTTTGTAAATCCACTTTTTTTGAGAGAATTTTCATACAATTCTTTGTTTTTATTAAAAATATTCTTATTAAATGAAAGTTTACTAATTCTGTAAGACAGTAATTAGTATCTGCGTCAAGATGGTATAGGGGTGGTTAGAGTCGACACTAATGTAGTTAGGAGTTTCATGTTCCTCTGGTATGGTTATGCTCTGTTATAATAAATACATTGAGCTCTCTTTGTGGATCAGTTTTAATATTTTATATTATTAGGATTCACCTGGATTATTTACCTATGGATCTCACCATTCCGAGGATTTTTAGCTGTGTGTGTATGTATATAACTCACAACTCTTTGGGTAAAGTCATTGGATCCAACCAATGCTTTTATCCATTGGGCCTTGAGTTCAATACCTGGCTATGGCAGTGGTAAACAAAAACTTGGGGAGTTGAGTTAAAGGGAAATAACTGAGACATCTGGAAGAGTCATGGCATGTGGAACTAGAACAATCTGCACCAATGGACAGAATAAAGGGATCAGTTCAAAATTCCAGTCACCTGAAGAAGGCCGGAGCGTACAACAGCCAAAATGTTGTGAAAATGGCAATAAAGATGAGGACAACAGTCCAAACAATGTAAATAATGTAAATAATTACAATAACTAATTTCAGAAATATAGACAGCCTAAAATTTATATATGAAATGGAAGAAAACAATACTTTACCTTTCCTAGACATCATGTTACACTGAGTTGATAACAGCCTAAAATTTAGTGCCCACTGAAAATCAACGAATAAGAATGATCTAATAAATTTTTATTCCCATCATAACAAAATAAAATCTGGAATGATCATTGGATTCTGTTTAAGAGCACTCAGAATTTGTAAACCTTCAATATTTAAACAAAGAGGAGAAATACATTGAAAATACTCTTTTATTGACCCTAACTATTTCATATTCAGTGTGGAACAAAAGGTTCATAAAATATTCCAAAATAGAAAACAAGTCCCTCCTGACAAACCCAATGAATCAAAAAAATATATTATTCTACCCCCTAACACTATCACAACTCCAATCAAAGAATTCATTTAAACTCAACATAAATTTTGTCACACCTACATCTAAAATAATAAAAGATTTAATCAAAACAAAGCAAAACAAACCAACACTTGAAGGAGGAATTTACTCTATCATTGCAGGAATTGCCAGAAAGGATATATTGGAAAAACCCCAAGAAGTTTAAACAAAACATTATATCATCACAAAAGAGACATTAAAAAAACAAAACAATACACAAGATGCCTTGGTTGTTCACTGTAACAAAACTGACCATAATTTTAATATAAAAAATCCTACTTTAATGAAAAAAGAAAATAATTTACTAAGACAAAAATGTCTAGAAAGTGTGTTATTCCCTAATTAATCATTCACAGTAAATTTATGTCCAGGTTCTTATAATGTTTTACCATTCTAGGCAGATTTTTTGTTATCCCAATGTGGGTCATTTAATAACAAAGAAGAAAAGAAAAAGACTATAGATGAATTTGGCTAGATTTCAAAAAAAAAATTATTTCAAAACAATTTTTAAACTACCAGCATGTCTCATTCATGGGCATGTGTAGTCACAACAACATCAACAAACTCAGTCCAATGAAGACCTTATGGATGAAACACATCACAAAACCTTTTTCCAATCTGTCATACATTGATTCTTTCAAAAACTGTCCTGGATATATAAAAATTCATCTATCATTATTCCATGCATATATATATATATATATATATATATATATATATATATGAAGAGGATTCATACCTTTCCCAAGGGTATTAGCACGTAAGTGAATGTAATGGATTCGACTGGAATTCGAACTCGGCTCTGTGATTCCTCAATCCAAGCCGCTATCCACTACTCCACCGTGCCTCTTCATCTCCCTCCAGCTATGGGTAAAATAGCAGGACAGACTGGGTTCTATAGCCTTGGATGGCAACTGATCTAGGAGAAGGACAACTCTGAATTCAAAACCTGCGGAGGGTCGTTTGGGAACCTTGTGGCATTCGGTGCACCAGGTTTCTGTATTCGTCCCTCCAAAAAGTGTGGATGGTCCTGCATGAGGCCTTCACCACTATAATCAAATCTCATGTGCCGGTGTCGGGATGTCGGTTTCCTGGAGACTTATCGGCCTGACCCTCATACGTCGAACGCGACGGGAGAGTCGATTATATATATATATATATAATTATGAAAATCCATTTTTAAAAACATTTTGGTGCAATTTGTAATCATTATTTGCCATAAAATTATATATTAATCTTTGGAGTGAATTGATTAAAATATATATTTATAAAATCAAGAACAATATTGTGGAAAATTTTTTCTTGTGAAGCATTTTATCCTCTAGCCCGAAACACATCACAAGAAAACCTTTTCCAATTTGTCATACATTTTTCCCCCATATATATATATATATATATATATATATATATATATATATATATATATATATGAACAAATAGGAAATGTCTATCAATCTAACATGTTTTACTTTTATTAAAACTTCATCAGAGACTAAGAGAAAACAAACAAAAAGACAGAAACTTTGGTATTTTCAATTTTGTTTTGGGTCAGTTGTCATTGGTCAGACACATGTTATGTGCATCAAAACCGTAGAAATTCTTTATGTATGTAAGTTTGTGAAGATTCTTGTATGTCTAAGTGGATATTGGATGGTAGTGTGTTTTCATAATTGTGTTTGTCTTCTTGTCTAGTGGGAGTTGTAATGTCTTCAACTTTGTGAAGTCAGGCCAGTGCAGCAGGGTGTCATATCATTCTAATTTATGGCTGATCCTTTTAAGCATGTATTATTTATATTAGATATAAGTTGGATTCTTTAAGGATGGATTCAAAGAAAGATAACAATGTCATGTTTTAGGTGTGTGTTTATAGTTGGTAATAATTTTATTTTGTTATTATTATGAAAATGAATTGAAAACAACAATAATAACAATAATAATATATGTTTGTTCTGTGTGTTGGTGCTGCCAGCCAAAAGACTGATTCATAACAAATATGAAATCTCTCCCCAAATGAATTTTGGAAAGAAAAGCCATGATTAATAAAAGTCCTTTTTTTTTAATGCCATATTCTTTCAGGGCATAAGCAATTACAGATTCTCTACAGATTCTTTTTTCTTTTTAATATCAGTAAACTGTTATGACTTCTTAGGAAATATTGAGGAATAGTTTTTAATTATCTTCTCAAATTTGAATTTAGAATTGGTCTTCAATCAAAATCAGAGCTAGAAAGCCGAGTCTACCCTGTTATTTAATCCATTCTTAAATGCCATGTCCCTTTAGGGTGTAACTGATTATGGCTCTCAACAGATGCTTTTTTTTTAACATCTATAAGTTGTCATGATTTCTTGGGAAAGGCCAGTGGAGTGGTTTCCCATTACCTTGTCCATGGTTTTGAATCCAGATTTTTTCTTCTCTTAAAATGGCTGTCACCCATGGTTAGAAAGTTGGGTGGAGAAAGGATGCATTTATCCCTTTCTCAGGGCCATTTGTACAAAACTGAATACAGCTAATTAGTCTAGAATTCAAACTCATCTCCCTGGTTTCACTTTCCATGCCAATAACTGTCATGTCACCTGCACACTTTTATTTTCATAAGTAATTTGCTAAGGGTTGTACAGGTAGCATAACAGTTTTCAGTAGATAAAATGGAAACTGCAAGCTGAGTTCAAATTCCTGTTAAGGCTTTTGCATCCACTTTTGAACTAATGCTCTTGGAAAAGGCATGAATCCACGTCTCATCAGCTCTAAGGTAAAATAGAACAAAACACCAACACCCTGTCCCTCCTTAGCTCCTGGTATGTCAACTGATCCAGAAGAATGACAGTGAATTTAAAGCAAATGAACAAAGACAATGAGAAACTCTACTCCCTCCACTACTCCCCTAAGAACAGTCATGGCAACTCAGGGATATTAAAAAAAAAAGGGGGAAGAGCCACGATTTGCTACATCCTGTAGTAACATGGCAATAAAAAAAATCAAATATATATTTGTATTTAAACCTTGTAACATTTAAATATTCAGATATTTTTAAAAATTGTTTTTAATCTCAAAATGTCATATTTTATTCTGACAATTATCAAGATTAGGAACAATAAAGGTAATGAAAAAAGAATTAAAAAAAGAATTCTGATTTGTCTCTTTTTTAGATTCCTGACTGGGATGACAGAATCCATACGATTCAGTGGGTGGATGTAGAAGCCCCTCTTGACAACAACACAAGAGCAAATTCTGTGACAACAGTGACAACAGCCACAAACAATAAAGAAAAAGCACACATTGACAAGTAAGTGTAATTGTGAGTCTTTAAACAACCAATGCTAAAAAAAAAAGAGGTGTTAAATAGCTTGGCATTGACATGTGTGAGATGCACACGCATAAACAGGGAGTCTACGTCCCCTAGTATCATTTCCAATTACCCTATATCACTTCCCCTTTATCATTTCTGTAATGAAAATCCAATATGTCCACCATGTGTTCCTTGTTTGTTAAATACTATTGAATATATCCATTCCATCCTCCCTCAAGGCATATGCTGACTTTGATGGTTGCAAGAGTAACAACCAAAAAAACAAAAAAAAAACAAAATGTTGCCAGTGAGGCAGAAAGAAAAGAAGATGGGATAATTTTAGAATAAAATGATCTGTATTGCCAGTATTAATGAATCAAAGCAGAATTGTAGGCAGTGTGTATGTGAGTTTACAACAGGTTATCTTTGGATAACTCTCCTTAATCCCAATATACAGCAATTTTTCACCTTTTAATAATGAATAATAAATGATAATTAGTAGAAAGATATATTTTGCATTTACTTGATAAAATCTCTTAAAATATACAATATTTAAAGAATAAGTTCATATCAGAAAGTTCTCATGTTGAACATCTAAGTCCTTTAGCATAAGATAGAGAAAGAGTCTTTGTATGTATGTATGTATGTATGTATCTTGTTGATAGTAATTCTTTTGACTCTCTGTGGGATTTTTAGAGGGCATGGGAGATCGAACAAAATTATTTCATTGATTCTTTGGTTCCTTAGCCAAGTCATCTGTGTTTATACACTTTTTCTAGACAAAGGAATTAATTTCAGAATTGTCTCTTGATTTCTGATTGGTTCACAGGTAGGACTCATTTGACTGTCTATTTTCTTCCCCTATATTTAGGAAGGATGACCTTTTGGTCACTTTCATTTATTTATTTTTCTTATCTTTTTGTTTTTATTCCTTTATGGCAAACCAAAATGATTTGACAACTTTTTTATCTTTTTTTAAATAGTGAATTTTTAATTTTTCTATCACTACAGAATGACTCTTTTGTAGACAAGGGAGGTGGCTAGGAAGATGGGAGAATTGGTTTGTATGCCCCCCCCCTCAACGTCCCCCCGTGTGTTTCTTGTGTCTGGCTGTTTGACTGGAAGGCTACTGGTGAACTCTGTGATGCATGTTTACTGCTTTATATGTTGCTGAGTGGATACATGACTTAGTGTTTTTTTGTCATGCTTTTGCTTTATATTTTTGAGGAATTTCATTTGCAGGGCAGATGCAATACTTGGAGCTTCTGCACAGAGAGCAACTTGTTTTAGTTTTTATTTCATGCTTGTAGCTCTTGCATCCAGCTGACAAGTTTTGGTGCAGGGTGAATCAGAAAGAGGTTCAATTTGAAGCAGAGTGTCTCCCAAAAGTGGTATGTTTCAATCAAAAACAAAGATTTTGCATTGTTTTTGATTGAGGTTAGCAAGCATTGATTGTTTTTCATTTATTTTATTTCATTTTTAACTTTGGATAAGAAAAGTTTAGAATTAGTTCTTGATACTTGGCCACACACTTCCTTAGCTTTGGACCCTGTGTAGGTCTTTGTTATAATGCAATTCATAGCATTTATAATATATGTAATGCTCTGGCAACTTGCTGTGATGCATGTATTACTTAAAGACTGAAGACTGATGCCAAATGGCTTTTTTATTTACCTTGGAGCTCTTTATAATTTTGGACTAGTTTGTATAGTCACCGAGGGTGTACTATTTACTCCACAACATCCCCACCTTTTGAGACTAATACTTTTTATAATTTTTTTTATTTTGTATTAATATCTCCTCCTCCTCTTTCTGAAGAATTTACCAACATACTTGACTTTGTTGCGTTTTCGTCTTGGATCCACTTCAAGTTCTTTAGTAATGCTTTCTTTTTTTTGAATTTGTTCTTGTAGTTTCCATGACTTGTGCTATTGACACATTGAAAAACTTTTTTTCAGCTGATTATGGTGCCTTTTATGTTCAAGTCTTTTCCCTTTTACAATGTAAGTCAGTTTCCCGATGTTTACTGCTATTATGGTGTCTTCCCACATTTCTTTGACATCCTTATATACTCTAAAGAACACTTTATTGCCAACCTTGAAACTTTTGGTGCTGCTTTTGTTAACTGTTCATATTTTTTGACTTGGTAATAACTTTTTTGAACATTGATTTTACTTTTCTATCAAACATTAATTCCACCAGCGACATGCCTGATGGTGTATTAGGGTTTGGTGTTACACTGTAAACTCTAAGAACAATTTTAAAGTGTTTTCTCATTTACTTTCTCAAGATTTGCTTTCTTCAATGCTCTTTTGAATATTCCCACAAACCATTCCTCTTCTCTGTTTGACCTTGAGTGATACAGTGGGGTTGCAATATGTTCAATGAAGAACATATAAAAGTCTTTGAATTCTTCTTACCCATGAATTGTGACTCATTATCAGAAACTATAGTATCTGGTATGTCATATCTTGCAAACAGTTTATGCAAGAAATTCACTGAGGATGTTGGATTTTTGCATTTATAAATTTCCATCCCTTTAGGGAACCTATCAACTACCACAAGATAATGTGATCCATTCACAGGATCAGCAAAATCTATATGCAGCCTTGACCACAGTGTGTCTGTCTTTGGCCAAGGTTCTATCTTTGTGATAGGTAGTTTTGCTACCAGAGAACAACCCCAGAAAGCTTTCACTATTTTTTCAGTATCTTGCTCCATTCTGGTCCAACATATGAAGCTTCTCATCAGAAATTTAATTCTTGAAATAGCAAGATGTCCACTATGAAAATCCTTCAATATTCATTCTGTAACACACTACAACCCTCTGCTCAAACATTACAACACCATTTCATAGTGAATAAGCATTAAAGTTTGGATTTCATTCTTTATTACTTTATTTCAATCTTTTTTTTCATTTTCTCAATAAAGACGTCATTTTCAGTCAGAATTTGTAAATATGCTCCAAAAATATCCAGCTTTGAAAATATTCTTCTGCTATTTAACTTTGAAAAAATTTCCTCTGGACCTCATAATGGGTTGTTATGTGTTTCTAAACAACTCTTTAATCCTGTCAAGAAATCTGCGCAAACACAGATTTTATTATTTTTTTCTTAACATACACCTCTAGTGAAACCCATTTTGAATGGTTAATTTTTTCTATTACACCAACTCTTTTGATTTCACCTGTTTTTTTTTTTCAGTAATATGTAGTTGCAGTATTTTTCCTTAACAACAATTTCAGTTTTCTTTCATCTTCCCAGTCATTGCATTCCTGACTGAATATTTATTTATATTTATGAAAACATGCAGAGTTCAGTCATTCATGAGAATTATATACAAATTCTGATATTGTGTTTTGGACAACATCTGGCATAAGAGATATTGAAATTTTTTTTTATTTTCTTAGGAATTTTATTCAACAACTCATGTTGCTGTTTTTGTTGTTCTAGCAAGTGTTAATTTTGTTGTTGTTGTTGCTGTTTCTGTTGTTGAATTTCAACTAGCAAAGCCAAAATTTGCTCAGTATTCACAAGTATGTTTTTTTCTACACCCAAGAGAAAATTTTTTTTTTCTTCTACACAAGGAAAAAAAAAATTCTTTTTTAAAGCAACATGGTTAAAATTCTTGTTGTCACCCATATCCTTGTTCCCAAAGCATCAAGTATATTTTTTCTGTACTTGTTCAATCATATGAGGTTCCAAAATCCTCATAACTCATATGAGATCCTAAACCCTCATTAATGTTATAAGTTCCAATTCCTTGTCACAACAGTTATAAATCACCTGAGTTTCAAATCCCACATCACTGTTACAATTCGTTCATAGCACTTATATGCCTCGGCTACTTGCCATAACACCTGTATTAATCAGTCTGAAGACTGACTTCAAATGACTTCTTTTTACCTCTGATCTGGAGTTCTTTATAGTTATGGACTAGTTCATATAATAACTGGGGGTGTACTATTTATTCCACAAGTTTTTTTCTTTTAGATATTTATTATAACTCAACATTAGTGGAATAAGCTATGTTTTCACAAAACTAATTTTTTTGTATGCAATCAGTTGCTAAATTTATTCTGATGAACATAAAAAATTTCCTATTCTGAAAACCCCTCTTGTGAGCCGCACATGATAGTCTTGCGTATAACTAGTAGGCTTTATACTTTTTGTAGGCCTGATATAGAGTGACAAAGTGATTGAAAGCAGGGATTTAGAGTTTTGATTTTTATAGTTGCCAGAGTAAAAGATACTTTCAAAAGGGATCAGTAATCCTCAGTCTCTCATCTTATTCAATTGTTTTTCTTTTGTGTTCCAGTTCTACTCGTGTCTCATCTCAGAACAAATCTGGCCCTTCCAACCTTCTAACTGCATCGACAACAACACCAACATTTATAGGTCCTCGAAAAAAGAAGGTGATTAAAACCAAACCTCAGCCTCCGTGTACTGAAGTATCAGATTCAGAAAGAAACATTCTACTCCTGGTCAGTGGAATTGCGGATTATTGTGAATATTCGTGTTCAACAACACAGATTCACTTCAAAGATACACTCATGTTTCAGACAAGGACTTACAAGTGAGTAGTTTATTTTTTATCAGGTTATTTATTGTTTTTTAATCACTTCACCCTAACTAAGGGCCAAGTGCTTGCTGGGAGTGAAAGGGAATGAGAAAGCTTTAGTGAAGAAAAAGGACAATAAAAGAACAGGGTTCAAGAAGACAGAAAATGGTGATTTAAGTTGCATTTAAATTTTGTAAGATTATAGGTGTCAGGGAAACAAGAAATTGGAAGAGTGTTCCACAGATGAGAAGTGCAAGAAAAGAAACTATTAGAATAAAACATACAGTTACATCTAGCCATTTCAGCTGTAAAATGATGAGACCAATCTAGTACTGCTCTTAAATTCATGAAGTCTAGTTACCAAAGAGGATAGCTCATCAAAACAATTACTATGAACATACTTATCAGATTAAGAAATTGTTAGCATAGAACTTACGGTTACATCTAGCCATTTAACTGTAAATTGATGAGACGTAACTGCTAATCTAGCATTCATGTGTTTGAGGCACCACAGAAGAAATCTCATTGGAAGAATTGCCATGAAAATATAGAAAAGACAGAGGAAAGCCATGTCATAGTAGTAGAAAAGTGTTTAAAGAAGAAATGTCAGGTCAGGACTGGTAACATTACAGAATCTTCTTTAGATTATTTTGAGAAACTCAAGATATATAGCTGGAGCACCAGACCAGCAATATTCAATGCCCAGATGAATGGTAGAATTAAAAATATGCAAAGTAAATTCTGACAAGAAACTATTGTCTGGTATGACACAGTGAACCCACTTTCCTAGCAGTAGACCTAGAAAATTGAATTTATTAGATTAATAAAAGCAGTCATATTAGAAAATCCTAAAATACATTTCATAGCAAAAAAAAAACCCAAAAAAACAATTTATAACAAAGAAGAGGGCCAGCAAAAATCATATATTATCATAAAATAATAATAATACCAAAACAACTAAAAACAGCTAAACAAGTTTATTGGTCCTCTATCCTATTTTATAGTAATAAAGGCTGTTCCAATAACTTGGAGTGATTTTAAATATGAATTAAATTTAAGCATCTAATGATTTTTTTTTCTTTCAGATTTAACAACTTAAGTCTTTGGCAATTTCAACTATGGAAACATTAACAATCAAACGTGTTAAAGTTATCAAAGCCTACTACGAAAATGGACGTTCAAACAGAAATGCATTTTGCGCACTTTGTGATTTTGCAACTGAAAGTGCAATTGGAAACAATGTAATGTTGTTATGGAGAGGTTCAATTCCTGTGCATGATTATGAATAGAGGTGTCTGGATTTTTGGCCACATTCTTGTGCACTGCAGCAATGTTTTCAGCTGAATGGCATAAATGAGCACGCAATGGTGTTTTCACATCTGCCACTGACCCAGTTTGTTTGAATTTACAAGCAATTTTTCTGATTGCACTCTTGAAACTTTAACACATTGTTTAATTGTTAATCTTTCCATGGTTGAAATTGCCAAAGACTTAAGTTGTTAAAACTGAAAGAAAAAGAAAAAATCATTAGACACTTAAACTTAATTCACATTTAAAATCAGTCCAAGTTATCAGAATTACCTTTTATATACATTTTGTTATGAATGATATTTTAATATGTTTGATTTTATTGCTCTAATAAAATTTTATCACCTTGCAAAAAACTGAATTTACTTTTCAAATGCTTAAGAAATGTAAAGTTGAAGAATAAAAGAAACTGTAAATAAAAAAATTGGGAAAAAAAGTTTTTGGAGAAATCATTTTTGTAGTGTAGCATTCATTAAACCCTCTTCAAAGCACAGCATCAAAAAATATTGATTTTTAAAATAATTTTAGAAGGTGGATCCTCTTCATTATGTTGATAGAGTGAAAAATAAATCACTGACGTTTTACCAAGTTATGTGAACTTCAGTTCTGTGCACAAAAACAGACATATTTTTACAAAAAGATTTTTTTTAAATAATGAATGGATGTATACATTTTTAGTTAAAGAACAAAAATTTAGATAAATTGATAAAAGTATATGTGTCTGTTTATTTTTCATTTATGATAAATAATTATTACCTCCCCAATGTTTGTGCAGGTGCTTTGGAAAAAAAATTCCTCACCAAAACCAAATTTTGTAAAAAAAAGGTTTTAAAAAAATTCAGAAAATTAAAAAAAATATGCAGATATCAAGAATGTAAGCCCATTTTCAAACTGGACATTTGTAAATAACAACTCAGTCCAACACATTATCAATATTATAATCAGTATTATAATCATTATTACACATGTAGATCAATTAAAAAAATGAATATTTTTTTTATTCTAATAAATGCTTTGGTTTGAGAATGACCTGATGAATGTAAATCTAGAAAAATTACTCCCCAGAAAAATTTTCTCTATTTTTATAAGGGGACTCGTCTACTTAAGTAGTACCCAGGAATCATTTGATCTATGATATTTCTAGTATTATTTATATTACTTAAATGCAGGCTATTGTCTTCATCTTTGTTGTTTTTATCACAATGTTTTGGCTGTTGTGCCCTCTCACCTTCATTATGTCAGTGCAAGTTACCTTCAAAGAAAATAGCCCTTTAGATTAAAGTGTTGATTGGTGAATAGAGTAATTGTGAGTTCAATCCTTGGGCCTGGTAGTACAGACTTGGACTCAGTAGAAATGGGGCAAGCAATAACCGAGCAGTCCTAAATAATATCAAGAGAAGTTAGAAGAACAAAAATAATCTATGTCTGTAGATTAAATAAATGGATCTTGATTTTGGTTGTTTTGATTTCTACATTTTAATCAAGCGATTCTTTGGCTTTTCTCTTCAACTAAAATTCTGAGATTAATTATTTTCATTATTCCAGAACTAATTTGGACTAGCATCTTCATTTTTGTTTCTTTCTACCACAATTGTGTGGGGTGGTGTAATAATAGCAGCTCAGAACAAGAAATCAACAAGCTGAGTTCAAATTCCACCTGAGTTTGTTATGTTCCTTTTTACACTAATACTTTTCGGAAATATATTAACCTATTTCTACTCCTCCAATCTGGGCACTCTAGCTGTAGTTGGCAACCAGAATTTAAAACTTTATGTAACCCCAGCAGAACACATACTATAAAGCCATCAACATGATCATAGAGTTCATAATGACTCTCTATTGTCTCAACTGGGATTGACCTACAACTGTACATCAACACTGTGATTATTGCAATCACAGTGTTGCTCTGTTTTACTTGCTGATCTTCCAAATTGTGGTTGGAACAACAATGAGGAGGATGTTAGTCCAAATTATTTCTGGAATAATGGCAATACTTTATCTCAGAATTTCAGAAGATAAGGAGAACAAGAAATTCACAGATTGAAAATAGGGATCAAAAAACTGTATTGTGTGATTCCTACCAGAAAAGAGATTTGAATCAAATTAAGACCAAAAGGAATTGTAATAGAAATGTTGGCAGTCTTATATGATTTCAGCATTGATAAGATTACAGACATAATAAATGAAATATACAACAATGGTCATATGCCAGAAGACCTGAGTAGAACCATTTTCATATCACTGCCGAAGAAGCTAGGTGCAAACAAATGCAAAGTTCATTGAACAATCAGCCTAATGAGCCACATAGCAAAACTTATCATCCAAATTCTGATGAATAGAGCACACAGAGAGTCAGACCAGAAATAGGACAAGAAATAGTGCAACTTTGTTAAAGACATTGGAACAAGGAATGCAATATTTATGTTCAGAATGATATCAGAAAGAGCAATACAAATACAGAAAGATGTGTACCTGTGTTTTATAAATTATGTAAAAGCGTTTGATAAAGTACATCACAAAGAATTGTTGGAACTGTGAGGTAATTTCAACATATTTGGGAGGGATATTGGAATAATCCAGAACCTATACTGGCAGCAAGCCAGCTGCATATGGACAGGAATTGTCTTTGCTAAAAATACAAAAATAGAAGAGAGTGTAAGACAAGGCTGTGTCTTCTCACCGGACTTATTCAACCTATACAGCAAGACCAGGATTCATTATTGACGACCATAATCTTAACAACATGAGATCTGCAGATGATATAGTATTGATAGCAGACAAAGATAGGAAACTACAATAACTCCTGCAGAAGATGCAATGAGGGAAAGTAAGAAAAAAGGACTAAATACCAATTCCAAGAAGATAGAATTTCATGGTAGTTAGCAAAAGGAACAGTTCAACATACAAATTAAAAAAGTATCTGAAGATATCTACGACCAGAGAGAAAATACTGAGTGAATGGTAAGGGTAATATTAACCATTTCCCTATAAGGAAACATTTGGCATTCATTGACCAAGCAGTCAGTACTGCTTTCAGTTGAAATTTATAAAATCTTTCTCTTAAAACATTTTTTTAAGAAAACAAGATTCTCAAGTCCAGTGGCTGTTATCGATCTTTCCAGTACTGAGGAGGGGGTGTTCCTTCCTATCCTTATATTTGATGTGGTGTGGAGGGTCAACATCTTGATTTTGTCATTATTTTCTCTTTGAGTTACACGTGATATCCATTTAAGTTGCTGACTCTAGTCCTCAGGTAATGTAGTTTCTGTTATTTGGTACAGTTCTTAGTGATTGCACCAGTCTACAATGTTCAAAGAGGGATGATCTTTGCCAAAATCCTCAGGTTTCACTCGCTCAAAGCCATTTTTCACTACTTAGGAAGTTGTTGTATACAGCTGACAGTTTAGAGTAGCAAATGAAAGCCCAGACAAAGATCTACACTTTGCAAATCATCTGACCACATCAAAGATTTCTTTGAAATCTTTGAGATGTTTCATCAGTAAAAGGGGAATCTCTTAAAGACAACTCTGCTCAAGTTGTGGCATTGCTCAAACTGTCGAAACTTGAAATTGGATGTTTCAATCAAGACAAGAATTCATAGTTAATTTTTTACATACATTTGTTTCCATGTGACAGAAGTTACAAATGCAGAAAAAAAGACACATAGAGGAAAAAGTCACACTATCCATTATTATTATAATATCTTGTTTTTTGATAAATTTAAAAGAAATACTATAGACCAGGTTTTGATGTTAGTTGACTGTGTGTGTAATCAGGTGATTTTCTTTTCTTTTTAATTTTTTTTTTTTTTGACAGGTTCAGCATATTTAACAAAGGGTTGGTTCAGATGGACTACAATTGGCAAGTGATTATGGACACTTTCAGACCATCAATTACTGATGGACAAAAACAAACTAATGAAGGAGCACCAGCCTCACCAGCACCTTCCCCTGATTCATATGTTCCATTCTCTATTGAACCCGCATTTGGAACCATTGCAGCCAAAGGAACAGTAAACTTTACGGTCAAGTTTTCTCCACTCAACATTACAGAGAATTCCGGACACTTAATCTGCAGGTAGGAAATTATTGTATATAATCTTGTGTTATATTGGGCTGCATTACCATCCATCTGTTTTAGGAGATGATGGTAAAACACAAAGCACTTCAGGCCTGTGTATATGTTATGAAGATCTTAGACTTACCATATATCAAGATAACCTCTCTTGGAGTTACCAGTCTATTACAGTTTGATACCAGCAGAGTTGTAGGAATTGCCATAAGCCGATGCAGTATTTGAAGGCTCTGATTCAGATTTGTGTTGAGTTTATTACTTAACATTTTTTTCTTTAAGATACTCTCAAGGCAATGTTTTTTCTTTTTAATTCAAAGTTTTCCTTCTCTTTGACTGGTTGTAGCAAGATAGTCAGGTTTAATCTGCTATTTAATCCATAGCTGGAGGAAGATAGATTCATTTTTTTACAAGGACATTAGTGAGTGTATACATTAAAAACTAATTTCTCCCTTAAGTTTAAAATAAAAACATCCGAATACTTTGTGTCTTAGCCTCCAGAATGCATTTTGTGTATATCAGTAAAAACTGATGTTTCCTTCAGGTTTTAAAGGAAAACATCTGAATTGTTTGTCATAGCCACCAAAACATATTTTAAATATGTAATTTATTAGCTCAGTTATCTGACCTTTTTGTTCATTTGAAACAATGCAAAAGATTTACATTTCATAGATTTTTTTTTTTTATATATCAAGTTAAAAAAGTAGTAACAACGGCAGATGTGGGAAGAACAAATACCATGACCAACAACAAAAAAAGATTTCATATCTATTTGTCCACAATGCTGAAACTACCATCTTTATTTATGGCTATGGTCAGATTTATCTGGGCTCCTAGATTCAAACGCTGATTTCAAACCGAATAGTGAAAAGGCTACGGATGTAAACCCAGATAGGAGAACCAGAGTGAAGACCTGAAGGTGGTTGGCTATCAACACTTGCAACCTTCTGGCAACTCCTGCAGCCAATCCGGATCCAAATGTAATGCCCTGTATTCCTTTCGGTACGACTGAGTGGCGGTCCATGAGGTCTGGGCAGTTCACAGCCTCAGCATACCATCACTCATGCCCTACACCCTGGAAAGGTCACTTCAGTTTCACTACCAAAGGACTGAATTTTGATCAAACTGATTGCTGTCTTTATCTTGCAAGATAAATGGATGCCTACTGTAGTGAAGTGTCATCAGTTATTTTATGACTTTTGATTGTCTTTTGAGTTTTTCATGCACTTCTAAAACTATAAAAAAATCAAACCAATTTTGGTGATTTTGGCAGATTTTATTTCTCATCTTGGCATGAGTGTTATATGAGAAAAATTCAGTATTTATGTTAGATTTGATTGTTTTCTATGGCTTATGAACCCTTTGTGGGTTATTTAAAACCAGAAAATACTTTTAGATTGTAAGAATATTTTTTTTGAGATAATAATGGTTTACAGATACAAGTTTTACTAATTAACCCATAGCTGGAGGAAAAAGAGGTGGATTCATACATTTTCCAAGGGTATTTGCATATAAATGAATATAATGAACCCAATTGAAATTGGAACTCTGTTTTCTGATTAACAATTCCGAGGCATTATCCATTACACCACCTGCACATTCAAGTTTACAGCATTTGGCACTGTCATATCCGAGGAATATTTATTGTTTATAAAGAGCCCAATTTCTAGTCCAGCCTCATATTCATTCTATGTCGCCCTTCATCCATCACTCAAATTATAATCATGAAATCAGTTTTCATGTACTTCTTCACCCAACTTACATATTTCTCTTTGTGATGTTAACTTAAAAGTGGTAGTTTGATTGCTTTCATGCCTTTAACTAATGTCCTTAATAGTCTGCATCTCTCTGTTTAATCTTAGTTGCCTAATACTAGTGGGAGGTTCTTAATAATTAGGGACTCAGAATTTTTCTCATTGTAAATAATGCACAAAGTCATGCAAAGAGTCAGACATTGGTCGCAAACAGTGAGACTTTAAGAGCTGATATTTATGGGACAGCTTTTAGTGTGTGGAATGTCAAAGGATTAAAAGGTGAAAAATTTTAGAACGTAAGTAAATAAATCCATTCTGTAACACGTAACCTAAGCAGCAAAACTTTTTGCACTTTCTAATAAGATAGTAGCATTTAGAGAGAGGCCCCTCAACACAAAAGTTTGCATAACAAATGAAAAAGCATTTTTTTTTAACAAAACAAAGTTTATCAAAGACTGGAATATGATAATTCTGGAAAGAATAAAAACAGACAATGGAACATTGATTATTTTTTTTCAAATATTTTCTTGCTGCTCAATTCAATTTTCCTCTTTATTAATATTCTAATTTTTTCTAATTTTTTAATATTAATTTTCTAAATATTTTATTTTTTCTAAATATTTTAATATTTTTAATTTCTTTATGAAAAAACATTTATTTTATTCTCAATTTAATGTTTTAAATTTTTCTAATTTTTTTAATTTTAATTTTTCAAAATTTTAAAATTTTTTAAAAATTTTTACTTTATTTATGAGAACAGTTTTATTAATGCATCCAATTTATTTTTTGATTGTTCTTTAATCTTCATTTAGCTTTTTCACAATTTCTACTGTCTTCTTCTTTTGAGATTATATCTTTCATATGACACACAGAAATCTTTATCTGAAATTAAAAATAAATCAATAATTATACTCTTATTTACAGTATGATGCACAATCCTTGAGATGCATAATAAAATCTTACACCCCCAAAATAAGTTGATGTAAATATTTCTAATAAAAACAGGTATTATAAGCATGTTGTACATATTATTTAGGTATATCCTGAGAATTTTACCAACATTAGTTGCTTAATAGTTTTTGAGAGAATATTATAAAAAGTAATGTATATCAAAACAGTGTTGGGACTACAGGTTGGCCAGTAAAAAAGACGGTAAATTCAGAAAGAAATTTCTTTAGCAATCATGATTCATACACAAGCTGAACAATCATTGTAAATATCCGAAATGTTCGCCTGAATGTTCAACACAAAGTTGTAAGCATGGTAACCAGAAGGTAGTAGCTTTGCGGATAGCATCAGGAGGAATTTCATTCCAAGCTTCAGTCAAGTTCCATTTAAAGCTGGTGTATTTTCTCAAAGAATAAATTTCCATTTTTTTATTGGCCACCCTGTAGACCGACAATGTCACGACGACGGTTTTGCAAAGGAGTTAGGAGTATACTCCAGATACAGTAAAATCCATAACATTCAGATATGGGCTTTTAGAAGGGCCACTAAGATAGACCAATTAGAGCTGGTGTATTTTCTCAATGAAGAAATTTCCACTTTTTTATTGGCCACCCTGTAGACTGACAATTGTTTTGTAAAAACATTGACATGCATCAAAATGTTCAATTAACATTTAAATGACAAATTCTATTTTTCTTTGTAGTGTTCCAAATTTGCCAGGCAGCAGCCAAGGACCAAGTATTGGAGTAAAGGGCAGGAGTTTAATGCCATATTGTCATTTTGAGTTGGAAGATTCCGATTATATTCGTACGCGTCGAAATCCTGAAATGCGAGGCCCAGGAGGAGCACCCCCTGGAGCAGCTCTTGATGTCAATACTAGAGTTGTTGAAATAGAATGCATCGGGATAGGAGTCAGTGTACAGAAGTAAGAGGAAATTTAAATGTCTACAAATGGAAAATAATTCCACGATTATGAAATACAGACACTCCTCACTGAACAACCTGGTCACTAAGTGAGAACTGACCATTATTTCAGGCATACTACACATGTAACGGGTTTTTGATATCACTTTTGCACCAATTGTAACATTTCTAATTTATTTTTAAATATTTACAATGTACATCAGTGTAAATGAGGAATGTGAAAAATACCATATGATTTTATCATTTTCCTATCATGTCTGCACCACTTGGGAGTTTTTTCTTATCCAACACCTTGGCCATTTAGAGAGTTACAATTTTGCTTTCCAGTCAACGATGATCTTCCAAAATTTAAATGCAAAATCAATCATCATGTTTTCTGTTCCCTTGAATCCTGTTTTTTTTTTTATTGTCCTTTCTTCTCAGTAACATTTTTTTCAGTTTCCTTCACACTTGGTAAACCCCTGCCTTTTTACCTCTTAGTGGCTTTATAATTTTGCTTGGGGTTAAATGATTAAAAAAATGCAAATTGAAGTAACATACAGAATACGAAGCTAACATTCTACTGTACTGTATAAGCATTTAGAAATAAATTAAAAATGTTACAGATCACTGATGTTAAGCAATGTTGATCCTGGTCATACCTACATGAATGACTGCTTGGGAATACCAGGTACTTTAAGCTTTGGTGTGTGTGGATGGGGTAATGGATAATGGCTCAGAATTGTTAGTCAGAGAGAGCCAGCTGGGTTCATTATAGTTGCTTCTGAGCAAATACCATTGACAAAGGTGTGAAGCCACATCTTCTCCCCCAGCTATGGGTTAATTAGTAAGATTTGCATCATTAGACCATTATTATTTTTTTTTAAATTATTACAATCTAAAAATATTTCTGGCTTTAAATAATCTGCAAAGAGTTGATATAGAAATAGAAAAATGAAAATAGAAAATGATGGAAACAATAAATCAATCAGCAGAAATGTTACAAATGATGTAAAAGTCACATTAAAGCTATCTGAAGCTGATTGACCCAAACCCATTATGCATATAGTATGTCTGAACTAGTGTTGGCATGGAGGAAATCAGATACAGAAGAATGCAACTATAGAACTAAATTTGAATTTGGTTTACTGATAGGCCTCCATAGCCAAATTAGTCAAAAATCATTCTGAAGTCCCAACAATGAGAAGCAAATTCAAGGCTTGTGTCTTTATTTTCAGTCACTGATAGTTGTAGAATGTAAAACAACAACAACAAGTTGAAAGAAAAATGTGTACAAAACAAGTACAAAATACAGTTAATATTGTAGTAAAAAAACAATGAATAAATTTAAACCAAAGCTTTATTGCACTTTACTCTGACTACTCATCTACTGACGGATATTACAGAATGCTTTTTATACCTCATAGATATTTAGGGGAGGTAACTGATGATTTATCAGTACATTCCATGCCACCTCCAAGTATTAAAGCCGCACTCATTTCTTATGTGTCTGAAATATAAGAAGGAGGTTCCACTCAGACAGCCTTTTCCCCAATAACTGCTACTTTGTGGAACATACTCCTGGATGGGTGCTTCCTTGAACACTTCAGTTTTGACCTTTTCAAATCAAAGGTCAATCATCTTCTTTATTCTCATAATTCTCATTTCCTACCTGCTGCCTTCTCTTCCATTCATATCACATACCTCGTGTTCAGTATTACCACTTTGCTGGCTGTAACCCTCTACCATGAGTGGTTCTTGAGCATTGTATTTGGTGAAACTTAGTAAATAAAAAAGTAGTGAAAATTCTACATCTATGCAATCTATACAACTTAACATAGTTATGCTGCAGCTACTACAAGATGTAAAGAAGAAATAAAAATGAAATAATGATTAATCAAAAATGAATAATAATCACAATGATTCATGTCGGAATTTGGACAATTTCTTTTGGTTCCAATCTGTGTGGATGTCTGTTAAAAATTCCCCTTCTCCAATCTTATAAACAAATCCTGCTGATGCATGCTGGGATTTCCTGTTGCATTGCCTTGTATTACATTGTTTATGTCTTGTATTATTTGGCTCTGTTCTTATTTTTATTATTGTTATTGGGAATTTTATCATTTCTTTTAAAAATGGCTGCTTATTCAACAACTTCAAACTATCATTTTTTTTTTTTTATCTTTTAATGATTTTAGGAAATTCTACATTTTGAATCCGACCAACAAGGCATATTGCTATGAATGGATATCTGAAGACGAAATGAACCCAAAGAATTTTACTGGATTTAGCTGCTTATCCCCCAAGGGAAATGTCTCTCCAGGAAAACAAGCTGAGGTAAGTTGGCAAAAAGTACAGATATTTTGATTGGTCAAAATAAATACATCCTCTAGTTGATAAATTTCTGCCATTGATTAAGCACAAAGAAGCATCAATAATTCCATAGACTGAGCTGAATCTGGCTTTGATATCTTCACTGTATAATATCATGTTTAATCAGGGTGATTATATAATGTTTAATCTGATTAAATATATAATATTTAATGTGTGTGTATGTTTATATAATGTTTAGTTGGGGGTGATTATATAATGTTTAGTTGGTGCCATTAATAAAAAAGAGTATTTGGTTGTGTGTGTGTGTTGATTAGGAAAGAAATTACAGTGAAAAATAAATATTTTTTGTGTAAAATAAATGTTTTTTTTTCATTATTGGGTTATAGGCTTAATAATGTTCCTACAGATCCATATGCCTTTGTATTTCAAACCTTTCTAGATCAGTGAGCCTTTTGTCCTTTATCAGAGCATTAGTTTTTGTTATTGAATCAGTCATGGTATATCGTTTTAAAAGTAGTATAACATAATTATGTATAAAAAATAATAATGATGATGTATCTGCAATATTTGTTAGTGACCGATATCTGTATACCAAATATTAGTTATTGTTTTGAGTCTATGATTTACAACCTTTCTAATAGCAATTTTTAAAATGTACATTAAAAATGAACAATACCAACAAAATATTTGTTAAAATATGTTTTTAAAAGTGTTATGCAAATTAAATATTACCAGTAATGTTGTAAACACTATTTGCTAGTAATACATAAAATGGTTGGGACATACCGGTGGTACTTTTAGGGCATCTCGACTTGGTGTAATAGTTAGCAAGCTTGTCTTGTAAGCACACTTATGACTGTGTCATGAGTCTGTTCCTTACTGGATGCCTCATGCTTTTGGCCTTGTATTGCATCTAATCTACTCTTAGAAAATCACCATACCATCAGGGTGTTATTGATTTCACACTCTTGGGAATGATTATTTGACGCTGTGTAATCTAATGTTATTCTGGTTGAATATTAAAACAATTGTCACACAAGGTCAAAGGGGATGTGGCATAAGGCTGGTCAACAGTAACTATCCTAGATGTAGCTAATCAAATTCATGACCCATTCATTCAATACAATTTGCTCATTCACCACAAAGACACATCCATCACCATTCAATCCTACATGTACCACAATACCACATATTCACAGGGAACCTACAAAAAACCCACATAACATAAAAATTTCACTAGTTCAAACATGTCTCTTTTTTTTCTTATGAAAATATATAAAAATTTCATGAACATGAAATGATAGGGGAGAGAAAGAACACTAAAACACAACTAGAATATAACAAAATCGTTCGAACTAAAACTAACATGTTAGGAGGACCCATCCACACCTCAAAAATAATAAAATCACCACTGTAATCTGCCTATAGACAAAATTAAGAAGCATGCTCAATAATTGCATGGGAAGAAAAAATAAATGACAGAGTGGGGAAATCAAAGACAGATCCAGTCGAGAGAAAAAAATGAAAAAAAACAAACTGGGGAGGTTTGGAATCTCAACATGGATCATAACAAAAGAGAATGCTTGGAACAAAACTTATTCACATTAACTAGGTAAACAAATAGTGTCTAACTTAACCAGAGGAGGGTTTAGAGGAAACCACCCCATTGCATCAAAGGAAACTTAAAAAATGAAAATCAAGGCTAGCCCCATTCATATGAACTAAGCTTGCCACAGTTACACACCTTTTGCTGATATCTGTCAATAACAAACACTTTCTATCAGTTCTGATCTTCATTTTGTGCTTATGCCCAAAGTATCTGACCAAATTTTGATGAGAATAGCATTTGTATCACAAAATTCCCTCCATCCGTGACATCCTCACCACCATTCTTGCCACAACTAGTAACATCAGAAACATCATTTGTTTCACTCTAGAGAATGAGAGTGACACATTATCGCATGCGTAGGTGAAATCAATGGATACAAGCTGTTTGGGATCAATATGAGCTGTCAACTCGCTGACATAGTCCCAGAATGGATGCACCTGAGGACAATGTTAGAAGGCATGCAAAACTCTTTCCTCTGGGACACAATAAATGCTAATCTGAAGATGTAATATGTGTAGATTCTGGTGGAAGAAATGAAAACTTCTCAGCTGAGTTGTAACAAAAATTGCCTGGTCACCAAATACACATGCAATCTAATGTTATTCTAGTTGAATATTAATTTTTGTTCTCTTAAATATTTATGGATTTATAGATTGTTGGCTTCAGTTGAGGAGCAATAATTATTTAACTCTTTGGTTCTCTAATGATTTAATCTCACTCTATATACAATCATGTCTTTATTTGATCATTATCAAATCTCACTTCATCTATTTGATCATGAAGCATTGTTCCTCAAAAGATACCCAGTATGCAGTTTCACAAACCACTTTTGACATATTGAATAATTTGCACTCCCTTCTCCATAAACTGCACAAATCTTTTTTTTCACATTTGAGTCATATTTTTACTTTTCTTAAAATAAAAAAAGTATAATTTTCTGAAAATGCTGCTTATTTCCTTCCACCAGAAGAAAATGTCAGAATCAATAAACAAAAATACATCAGTTTTTACCAATTTAAAAAAAAAAATGCCCATTGATATAACAAGTGTCAGAATAAAGAGCAATACTTAAAATTGAGTTAAAGCTAAATGCTTCTAATACCATCTAACATTTGGACCAGTCATTTTTTCATATTCTATATCAGTTTGGTTGTAGTGAAACACCTCACTCTTTTTGTTCATCTTTTGCTTTTCTTCTTTTATTCATACAACCATTTTTTTTTATACAGATGTTGTTTGAATTCAAATCACGAGAAATAGGAATTGCTGAATCATTCTGGCGATTTCTGATTCCTGACCAAAATATTATCGTCCCATTTTTACTAGTGTCCAGTGTCAAAGATCCAGATATTCTGCTTGACCGGTCTCACATGAGATTCAAACCAGTTCTTCTAAGTAAGTTCGAGTTTTGCCTGTGATTTTGTTTATTATTATTTATAAAAGGCTACAATACAGCAGCAGCAGCATGTTGGTTTCAGAGAGTTGAAAAAAAGAAAGGAGAAATGAATTTAACTGAGTTTGGATTTGGTCATCTAAAAATGGTATGTGAATATTTTTCATTATTATTTCTTGGAGAATTATTGATAACTTGTTCAGAAAAAGTGGCAACAAACAGTGCCAAGGAATGGAAAAGAGTACTGAACACTAAACACAGAAATTAGAAATAAATGCAAGTAGGTTATAGAAGAATAGATCAATGAAAAGTGTGCAGAAATAGCGAGAGTGAGCAGCACAAATACAGTGAGTATGTACAAGAGAATAAAACAATTAACAAGATGAAAGGTGAGCCAATCAACTGACTCTGTAAATCTAGAGAAGATGAACAGGAACAAAGAAACAGAGCCAGATGTGATCATAATAGAAATGGTCTCAGCTGTAGACGATTTTGGTATCAACAGGATCACTGAAGTAATAAACAAAATATACAACAATGGAGACATACCAGAGAACATAACTAAATACATCTTTGTAAGATTACCTGATAGACTAGGTGCAAATGAATGCAAGCTCCATATAACAATCAGTTTAACGATTGTTATGAATTTGCAATGTATAAAGATATGAATCCCAGGTTCAAAGAAAAAAAAAAGAAAAAGTAAGGTTCACTCAGATAGGAAGACATAAACAGGTACCGACGAACAACAAACACAAGATTAACATTTGTAAATAAATTTTATATGCCAAAATACAAAATATGGAAGAAGTAAGGAGTGACAGATGTACAATTAATAAAAGAATACTTAACTGATATTGGATGTCAGTTCAAATGTTTGTGTTTCAGGAATATGGAGTTCGAATGTTCATAGTAATAGACAAAGTTGCTTTAGAATATTCATAAAAGTTGATTGTTCTTTCTTCCTCAATGTGAAATATAGAATTTGGCAATAATTTTTGTGTTCCATTTCTCCTTATTTACTTGGATTGCCTCCAAGATGAAAGTAAGATGTTTTCTTTGCATCTGTTTGGTATAATGTCCTTTATCCTTTAACCCATTAAATAGTCAAATACATCCAAGTTCTCCAGATTGAAATTTTCTTATTCCTTACACAACATGTAATGGAATAATTTTGTGAGTGTATTTCTCATCCCTCACAATCGGAGAAGCACAGGCTGAAAGGATTTCCCATACTGACACAATTAGTGTGGGTGTAGATATTACCATTACATTCCACCTACTTGACCACAGCTCCATTAGGACTCATTTAAACACAATCAAAAACCTACCAGACTCTATCAGAAACATACTAGAAGAAAATACAATTATAATAACCTCATCCACATGTAAAAAAAGATTTAAAATTATGCAAACCCTAATAATAAAAAAATAATATTAACTATGAACATGACCACAATGTGCTGACCGTGTTTAGAAAATAAGACATTCCTATAACTTTAGACATATACATAAAAAAACGACATATTTAGTTAAAAAAATAAATAAAAATCACCCTTGATAATGGCTGAAAGAATAGCCGAAAGCATTCATATGTGCAGAACTTTTGAAAAGATTTTACACACTTTGTGTCCAGAAAAGAAAATACTCATATGAATACAAGAAAATTAAATGAACAACTTAATAGCAATACCATATCAGTAGTTTTAATGAAACATGTATAAAAGAGGGATTGCTGCTGCCTAAATTCACAATACATACATACATACATACATACATACATATATATATATATATATATATATATATATATATATATTGTTTAAAATTTAGTATATTTATTGGAGAAGAATGTTCAATATCTGGGATAGTGCATTGAGAGATATAAACAGGGTGGACATGGAAATCAACTTTGCATGATCACTGAGCCAGTGGTTCCCAAATGGTGTGGTACACCTCACAGGTGTTTGTAGAAGAGAATAACAGGTGAGTCAGAATTATTGAAAGACAAAGATTTAGAAACAGTTTCAAAAAATAAATATGATTTCAAAATTTAAAGTATTATTAATATTTAAAATATTATTTATTAAAATATTATTATTACTTGTAATTACATTAGTCCCAGTGTAAAGAGTTATAAATAATTGTTGACCGATTTTATCATTGTTATATTTTTGCATTATATCACATATTAAGAATATAATAACTAGGCTCTGCAAATTGGAGGAGAGAGTTATCAATGATAATGTTCTGATTTCAAATCTGATTTTCTTCCTTTAACCCCCTCTCTGTTTTTTTTATTTTTAAATGTACTTTTTATTGCATAGAATATGGTGAAATGCAAGCAAATTTTCATTCTGAAAATTCAGCCCAGAGAAAAAGTTTGGGAATCACTGACTTAAGTCGTCATCGACCAGATCAAGAAAACACTTGATTCCAAACATAGACAAAGATGTCTTTCCATGTCTTTCATGCTATGCCACTTTTATTACTGTCTGTTTCCTTCTCACAAGTGAAAACCTTTTCTTTTTTTCAACAGACCATGAAACAACAGAAATTGTACATTTGGTGAACAATGAAATGAGTGCTTTTCAGTTTGCATTTGATGAAGGAAGTTGTTTCTCTGATGGAATCCCTTCTAAGCTGTCAATTGAGCCAATGAAAGGCTTGGTCCCTCCAATTTCCAGGTAAGAACTTCTCACAAATTGTTTTAAATATTGTACATATAATAATCTTACTTTGTCAATATGGCTGGCATTAATTCTTGACCACTGACAATCCCTTTCTTCCTCATTTACAATGCATTTCTATAGTAAATGTTTATCTATGGTACATCTAATAACCCTATTCTGTCAGTAAGGCTTGAATTAATTCCTGACCACTGACAATCCCTTTCTTCCTCATCTGCAATGCATATCTATAGTAAATGTTTATCTATTATACATCTAATAGCCCTATTCTGTCAGTAAGGCTTGCATTAACTTCTGACCATTTCTTCCTCATTTGCAATATCGAGTCAGACTGAGGTTATTATGCAAATCTCAGAACTCTCAATAATTTGAATTTGTTTTGAACAATTTTTGTCAAATTTTTAATTTATTTTAGACATCAAAACATAACTCGAGTTAAATTTTTAGGTTTTTTAACATGTTTTATTAAAGTTATTGGATTTATTATAAAAATTGCAGTCTGAATTTATTATGCAGATTAAACTTAATTAGTTGTAATATAGGTAAAGAGAAAAGAACCTAAGAAATGATGAAAAAACAGAAAATATCAGTGTTATTATTCACATTGAAGATATCAAAGGAGATTCACAGAAATCATCAAATGATTAAGAATGCAGTTGAAAATGTAACTAAGATGAAAACTAGAAGTAAAGGAAAAAAGCTTTAAGAATTTCTCCATCAAGAGGAAGAGAAACTTAAGTGATTTATAGCAAAACAACCAATTTTGACTTTGAACAGATTGGAATTAACAAAACGAGTAGAATACTTTGCAAATTGGGTTCTGTCAAAAAATTTCCTAGGCAAGGCTTCTCACAGTAAAGCAAATAAAGTGTCAAAATTGGTTCAAGAAATATATATATATGAAAATTTTCTAAAGTAATTTTCATGGACAAATATTAGGTGTCTCTTGATAAATGGGTCAAATGATGGATTTTATTTGATGTAGATATACCTGTGGCTAAAAGGCAGCAGCAAAGAAGTGACAGTGTGATAATATGAATTGTAATTGTCAACCAAACATTTATTTAATCATTCAAAATCAATGAATAATTTAAACATAACAGTGCTATAACTATGTAATGAAAAGGCACACAGCAGAGAAACCTTATTTAGGCTTTATTCAACATTCTGAAGTTAATATCTTTCTTTTCATTCTTCATTTTCTGTCAAATGGCAGATATTTAATGAATATTGTACTGGCTATATTGGTATCTTTTTGTTTGTCATTTATATTATTAACCAACCTGCCTATTCTACACACACACACACACACACACACACATATATATATATATATATATATATATATATATATGTATCAAGAACAGTATTGGTGAAATTTTATGACAAAGTAGAAAACATTTTACCAAAACAATTAGCATACTTGTGTTATACTGATGATGCTCTACTTATATATCCTCGTGATACTGATTTACCTGGCCTCGTAGATTAACTAAACAAAGTTGAACACACCTACGAAATGGGAGAAGACAATTCCTTACACTTCCTAGATATCAAGCTACACTGTATTAACAACAGTTTAAAATTTGGTGTCCACCAGAAATCAACCAACAAAAATGACCTAATAAATGTCTATTCTTATCATAACAACAAAATAAAATCCAGTATAATCATTGGATTCTACCTAAGAATGCAAAGAATATGCAATTCGGATTATTTATATGAAGAGGAGAAATACATTGAAATCATTTTCAAACTTCTCAGTACCTTAATTATTTTATATTCAAACAAAAAAAAATGGCTACTTCTGAGAAACCAAATGAATCAAAACAATATATTATTCTGCCTACTAATTCTATCACATCTACAATCAAAAAGAATCTATCTAAACTCAACATAAAAGTCATTACTATTACATCCTAAACAATAAAAGACTTAGTCAATATTAAACAAAAAAATAGGCTAACACCTGAAGGCGGAGGAGTTTATTCCATCGCCTGTAATAATTGTCACAAAAAATACATAGAACAAACCTGAAGGAATCTAAATAAAAGATTATATAAAAACAAAAAAATATATCAAATGCAAGACTGACCACAACTTTGATATAAAAAATGCTACTCTGATCAGATGAGAAAAATAATTCACTATGACATAAATGTCTAGAGAGTGTTTAGTCTACAGTAATTTGTGTTGTGGCTCTTATATCATTTCACCATTCCTGACAGATCTAATATCACATTGTGGAATACCTACTTACAAAAGTGATGGAAAGAAAAGAAAAAAGACTCTAAATTAATTTGTTTGAAAAAAAAAATGTGTGCATATGTAGTCCTACCAACATAACAAAATTAGTCTGTTGAAGTACTGAAGGACAAAATGGGTCACAAACCTTTTCCATTTTGTCATATATATATATATATATATATATATATATATATATATATATATATATATATGGGTAAAACCTCCACAAAATAATAAGAACTCAGAATACCATGATGAAAACATGTTATAATTTTTTCAAACATCAAGGTATTTTTTAATATGTAATTAAATTTTTACTCCTTTTTAGAACATTTAAAAAATTTTAATTAAAAAATTTGGTTTTTTTGTGACAACAGTTGTACTAACTCTTTAGCATAGTAAATTTTAGCCTCTTTTTTTCAGTGACAGACATTAATTTGGAAATTTTTGCAAAAATGAAATATTTGTCAGATTTTAATTAAATTTTCAGGACTTTCCATAAATAAAAGAAATTATTTTTTATATTTTTTTTTAGAAAGTCTTGGTAAAAATATTTTTTACATGTTTCAGCAAATTAAGTAAGGAGCTGAAACATGTAAAAAAAAATATTTTAACTTTAAATTTGCTAATTTTCCTCAAATAACATTTCAGAAACATATATTTAATTTTTGCAACATTTTTAGACTGAGAATTAACTTTTGTTTACAAATGTGTCAAAATGGCCATTTTTATGGATTTTTACTGAAAAAAAAATCGATTCTAATTAATAAAATTTCTGTTTGAAATACACCACAGAGTATTTTGCTTACTGGAAATTTTAAATACTTTAGCTTTCAGTTGAACAAAACCAAACCAAACCAAACCAGAGTTACCAACACACTTATCGATTGTGGAACTTTCTTCCACCCTCTTGCTTCCTAGTCAACATTTATCTTCAAAATTTAAATGCAAGGACAATTGTTTCCTTCTGTCTACTTAATTCCTGTTCTTTTATTGTTCTCTTTCCTTATTTATAATTTTTTTTCTCATATTCTTTCACACTCGGTAACCCTCTTTCATCTCAGTGGCTTTATTGCCTTGCTTGGGTTGAAATGATTAAAAAAATATTTGCAGTGTAAACTAATTTGAAATATTTGTATGTTTAATTATTTGTTTGTTTCATTTTTCAGGCTTCCAATTACATTCACTTTCATTCCTTTGAATGAAAAGCCAGTCAATTTTAATGTTGTGTGCAAAGTGGTTGGTAAAGTGTCTCCTTTGCAAATGAATATCAAGAGTGAAGGTTATGCTATGAGTTGTGCTGTCCTCTGTGAAGATAAACAGGCTATACAGATTGAGCTTACAAAGTGGGGACTCAATGAGATAGACTTCAGTGAGGTACGGAAATTATTTCTCTTTTAATATCTGTCTATATTTCTGAACGAAGGTCGGAGTGTACAATGGCTGAAACGTCATGAATATGGCAATAAAGATGAGAACAACAGAGCAAATGATGTAAATAGTGTAAATATTTCTCTTATTTCCATGAATCACCTGGCTTGCGTAATATTACACCTAAATGGCTAATTAAGAAACCATAGATTGAATCTGCAAAAGAAATACTTGAGAAGATAAACTTTGCAGGCATAAAAGATGGAGTATTGTTGCCAGTCCTCACTTTCCAGCCTTGATAAATTATTTCCCACCCTACAATCCCTTTTCCCACAGCCAAAACGTTGCTAGCCTCTCACTACTCTATCACTAATTACAATGGCATTTTTTCAACAAAGTTATAATCCCCTGTCCACCAAGTCAGATTTTCACCCTCCATCAGACTTGACCCACCAAGCCATGTTCATAGTGGCTAATCATCCGCATTCTCTTTGTGTCCCGTTGGTAAGGAAGAAGTTCCACTTAGACAGTTTTTTCCCCCAGAACTGTTACTTTGGGGAACAAACTTCTGAGCAGATGCTTTCATGACCATTACAATTTTAATGACTTCAAGGTCAGGGTCATCCGATATCTGTCCTCATGATCTGTATGTTCTACTTCGTCCTTCTGCTTACCTTACAACAATCTCAGTAACTATCTGAGTGGCCCTTGAGCATTGTATTGAATGAACTAAAGTAAAAAAAAAAATAGTTCACTCCAAGCGAGACAATAAAGCCACTAACATGCAAGGGGTTTGTGAGAGTGAAATTGAGAAAATGTTATTGAGGAGAGAGTGAGGACTTAAGAAAACAGAAGCTGACAATTGACAGGAAAACAAGTAGCTCGACAAAAGTTCCACAGGTGGGAAGTATAAGAAAAGTTGTTAGCATTGAGCTTATGGCTAAATCTAATAATTTCAACAGTAAAATGACAAAACCTAATTCTCACTTTTGTAATGCAATTCAGGAATTTGAGGTGGGAAAGTGACTGAAGCCAAGATGCCAGGTCAGGACTGATAACATTGCAGATTCTTCTTAGGATTTTATCAAGTATCTCTAGATATATAATAGGAGCACCAAAGCAGATGTATCAGCAATAGCCAATGCATAGATGAATGGTAGACATACATACAAAGGGGCAAGATAAATTCTGGTATGAAAAATTATCTAGAATCACACAGTAAATCAACTTTCCTAGCAGCACACCTAGCAATTATATATTCAATAGAATTATTCCACTTCATGTTGGGGAAAAAATGCTATCATCATGATAGAAGATGTATTCTGTTCTTTTTCCATATTGTTCTCTTTTCTTTTTAAGAAACACTAAAGAAAAACAGACTTACATCTGCTTTACATTGATTTTTCCCCCCTATTTATCATATTGTAACACCTATATAAATAAAGTGCAGTGTATGTCCCCCCCCCTGTTTTTCGATCTTGGTGAATCATAAACAACCTGAAGTAACAGGTAGTAACTACTATAGTTACACATGACTAAAAATTAAATAAATAATTCATTTAAAGTTAAATTTAAATATTGAACAGAGGGAAAGTTTCAAAAACAGTTTTTTCACTTTTTGTTGCAATTGATATCATCTAATTAAACTGTAATTAAAACTTAAGCAGGGCACAGTACATTGCTCATATGTTTTTCTTTTTCTTTTTCTAGCATGCGTACTATGACGTATTGGTAATATTACATGGTTCAGGGTCCCTAATGACTTTTAAGAGTGACTTTAGGTGAAGGAATCATAATGAATTGTGATTTTAAAAGAAAATAAACAAACTATGGAGATCGGTTGTGTATATGAAGAAAGATTTTGCCGAATTAAGATGTCGAATAAAGATAAAATAATTTTATTATTTCTAAACTCTTATAATTTTTATGCACATAAGATGCTGAAGGTAAAAGGATGAAAGCTTAGTCTGCCCAAAGGGCTCTTTCTAGACTAGTATAAAATAATATACTTATATGATTCAATAATAAATTGTTTCTTATAGATATTCTGCTTTGATTTTTTTCTTCTTTGGATTTCAGGTGGAAATCAATGAGAAATCAACAAGGATTGTGACAATTTCAAACACAGGCAAATTTCATTTCAACTATGAATGGAAAGTTAATGACAAGGCCAACCATTTGTTATCAGTCAGTCCAACGTCTGGAGGTGTTAAATATGGCAGCAAAGATAAATGCGTCATTACATTTTGTCCAAAGATAAAATCTTCATTAAATGGTGCAAAAATGAAACTCAAGGTTTGAGTTGGAATATTTTAGTTCCGTTTTTTTATTCCTATTTTTTTTTTTAATTTTGACCGGCACTTAATAATGAAATTGCTTTTTAGACTCACTGATGAGTTCATATATCCTGAGATATTTTACCTTAAGTATCTGTTGTGATATAAAAACTGAGGTCTCTGTTGTGATGTTGTTTTCCCTTTCTTTTTTACCTGTGACTATTAAGGCAACTTAGTTTAAAAGCTATCCTGGGTTTGATGATAAACTGCATCCGGCAGGAGGTTTTGAAGAGCATAGAACCACCTCTTAATTGCTGTTGTTCCCAAATCCACCCTGATCCAGGGTCATATGACCTATTAGGGTCCCAGCTATGGTCAAATAATTAACCCCCCAAACTGAGGTCAAAACACTATGAAAGTATAAAAATAGATTTTTATAGTAAAAATACCAGCAATACATTTTTGAAAAAAATATTACCAGCAATACATTTGACTCTCGTCAAAAACACTCTTTACAAAAATACATCAGTGAAACCTGATCTACAAACAGATTTCTTACACATACATATTCTATTCATACAAACCTATCCTAAAAGTGTTGTCGGCATTAAATAACACATTGATGCTGATATGCTGTAAAACAAAATAAACCAAACCCGTGTAAAAGACTTATTTCTTGGAACTTATGTCTAAGAAGAACTTTCAAATGTATTTCTGCTCAAGGCTTTCTCACATACATCTTCAGCCATGCTGACTTTTACTATCTTGCCTACTGCCTCTTACTATCTTCTTTACTGATTCTGTCGACCTTCTTCATTTCTACTGTTATAGACAAGCATATGGTTGCAAGAAAGAAATACGACAACAGCAGAAATAGATTTACGTGGTTTATTTCAACAGGAACGTGTGGGTTTGGGACAGCTACCTTGTGGTAAAGTTCATAAGCCGACTTCGGATCTAGGTCGATCTCTCATAGTAGTTTACACATGTTGACGGTGGTTGACACTCCCTTGCTGACAGCTGCTTACCATGACAGGCCAGTTCCCTGGCCACCTGTGGACTGACTGTTGAACTTCCGTGTGACCCCTTTTATAGCATTGTTTTATGGCTTAACAGGCTCGAAAAACGAAGCGAGTATAATTAGGAGGGAAGCATTTTTCTTGGACGAAAAATAGAACACTTTAAATATTATTTTATTTTTCGACCAGAACTCATGTGTCGGGAACATTTGTAAATGAAGATAATAGTCATTTTATGACGGGGTTTTGTCCCGTTCACATCCAGCTCTCGCTCTTGTGTATATGCCTGTAAATCAGCTGAGATATGTCTTATTTTATTTTATAACATTACTTATTCCTGTCAAATAATAGTATTCTATCATTTTCTGAGAATGATATGAAGAAACACTGAAATATTTGCATTTACCAAATTTTTCTGTTATTCAAATGTTAATTACAATGGGAATTATTTGATTGCACCATTTCCACCAACCAGCATGAGACAGGTTTTATTGGGTTACATAGTACCTGAAACAACATGTAATCTTTGATCTGTTCTTGAAACTAACAGTGGAGCAGTTTCCCATTGCCTTCTAGACAGTTTTTAATTCAGATTAGAAATTCTCCTGAAATGGCTGCCAACCAAGGCTAGATTATCAAGTCTACTCTCTTATTTATTTAGCCCATAGCTGTTGAGGATTCATGCTTTTCCAAGAGTCATTAGTGTGAAAAATTAATGCAACACATTCTTTTTTTTATTTGATAATTGTAATGACTACGTTGAAAAAATAGTGAAGTGGTTTCCCATTTCTCAGTGATTTTCAATTCACCATAGTTTTTCTCCTTGATTTGTTGCTGTTCAAGACAATCAAACTTCAGGCTCTTCTGAGAGTGAGAAAAGATAGATTCACTTCATAAGAAACTTAACGAAATAATGACCATAAAAGATTTGGTCAAAATGGGAATTTCGCTCACCAATTCCACTTTCTGTGCTGATAACTATTAAGATATATTTTTAAGATTATGTTTATAGAACTGTAAAGAGTTGGTTCAGTTGAATGTTTCCACTAACAACTTGTATTATGTTTTCATTTCAGATCTCTAATGGTCCAACTTACCAGATTGTCTTTAATGGCTCTGGAATCTTTCCTGGACTTCAGTTCTCTTTCCTCTCCCATAATTTTGGTACTTGCTTTATTTTCAAAGCAGGCATGGGGCCCAAAACTGCAACACTAAGAATTACCAATAAAGACACTAAAGATATCAGGTTAGTTGCCCAAAGTGTTTGTAAAGTCTTTGGTTTCCTGCATTTCCTGCCAGAGTATATAAGATTTCTCTTTCTATCTATCCATTTCCCTCTCTCTCTTTTAGATGCTAAGTCCTTTCAGGATGTAGTCAAGCATAGCTTTCCACAGATTCCTTTTCTTTATCTGTGAATTGCCATGACTACTTGGTTAACACATTGGAGTAGTTTCCCGTTGCTTTCTCCCCAGATTCCTTTTCTTTATTATCTGTGAATTGCCATGACTACTTGGAAAAGGCATTGGAGTGGTTTCCCATTGCCTTCTCCATGGATTCCTTTTCTTTATTATCTGTGAATTGCCATAGATTCTTTGGAAAAATAGTGAAATATTTTCCACTTGCTTTTTCTACAGTTTAGATTTCTGATAATCCTTCTCTTAGACAGGTTGCCACTCATTTCTAAAGTGCTAAACCTACCTTGCTATTTAATCCAGAAATGGAAGAAGAAGAGATAGATTCATGTTTTTTCATAAATACATTAGTGTGAAAAGGAATGCAACAGACTAACGTAGAATTTGAACAAAACTTTGCCAATTCTCCTTTTTATGCTAATATTCATTTTTTCACTCTTATCCCGTGCATTTCCTTTGTTTATGAATGCTATTTCAACTCTTTTCTTCTGTGTGCCACATTCCTTCAGGACATTGGTGAACATGGCTCTCCAAAAGTTCCTATTTCTTGTGGCCTTTAGTATAATACCATTGATTTGTTTAACAGGAGGACATTTCAAGTTCAAGTGTGGCTGAGTTCTTTTAAATTTTTTTTATTGTTTTTCTAGAATTGATTTTTATTTTTGCATATAAGTTTATTTTTCTCAGGAATGATTGTCTATCTTGTAGTAGTGCTTTTTTCAGAAGTGCAAAAGTCAGCACATTCTCTTGTCATATGTTTTACAGGATTCTGGCAAAATGCATATATTGGTTGGTTATCTTGAGTAATGATGTCAGAATGTGTCATTTTTGTATCTTCAATATAGATTACATTTAAGTGCATTTGCATTATGATGAGAGTCAAATATTGATGTTCAAAATGAACTGCCATAGCATTTAGATGAGTTACAATTAGTGGTAGTCCCTCAAATATGCTTATAAACCATTTCATAAGTCTAACATTGGTCTATTCATTGAATGTTGATGTCACAATTACTATTTATTTTTTATTACTAGGAGTCAATAGGTCATGCTTATTGTCTGGTTCAAAATTCTCCACAGTCTTTTGAACAGGCATAGAAGTTTATTCCTTGTTTAGGATTCGGTTTCCAGTTCCTTCTAACCCCTCTGCTTAAACTCTGAAATTTTAAAGCCTGATCAATTTTTTTTTAACATGAATCTCTTTTTTTACTTTGTTGGTTCAATTGTAAATGTAAATTCTGTTTTTGGCATTGGTGATAGAAGTCATTTGGATGAACCAGAATTTGTCAAGACTTGGGTCTGGTGTTTTGCAACCCAGGCTAGGGATAAAAAATTGAAAGACAGCCAGGCAAGAGTGGTGGGGAGTAAATGAAATAATTGACATCTTTCTAGATCTGGCAGGTTGTGAAGCTATAATGAAAACTTGTTATGGCACATCCCAAATAATTGGAGAATTTAACTTTCATTGAAATTTCAGAAATTGTAAAAAGAAGTTGACTACGAATCACATGTCATCAAACAACACAATACAACACTGTTGATATACATTTTAAAATAAATTTGCTTCCTCTGTTCCATGAGGTGATGATTTTTTTTGTTTCCATCTTTTGAACAATTCATGAAAACTGTAACAATTGTGAATTTCTATACAGCCAAGTTGCTTGTGGGACACTTAAGATAGACAGCTTTTAGAGATTGCTAAGGGGTCCCATATGTCCTGACATTTTTTATTAATTGTTCACCCAAGAGCAACTCAAAGTAGAGGATTACTGAATCAGGTTGTATGAGCACAAGAAATGGGGAGGGTAAAAAGTGCATACTATGAGGATACATATGAAAGATAATGAAGTGCTTAAAAGTGTAATGATCAAGGGAAGCATCCTCTCAGGAGTATGTTTCACAAAGTAGAGGTTCTTGGTAAGAGGCTATCAGAGTGGAACTTCTTGCTACTAAAATACGAAGGGAATGGTGATAAAATCATCACAGTGTATGTGGCACAACTGGTCTTAGCTGTGAAAGTAAAAATTGATGAAACAAGGGAAATAGTAATAGAGTAGCGAAAAGCTTACAATATTTATAACTGTTGTAGAGTGTAGAATAATTCGTTGCACACAAGAGGCCACATCGATGCCTTTTTTTCTTCCAGAGTTATTGCCCATCTCCCATTTGATAAACTTATCACCTATGGTGGCATCTCTCAAGTCAGCATTTCTACTTGGCAGTCTTCTTTGAATACCTCAACATATCCCTTAAACAATCCTAATATGCAATATCCAAGTATATACTTTACCCCCTAAACATCCTGACTGGTGGGGGTCCTGTGCCTGATGAGGGACTCTGTCTAGTGCTCTGTGACCCTTGCTATCTTATCAACATTTGATTTTTTCTACCTACATTTATATACATTACAAATTAAACTAACCACAACTGACGATTAAAGGATGAAAAATTGCAAGGGGGGGATTTTGATGCCATTCTGAGTTCTTTTTTTTTTTTTGTCAAAAGAAGTTATTTAACATTTTTTTGTTTTTGCTTTTAATCAATTCACCCAAAGGAAGGCAATGATGCCACTAAGAATGGAAAAGAATGAAAAAGACTTTAGAAGGAACTGGAAACCCAAGACAATAAGCAAACATATCTACTTGTATTAAAGAAAAAAAAAATAATAAATAAAATTTCAGAGTTTAGGTAGAGATGTTAGGCATATAGAGTTGAACTAGACTTCAGAAGGAACCAGAAGCCCAATCTTAAACAGGAAACAAAGGATAAAACCTCTACATCTTTTCAAAAGATTGGAGAGGAGTGTGAACCAGATGATAGGTGAATCTGTGTCTACTCTAATATTTAAAAAGTATGTTGTTAATTTCTGAGACATTTAGTTTGTTTCTTTTAATTTTTTTCAATTCTCAAATATTAGAATTGGTATGACTCCACGAAGCTGGTGCCTCCTCGACGTTAGCAAATATAGTTAATTGCTTGAGATCATTAAAGAGCACTACAAACAAAATTGACATTATTTTTAATTACATCTAACTTAACTCCCAAATCTCAAAGCCAAAGTTATTTTTTTTTCATAAAAGTTCATATTTACAACATATCTGCATTTGTTGCTTATTTGCTAAAAATAATTAATTACGCAGTTTTTGGGGGGAATTTTTTATTTTCCACCCTACAACTACTACGTGATAATGTTGCATGCCTATCTCTATTCTATCGCTATTTCCATGAGAAATGTTCAGATGAGCTCTACTCTTTAGTCACACCAGTTCAGACCTTTACCGTGATGACAAACTCTGCTACTTTCCAGAAAGTCTAAACAAACTCATTTCCTCCATTTTCCAAATGTCTAGAAAAATTTCACTCTGACAGATTTTTTTTCCCCAAGAACTGTTACTTTGTGTAACAGATTGACATGATTCCCTAAACACTACAATGTTAACCTTTTCAAGCCAAGGGTCAATTGTTATCCATGCCCATAATTTTCACTTCTTAGCACTGCCTATTTCATTCATATCACACACCCCTCGTTCATCATAACCCTCTACCTTCATTGGTTCTCAAGCTTTGTATTAGATGAACTTTAGTGTAAAAAACACATTTTAAGAGTAACCCTCTGTATTGAGTGACTCTCGAGGCTTATATCCTGAAATCTTTTCTACTCTTTGGCAATATTTAACCCTTTAGCATTCAAAACCGCCCAAACCCACCCCATAAATATTGGCACTCAAAGTCTCACTGTTTGTGTGACTTCCCATTTTATTTTCAATGATGTCATCATATATTATTTCAGAATATAAATGGGGCTGGTTATAGTGGATTAAACATTGAGAGCCACTATTTATGGGGTAGGTTTGGGCGAGTTAAAGTCTTTTATTTTTTTCTCTAATTCAAATTTGATTTTCTGATTTTTCAGTGCAGTCATGAAATATAATTGTCTTTTCGTTATTGGTTTCAGTTTGGACTGTTTGTACACCTGTACAAATCAATTGATGCACAACTTTAAGCCTGATGTCCTCCAACCAGGAATGTTAATCGATGTTTCCTTTTTCTTCTACCCAAGAGAGGCAGTTAAATACAAGGAAATAGTTACCTTTGAGGTGAACGGTTTGTCAACAAAGACAGTAGAATTTCTGGGAGAAGGATGTGAAATGAAGGTAAGCGTAAAGCTGTCATATTTCTAGGTCTTTATCTGATTTTGATATGATTTTTTTCAAGTCTTGCTCTTTAAGCTAAGGATAAATTCCAGTGAAAATTGGGATTTTTAAACTTGTTTTGAACCTGGTGGACTGGTGCTACAGAATTGCAAACAAAGATCTGTACCAAATAACAGAAACCACATCATTTGAGGACTTTCAACAGCAGCAACAACTAAAATGGATAGCAAATGTAATTTGAAGTGAAAATAATGGAAATAAGGGAAAACAAGGATTTTTAGCCCTGGACTTCTCCAAGTTAAGGAGAAATAGCACTAAAAGTTTGACTTTCTTGCTTTTTTTCTCCTACATTCTATGTATAAATTGATTTTGTAATAAAGGGAATTGGAACTGATGCAATAAGTAAAATATTAATAATGGAATATAAAGGTGAGAAATTAATATTGTTAAGCTAATGGGAAAAGGATGTCTGTACATGGAAGAAAAATAACTGTTCATTATTTGTTTGACTACATTTAGAATTGTTAGCTTTAAAGTTCTAGTGTGGTCCTCTGGTATTTCACAACTGTTGTATATTTCATTTATCATTTCAGTATTCAGTCATTCATTATAAGAAGACATTGAATATGCTCAATGGTGGGCAGGACTAAAGATACATTTCTTGGTGGAATATGCTATCTTCTCACATCTTACAGTCTGAATCAATAACAATCAAAATGCCTTGATCTTTATAGTTTGTCATTGGAAATTCAGATGGCTTAATGGTTATCAATACAGAAAATGGAATTATCAAGAAGAATTTAGATTTTGTCAGCTAAGACATTTGGCATTTACTTCATGCTAATGACTTTTTAGTAAAAAATCTGATTCACTTCCTCCCAATCAGCTATGAGTAACTGACAAATAAAACTAGGCATAGATGGCATTGAAAAACTGGGCTTTATGGCTTGGTCTCTTTTGAGCCATGCTTAAACAGCAGGGAAAACTGAGCTTTCTAACCTTGGTCTCTTCAGAGCTAAGCAGGAGAAATTGGATTTTGCTTTGGTTGCCTCTGAGTTATGGTTAAATAACAAGGAAAACTGGGCTTTCATTAAAAAATTTATAAAAATTACAAAATTATCAAAATATGTAAAGTAAATACAATGCAATATTTATTTTGAAAAAGTTTTGAATTGCTGCTAATTTAAAAATAAACATGCCTAGAAAATCTGCTAACAGATTAAATAAATTATCTAATAAATAAATAGTATTTATTATATTTGTGGCATTGGTAATGGTGTTTGCAGTGATAGCAAGGTTATCTCTTTCATCATCTAGAAAATTCTGCCAACAATATCAATGCCTTTAAACCTGAATTCATAGGCTTCAACCAGAATGGCTCAATACAAACTGTCTCAATTGAATCAATAAAATCTGTTGAATCTTTTACAAACCTAGGAGGGGAAATAAATTCTACTGAAAAGGATGTGAAAATTTGTATAGTTAAAGCCTGGGCTGCCTTGAATAAAATAGTTGCAATCTGGAAATCTGATCTACCAGCAGAGGTACTTTCAAGCCACTGTACAGGTGATGTTAATGTATGGTGCCACTGATTACACCTTAACTAAAGCCTTAGTTTTTAAGATTGATAGAACCTACAATTGGATTCTTAGTGCTATACTTAACATTTCTTGGAGGTGACATCCAACAGAATCAAAGTTCTATGGACCCATCCCTAATATTTCTACAGTTTTATGCAAATGCAGAATGCACTTTGCAGGACACTGCTGGTGAGCAATATAACATTTAAAGCCATAAGAAAGAATAAAAAATTTTGGATTATGAATTAAATCCATTAATTCCTTAGAAATTAGTGTGGTATAGAATGTTTTGCTTCAGTTGGGCTATAATATTTGCCATTTCCAAATCAGAGGAAAATAGAAGTATTTTTGAATAGATTTTAATCTAGAATAATTGGGCGGGGTTAAGCATAATTGACAAAATATCTCAACAATAAATTAAATTAAAGAATAAAATAATACCAGACAAACAATATGTGTGTGTGTGTGTGTGTGTGTGTGTGTGTGTATTTGTCACTTAGCTGATAGTTGTTATCTTCAGCATCCCAGTTTCATAGGTGGAACCTCTGTCCACTCATCAGGGGATATCAGCAATTGACTGCTTATACTTATTGATTTTTCTTTTTTATATGCACTTTCATTGGTACAAGATTTTTTTTTTTTTTTTTTGCCGATTTTTCTTTGGATTTTATCAAGGAGCTATAGATAAATAAAAGAAGCACTGGACCCCATGCTCGGCAGTAAAACCACAAAGACACAAGGGGCTACTGGGTGTGGAAGAATTAAGAACAAAAACATTAATAATGAGTGGAAAGAGGAAAGAAGAGGACAGTAGATAGCGATTGACATTGCATTTAAATTTCTGCAGATTAAAGCTGGTTGGAAAGTATGGAGCCGGAAGGGAGTTCCATAAGTAAGAAGTGCGAGAAAAGAAACTGTTAGTAGAGAACTTATAGTTGCATTTAACCAATTCAACTGTAAATTGATGAGATCTCGACATCAGTCTAGTACTGCACTTAAATTCAAAAAGTCTAGGTACGATAGTGAAGAGCTCATCTGAACAATTACCATGAAAGTATTTATAGAAAAATTTCTGATCTATATTCTTTGCTGTAATGTTTAAGTTTTCCGTTCTCATAAGAATCCTGCTTCCAATAAATCTGTATTGTCTTGGAAAATAATCCCTAAAATATAATTTATCAAAAGACTATAATGCCTTATCCAAATCTTATTTTACAATGCAAATCCATTGTTCTTAGATTTGGTGTCTCAGATGAAAATAAAAAAGTAAAGAATATAGCTTTCAATTCTTCAGGAATAAGTGCTTAAGACATTTTCTTTGATTTCATATCTGTAATATAATGATCACTTCTTCAGACAAGAGAACTTTAAAAATATTTGCATGTCTACTTTCTGGCTAATTTTTTACAAAAAAAAAACAGCTATTAAATTACATCCAAAACATGGATGTTATGTCTTCTAGCCTAAATGTTGAAGGCTGGGACTGAACAGCTATAATGACATATTAACCCCTGATTGAATATTTAATGTCAAAATCTGCTTGTTTATAATTGAGTCTATAGGTAAACATTGATTGAGTCTATACTTGAGTCTGTATATAAATATTGATTTTGTTTATACATGAGTCTATTGGTAAACATTGGTTGTTTATATAAACAACTAATGAGTTTATAGATAAATATTGTATTTATACTTGAGTCTGTTGATAAACATTAGATGTCTTTATACTTGAGTCTATCACATACATTGGTTGGGTTTATGCTTTTGTCAAAAGGTAAACATTGATTGTATTTATACTTGAGTATTTGATAGAAAGTCAGCTTTCATAAAGACATATTTTTGGTTTAAATCATTTGCCAACCTATCCAATATTCACCTAAAGGATCAAGTATAAACATGACTAGTGTTTATAGATAAACAAATTTTAACTTTTTATCAAAATTCCTCATATCCTACCTCACACAAACCTTAGAAAAAAGATCAAACAAGAAGAAGGGGCAAATTAAGTATTTATTGAACAATTGACATGCTGTAGTATTGATAGCAATTCATGAATCAACACTTTAATCCACTATGCTATTGTCCATTATAAACGCTATGATAACAACAACAAAGATAAGGAAAATAGCTTGAGTATAAATTGTGTAAATAATTACATATCTAGGATAAATAGAAAGTAATTTATAATTTGAATATAAGATTTTCATTTAAAATTTTAATTTTTAGAAATCTGAATTTTCAAAAGGAAATTTTGTATCTTAAATTATTAAAATTATTTTTTTAATTTATTTATTTTAAATTTATTTAAATTAAAAATTTGTAAGGTGGTTTTCATTAAAAATTGTTTTAATGAGAAGTTGTTTACTGGAAGGTCATTTGATGAAAGGTCATGGTAGCACATTTTGGCAAATAAAATGCAGGAATAAAAAAAGCTTCTCCTTGATAAAATCTGATGAAGAATCAGCGATATTATTAGTCCTGATCTGGCATCTCAGATTCAGTCACTTTCTCACCACTGTAAAGTTGTCTCTCTGTGCCTTTTCTATAAATATTTCACAATAATTATTGACTATGATGTCTTGTTTTTTTTAAGTTAAGCACAGTACTTGATTAGCATTGAGATCTCATCAGTTTACAATTCAGCTGGTTAGATGTAAACTGTAATTTCTATGCTAACAGTTTCTTTTTTCATTTGTGGAACTGCCTTCTGGCTCCATGCTTTCCAGCCAACTTTAATCTGCAAAAATTTAAATGTAATATCAATCACTGTCTATTATCTACTAATTACTCTTTTTGTTATTGCTTATTATTAATGTTTCTGTTCCTAATTCTTCCACACCTTGTAACCCCTCATGTCTTAGTGGCTTTACTGCCTTTCATGGGGTGAACTCAATTAAAAAAAAAAAGAAATGGATAAAATTGATACCTTAAGATGCATGTTGATTTTTTGCAATTTAAAGGTTATATATATATATATATATATATATATATATTGCATTATGCATGCAGTGGTGGCATCCTATCAATACTGACTAACCATTTCTTAAAATTATGAAAGCTTAGTAAACCGGTTGTTGTCTTATCTGAAAACAATCTTATATACTAATAGCCGATGGTCTTGGTAAAAAGTTAGTTATGTGTGTGCATGCCTAGTGAAACTCTAATAGATACATACCCTCTAACAAAAATAAACAGCAGTCAATGAGGAAGAAAATAAAAAGAAAAAGGAAAAGAAAGACTAAAAGAAAATGATAGTTGTGTAGAAAAAATAGGTGAGAGAGATAGAGAAAGAGTTGACAGAAAACGCTAAGCCAAACAAATGAAAAGTCAGGATGCAACAAATTTTTTCTGTGTATGTGTGTGTATGCACGTGCGATATGTGCAGACAAGGTTTAACAAGAAAAATAGATTAGATAAATTCCTTTTCTTGAATCAGGAAAAAAAAACAAAAAACTTACCACAACCTATACATTATTATCCTGGTAATTATATGAAATTGGTACCAAACTCTGGTTAGAGCACAGAAAACTGATATAAAGATAGCAGTTGAGCAGAATTTAAACACCATTGGCTAGGAGTAATATGATGAAATTGTATAAAAATATGGTACCACCTAATGGTCAAAATTTAACAACATCAAAAAGGGATATTGACAGATGGTTAAGAACCATGTTGACTATAATAATCAATTTTACCACTCAAAGATTCAGTTTTGTTGAAGCAAAAAAAAAAAAAGAGTTCAACAAAAAAGAAAGAACCACAGACAATTACAAATTAGGGCAAGAGCTTAGAACACATTACAAATTAGCACAACTAGAGGAATATCAACCACTTTCAAAACTCTGGGACAATCTTAGATGAAATCATTATCTTGCGCTGAGGGCCACATGAAATGGAAAAAAGAGTGATCAAAGAAGAGGAGGGTCTTTATATCAAACCTGTTTGGATTTACAAAGAAGTTATTAGGGGACAAATGGAGAGATCGATATGTACATGCAAAGAATGCTAAGTAATCCAAGCAAGGAATAGAAACTGTGCACTATCCAAATCTCTAATTAGACTTGAAGCTTCAAAGACAGAATTCAATATAAAGGAACCAAGTTGGAATGAAGTTCAAGAAGTGATAATATCAGTGAGGTCAGCTTCTGCTCCAGGTCCGAATGGATTGCCATATAGAGTTTATAAACAATTACCCAAATCTTCTTTGCCAATTATGGAGGCTACTAAAATTAATATGGTGCAAAGTCAGAGTAGCTGATCAATGGAAATCCTTGGAAGGGGTATGAATCCCAAAAGAAAACAACTCCAGAAGTATCGAGCAATTTAGAAGTATATCTCTATTAAATGCAGGGGGCAAGATATTCTCCAGCATCCACACTCCTGTTAAAAAATGAATACATGAACACATCTGTTCAAAAGGGTGTGATGTTAGGCATGCCAGGGTGCATAGAGCATAGAGGAATGGTAAGATTTGAAAGATTCTAAAGAGAGCAAAGAAGACTTGGTAGTTCTATGGTTAGACCTAAGAAATGCATATGGCTCTATCCTGCACAAGCTAGTGGCCAAGAAAATCAGAGACGTCATTATGGACTGCTATAACAACTTCAAGGTAAGTGTCGTGACAGGGATCAACATGTCAAATTGGTATACATTGAAAAGTGGGATAATAACAGGTTCTACTATTTCAACTACCCTTTTCGCATTGGCCATGAACATGATTATAAAATCAGCTGAAAAAATACAGAGTCTCTGTTACAAAAATGAGAGCGAGACAGCTACCTATCAGAGCTTATATGGACAATCTGACAATTACTGCATCATCAATAATTGGAGATAAATGGCAACTAAAAGGACTATAAGAACTTATTTTGTGGGCTAGGATGAGTTTTAATCTGGCAAAATCAAGGTCACTAGTTTTGAAACAAGGCAGGGAAGCTGAAAAGACATGCTTCGTAGTATCCTGAGGGACTATCCCAACGTTAACTGAGAAATCAGTTAAAAGTTTGGGGAAAATGTTTGATTGTACACTAAAGGATATGGCAGCAATCCAGGAAATGATTAAGGATCTCTGAACCTGGCTAAGTATGTTTGATAAATCAGGATTATCTGGTCACTTCAAAGCATAGATATACCAACATGCAATTCTGCTGAGAGTCCTGTAGTTGCTGGCAATCTATGAATTTTCAATGTCAACAGTAGAATGAATGGAGAGGAATATCAGTGGATATCTGAGAAGGTGTCTAGGGCTTCTCGGTTGTCTTAGTAACGTAGCCCTATGAGGAAAATCCAATGCATTACAACTCCCATTCAGCAGTTTAGCAGAAGAATATATAGTTGCTAGAACAAGAACAGAAATGCAATATAAATGCTTGATAGACTCAGAAGTGAAGCAGGCATTGTAGTTCAATTAGGTAGAAAATGGAGTGCTACAAATGAACTAAAAGTGGTAGAAGAGAGATTGTGATAAAAAATGCTTGTAGGTGCACTTGCCGAAGGACAGGCAGGTTTTGGTTACATTCCCTACGAATAGAAACAAAGCAAAGGAGGGAAGCCACCTTAGACAAGAAGAAATTTGCCCAGGAGTAAAAGAAAGAAGAATGACTAAGATGGTCGGGTTAAACCAACAAGGGGCCTAGACAAGGTGAGAGGAAATAACAAAGCAGAGAATAAAATGGTCAGACATATTGTGCACCAATTATAACCAAGTAAAGTTCTTGGTGCAGGCAGTATATGACATATTGCCAAGCTCCACAAATCTTCACACCTGGAATAAAATGGAGTCCCTAGCTTGACAACTATGTACAGGTAAAGGATCACTGCAGCATGTAATAAGCGGGTGCTTTAGATCTTTGACTGATGGACATTATCACTGGTGCCACATTCTGATATTAGACAATTGCAGACACAATTGACACTGCAGTCTGTTTGAACAGCCTAAAACTGAACAGATGCACAATAAATTTCATTAAGGCCGGAAAGAAGAAATCCCAAAAACACTCAATATGCTTTCATCAGCTGAAGATTGGCAGATCAAGGTGGATCAGAGGAGCCAAATGAAATTTCCCAATCACATAGTAGAGACAACCCTGCGCCCAGATATAGTCATATCCTTTAACTCAACAAAAGAAATAATTATGTTGGAACTGACTGTTGCTTGGGACAACAATGTAGAAGCAAACAAACAGAAAAGAACAAAATAGCAAGTGTTAATGGATAAGTGCAGAAAGAAAGTGTTATATTCCATGCTAATAGGAATATGGAATGGACAAACACGGTTGATAAATAGTAACAGGTTTATTGTAGAAACCAGTACAACAAGCAAGGAAGTAATAGTTATGCATACAGTCGTTACAAGTCAATGCAGTTGTTTGCGTGCTGCTATCGGAAGGCCGCTAGTTTTGCAGATCCCAGCTCGATTCTCCTGTCCAGTGTCCTCACGGATACTTATAGGTGGTTACCACCTATAGTGCTGCCACTCATGGGGGTGGCAGGTTATTTCATTACATCAGAAAGGCTGGAAAACAAGCTGCACACCGACTGAAGTAGGGTGTAGAGGATTAGTGGCAAGATCCTTAATCAGAATCCTGACAAGTTTTGTTCTGACAGGGAATATGAAAAAATCAATCCAAAATGTATGAGAGACTGCCGAGAAAACAGCAAAGTGGTTATAGATAAACAATCCTTTTGTTTATCTATAACCACTTTGCATATGAATTAGAAAATGATGATGGAGCCCCACTCCTTCAATTGTTTTTTTTTTGTTTTTAATTAATTTATTTTTATTTTTTAACAGGTAATTTTTTTCATCTCACATCCCCCAGCTATATACATAGTGACAGTTGCTTTGTTTAGTTAGCTGTTAAAATTAAGTTTCCTCAAAATAACTTGTAGATAAATAATTGTTTCATTTAGTCTAGCCATTATGTCCTTTTTTTATTGTAATTTTTCTGGGGGTGGGGATAGGTTTCCCTCATGGGTGCTTGCTGATGAAGTGAGTGCTGGTATTGTCATTGGTTTGTGTCTGTGCCTCAAACTGAGGGATGGGCATAAATTAGGGGTAATATTTGCATGTACTTTTATTCAGCACACCTGCAAAGAACACCCTCCTCTTTTTTCTTATATAGGTAATCTTTTCCTTCTCCCTCACCCCAGCTGTATACATTGTTTCAGTTTAACTAGCCGTTAAACTTAAGTTCTGTTAAACGAACTTGTAGAGAAGTATTCGTTTGTGCTAGCTGTGGAAAATGATTGTTTTGGTTAAGGCAATCACTGCACGTCAGCAAATATAATGAACCCAGCTGGAATTGGAACTTGGTTCTCTGATTAAAAATTCCAAGCCATTATCAGTAACACCACCAGCACATCCAAACTTACCACACATGGCATTCCCAAGCAGTCACCCATCTAGGTAGTGATCAGGCTCAAAGTTACTTAACTTTGGTAATTGTATGGTGAAACCAGTGTTATTGATTATATTGTCTGTTGGGAATGTCATTTACTTTAATCTGTCCTCCAGTGGATTGAATTGAAGCTGAAATGTTGGCACCTGTGAGAAATTATCGTCAGTCTCTTTATCGTCATTTATTTCCTATTTTCCTGAAATGAGCCAGCACAGCCAGGCAGCAATGTTCCAACAAGGCAGCAGTGAAAGTGTTAATGATTTCTCTCATTTTAATATATTTATGTGATGTAGAAAGATTGAAGGCAATCATGCAACTTTGTGTCTTTAACAGGTGACAGTTGCTGAAAGTAAGCACAAAATTGTGAAGTTAGGCACCCATAGTATCGGCAGCTGTACCAAACGGACCATCCCCATTGTCAACAAGAGCTTAGCTTCCATGACGTTCAATCTTCAGTTCTCACCTGTATGCACACAACTTAAAGATGTCATCTCTGTCACCCCGTCATCAACCATTACTCTCCCAGCAAAGGTGGGGACAATAAATATACAAGTCATCTTTAAGCCAACAACAAGAATCCCCCAGTTCTCTGAAGAGGTAAGCACAAATGAACACTCATATCTCTGTATGTGTCTATATTTCTGAGATGAGGTATTATGTACACTATTTACATTATTTGGACTATTCTCCTCATCTTTGTCATCATATTTATCACAACATTTCGGCCATTATACACTCCAGCCTCCTTCAGGTGGTAAGAATGTTGAACTGAATGAGCGAAATAAAGGGTTCAGTTTGACATTCCAACAACCTGAAGAAGGCCAGAGTGTACAATGGCCGAAATGTTGTGATAAATATGGCAACAAAGATGAGGACAATAGCCCGAATAATGTAAATAGTGTACTCATATCTCTATTTGATTATATTGTTTATTACTGAAATTGTGAATACTCTTTTAATTCTGGCCTCAATAATTGTGGAGGTGAGGAATTGGTAACAGTACAGAAAATGAAATTGTTTGACTGAGATCAAATTGCAGGTGAGGTACTTTTTCTTCAGTTCATACTACTACACTTTGTAAAGGCATGTATACACCTCTCCCTGTAGGTCAGGTCATGGATTAATATCTTCTTCTGACACCCTAAAGCAAGGGTATGTTGAGGTTGGTGGAGACACTTAACTGGTAATAGATTGTTCTCTGGACAGTTAAAAGGGAACAGGCAGAGAAGAGATAGAGAAAGGAAGAAAAGAAATGGCTACTGCTCCAAAACCCACGTAACTTCCAGAAGAAAATGTGCCAAGTGAACATCTTTACAAGACACCAAATCTCCAATGATAGCATAGATAAAAGGTTGTAAACTTTTTGTTTCTTTTCTTGCAAACAATTCCTGAAATCTGTTTCCTCTCAAACAATCTTCTGACCGCAACAAATATAGCCTGTTTGATACAGTGGTAAACGGTCTACCTGTCGCCTCATTCTCCACATTTTATCTCTTCATTTATAGTCCAAATTTACAGATGTGAAAAGATAACCTTCTGAGAGAGTATGTGTAACCCACGAAGCCACGATTTCTTTCCTTTTCGGACAGTTTACATGTGAGGTATATTCGAATCTGTGTTTGCACTGGAGGTAAGCCATTTTCTTCTAGCAAGAAATGCATGCAACCCAGGACCCCTTTGCTCTCTCTCTGGTAGTTCAGTACACTCCCCACTGATCTCATGATCACAACAAATGCAACCAGGAGGAGGCCTCTTCTGTTGGGTACTCCTCTGAGGGGGAGAAACACAAGCTTCATCTTCAGATAAATCACCATTGGTGGAGTCATTGAGACTCTATGCTATTGGTATCAGGAGAATCGCTTGTCAAAGTTGATCTCAAGTCAACTAACAGCTCACTTTCTGTTGAATCACCTCTATGTTTAGATAGAGAATACAGACCCCAAAAGGGACACAAGTCCTTCACTTCATGGGGAATACTGTCAATCTGTACTGACTACAAACTGTTAACCTTGGTTATGCAGCCTGTTTTAAACTTGGTCGTTCACCTCCCTTGCAGTGTCCTAGCCCAAACAAAATCTCCCATTTCTTACGCTCCATGAGTATTCCATGTTTTGGATGGAAGCATTGCAATCAATGCCCCATACATGGACATGATACTTATGTAGCACATCTGTTGACACTAGATGGTGAGAGGTTGTTCTTAGGTGTGATGTTATGACAGTAGATTGCCTCTGGTATTGAGCACTGCTTTCTAGTGGTAACAGTTTTAATGCTTTTTTTGTGATGTCAATGAATACTTGTTGTCACATTCATAATGCTCATTGTAGTAGGGACTTTGGTAATTACTGATACAACTATAGTAATGCCATTGAACAATACTGGTGTCAGACGCCTTCGAATAACACTCACACTAATAGTACTTGCATAATAATGGAAAGTAAACACTGAATATCGCGATCCATATCGTAATCAGCATAGTGAATAGTATAGAGAATAGAGATCCGTATAATAATAGAGGATAGAGTACAAATGGTGATCAATTAGACACCACGCTAATTCCCATATATACATTTCCTTTACTATCATGTGATCTACTTATTCAAAATGGGATTGCTAGTGTTTGTTCTCTGGTGATCTGTGTTCAAACTTCAGTGTTGACAGCAACACTTTATTCCTATATAGCAGCTTCTGTGATTCCTTTTGACTATACCATTTGCTGTTGGTGCATAAGGACATCAAAATCAAAGCAGCACAACCCAGTCACTGAGGAACTTTCTGGAGTGCCCACACGTGAAAGCTGTATCATTGTCAGTTAAGATTTCAGTCAGTGGACCCTGCTCGAAAAAAAAATGATGTTAATTGGTTAATGACACTTGTGGAGTCTTGTCAATAAAGTGGTCGCCATATTACAAATCGAGATGGACCACAATCAATAAAGCTTAGGAAGTGTCCACTGCTGTAGTTTGTGATATCCATCGCTAACCTGCTCCAGTTGTTTTTCACTCCAATCTTTCCTTTCTGCCAGTGTACTGGTGCCAGATAGATTGACAAGCTTCACAATTCTTGATGGCTGACTTTACAACTGTTGTTGATACTGAAGGGTTGACAGACCTGGCAAAATACAGTGTCCTCTTCATACCCAGATGCACACATTGTCAGTGGGTGTTAGCTACCTGACTCTCACCCAACTTTCTTACAGTGGTACATGCCAGTTGTACAGGTTTGACTTCTTCATTGTGCTGCTCCGACCACCTCTGGGGCACTCTGGTGAGGTGGTCTGCCCAATTTAGCACTGATTTGACCAGTTTCACATCTATTGTCAATGCATACTCATCAACCAGTGAGGGAAGTTTTTCCAGCCACCGTTATCAACATCTCACTGGCTGCCCTCATTTTTACACATACCTTCCCAGTCAAAGTGTCTGATATCCAACGATGAACACACATAGAGTCAGTGACCAGGTGCAAAACCATCATCTGTCATTGGCGGGCCAGATTGATGCCTTTATCATTGCATCGAGTTCTGTTAAATTGATATGCTTAGGATCTGCTGCTGGATGCAAACAACAAGCATCCTCAACAATGTCTCCGTTCATTTCCAATACCACTCCTGTGGCCAAGGAACTGGCGTCTCCCCATACCTTCATTTCATGGCCACTCAAACACCTGTTCCCACCAACAGGATCCATTTCATGTACTCTGGTTACTATCTCAATTAGCATGCTATGGATAAAGGCATTTTCAATTCTGTCATCCCATCCATTGGATACCACCACACTTGCTTGTCACTTGATATAGATGGTTGCTATTATTAGCCAGCCACACACATGGGAAAGTGTCCCACAAGTTGTCCACAGAGAGAAAACACACTTTGGCAAGTAATGACTTTGGGAAGGCCTAGGACTTTACTTCCTCACTTTCATTCGAGAGTACCATTTTCCCCACAGACGTGCAGGCCCAATAGCTATGGGAGTTTAGTCATCGGCTGTCAGCACCTTCACCTACTGGCATCGCCAAAAGTGGCATACAGATCTGCTCACCAGTGTCTGTAAGCAGCCAAAATCTACAAAAGCTATGAGAAATTTAATGCCTGGTAGTGCATTGTTCTTTACTTGTTCAGGGAAGAGACCAACATTGACATTTCCTCTCCTGAACCTTTTCCCTGGCACTCACATGAGATGTGCCCAACAAAAGCAATGCACTTCACAGTGCAGACTGTGCATCTAGTTATCCGTCCCTTCCAGCCGTCTTTGTTTACAGTCCTTAGCAAAGTGGTTGGGACCAGAACACTTAAAACAAATTATGCCATTCTTGTGCATGCCAGAACAAGGCCTCTCAGTGCATATTTATTGGATGAATGTGGCAACTGACTCTTCAGGTTTTTGGTTATCAGTCATAATGGCCTTTGTCTGGGTTAGAAGTTGCTCCAAGTTTATAGTCTCTATTCTGAACAATGCTCAAAGAAGCCATCTAATGTCTTGTGGGAGCCCAGACACAAATGCACATACTATCCATTACTCAGGCAACTGTCTACCAACCAGACAAGTCAAGTGTTGTAGCTACATCGAAAATTCATCAACAGTTTCCCCAGTAGGAAATTGCTTCATCATGAACTGATCAACCACATAGTCCATTGCATATGTTGTCATGAGGGCTTGCTTTATCTGCTCCGCATCTGACCGCTGCTCCTTAATTAGTTGCTGGTATTACAATGAGAACTCCACCTCTTTAATTGTAGTGGCAGGCTACACTTGATACTCACATTCACATATCAACTCAATGTTCTCAATCCACTTCATGATTAGTAAATTGGTGGTAATACCTCTAAATTCAGGGATCAATCAGGTGTCAAATGCCTTGTCTACCATCTTGTAGAAAAGTTCAGTACATAAAAGGTTGTAAATTTTTCATTTCCTACAAACAATTCCCAAAATCTGTTTCCTCTCAAACACTCTTCTGACCACAACAAGTGTAGCCTGTTTAACAAAGCAGTAAACTGTTCTGCTTGTCACCTTGTTCTCCATGTTTTTATCTCCTCATTCACAGCCAAAATTTACATATGTGAAAAAATAATCCTGCGAGATAGTATCTGACTCCAGGATTTATTCATTTTAAATGTAACCCGTGAAGCCACCATTTTTTCCTTTTTGGACAGTTTACACACAAGACACATTTGAATTTCTGTTCACTCTGGAAGTAAGTCATTTTTTTCTAACATTGCAAAAAATGTATGCAACACTGGGCCTCTTCACCCTCTGTGGTAGTTCACTACAGATAGCAAAGTGAGTCTCGACAAAAACTGACTGCTGACTATTAGTTTTCCCTTCACTTTTATTGACATGAGACAGCTGACAAAAACCCAGATCTGGACAATTTACAGAGGGGCCTGTATATGGATATGCCAAGCTGTTCTGGTCATGGGAAACCTGGATGTAACTAAATAGCTTCGAAGGATATGTTCACATGCGACTCAGAGCCTCTTTTATATATATATTGATATGTATTTGCCATAGTAATCTAATGCAACTTGTCTCATGCTACTTGGATAGAAGATAGACACTGTTACAGGTATGAATTGTTATGAAGGATCCAGAATGGTGCTCTGATAATCTACTAAGTCATGATTCAATTTGATTTCATTGTGCTAGGAAAGGCATTAATCCATTTCTCCCTACTAGACAGGTCAGGGACTGCACTTTGATGCTGCTACCATGTAACCTAGTCAACTTGTCTCTTGTTACCTGGAGGGTAGATAAGTGTTGCTAGGTAATCCGCATTACCCTGGGTAATGTGAAGGACCAAACATGACCTGAAATTTACAAATAGTATAATAGAAGGTATTAAAAACTAATTTGTCCAGAGTAGAAATGTTGACAAGAAGAAGTGTCTTATTTGAATGTCACATTCACCTGCAATAGCCATATGGAACCGGTATCTCTCAAGTTGAGAAATGAGGAAAGGGACATCTGTTTAGTTTGCCTCCAATTTAGGCAGTGAATCTTTTCTCCACTTGTGTAGAGTTGTCTTATGACACATGATATGTAAGAGTAGATAGTTATTTTTGTATTCATACAAATGTAAACAGAATCAAATAACACTTTCATAACACACTGATGAATCTTCTGCATAAGATTGAGTTAGGATCACCATTTATCAGCTAAGTTCTCTGTAGCTCAGTCAGTCTACACCACGTCAGATCTAATGATGGTTCCCTCTGCCCAGGGAGACACAGGTTCATATCCTGTCAGAGAAAGTGCATATTTACATTTAAAAAGATTTTTCAAATATTCAGGCTCATAGATGAAAATAAATAAAAATACTGGTTAAAAAATAAACAGAGTGTCTACTCCACTAAATATAATGTTTAAAGTGATATATATATATATATGATTATGCTCTTATGTTTGCATACAGGTATTCATAGATGCAGCTGGCTACAGTCAACCCCTTTTTGTCATTCAAGGAAGCTGCTTAGCAATGCAACTTGACTTAGAGACTGACTACATCCCTTTTGGGGCTGTTGTTCTGCAAAGTTACAGTACACGCAAGTTAGTCCTCAGCAACACAGGAGACATCAATGCAAGGTAAGATTTGGAAAGTATAAAAGTTTTTTCATAGTAAAAAGAAAGTGGTCATATATATATATATATATATATATATATATATATATATATATATATATATATATATATATATATATATATATATATATCAGAAATTTAATGCCTCAGAACATATATACACAGATTTGAAAATGCAGGAAAGCATTCTTTCTTTAGAGATCCCTTTCAACTAATACACCATTAGAATAATACGTTGGTCATGTTGATTGACAAAAAAACAATTTGCACTGTGAGAAAATATGAGGAGAAAAAGGAACCATGACTAAAATAAAAATTTATTAATAAAACGAGGGAAAGAAAAGAAAAAAGGGGGGAAAATATGATCAGTAAGCTAATATAAATGGCTCCAGGTGAGTATAAAATGGAAACTTTTATAAATTTAACACTTTAACTACAGGTGAATTGTAATTAAAGTGAAATGTTCAATTTTAATTGTTTTCCTATCTGTTCCACATTTTATCTTTCTATTGGATTTAATCCATATTTTTTTTCAATTCATATATATATATATATATATATATATATATATAGATAGATAGATAGATATAGATATATAGTAAGGGAGTTATAACTAAATAATTGTAAAGCCTCTTGCATTTATATGTGCAAAAATACTCATAAAAATGAGAAACAGCAAGACATGGAAACAACAAAATGAGTTTTATTTATTATTTGGTTGTTATGTGGGTTTGGGGACATGAGAGACAGTAATATTGAGTAAAATTGTGAGTTTGGAGTCAAATGTAAATCAAATATGGATTGAAATCCAACAGAAGTATAAAATAAAGAATAAGGTAAATGTATACAATCTTTCTTGTATGTCTTTATATATATATATATATATATATATATATATATGTCAAGATAATTCAGTTGGAAAAATACAAAAGTGTTTGGGTTTTCTTTACCTCTGTTTTTTTTTTTTGAGTGTTAAGGGATAAATATTACTATCATGACCTGAAAATGAAAATGAGCCAAAGTTTTAGCTGATGTACATGTTGACAGCCTCTCCGTGTTGACTGCTTGTCTGATAGTGAGAATGTCACATGTTTGTATGTGAAGAGGAGAAAAGTTGGGTTGATTCTCATTGGTTTAGAATGAGTGAATTAATGATAATTAGAATTGTTATAATTATTTTTTTATAATCATTTTTGACATTATAATTAATTAATTAATTTTTTTATGGCCACAACTCAGTGTGACATTTTTGATTTATGTATTTCATTATGAACACATCAATATGTGTGTGTGTGTGTGTGTGTGTGTGTGTGTGTGTGTGTGTGTGTGTGTAACTTTCATTAAAATGGATGGCAAGGTACTGATGTTAATTTTTTGTTCAATTTTTCTTTTGTTCTTATAATTTTCTTCTTTCCTTGACATAAATTATGTATAAATTTTATGAATGTTCTACATGTCCGAGCTCTTCTTGGCTGTACATTTGACTCAACTTACACAAAATTGAATAAAAAGGTTAATCGCAGATGTAGTCCTTTTTTAATGAAACTTGTATAAAAGTGAGACACAGTGATCAACACCAAATGTTTTTGTGAATGGATGCAATCTTCATGCCATGCAGGTTGGATAATAGCTTGACTATTTATACATTTTAGCCATTGGGATATTACGTGTAGCAAGGTAAATTATTTCTGGTTTATTGTTTTATTCTAACAGCTGTTGAATAGACGAGAATGATTACCCACAACTAAGTCAGTTTAATAATAATAATAATGATAATAATAATCAATTGGAAATCATGAATAAATACAAAAATGCATGAAAAGTAATGAGAAGTAAAAGTGAATTAAAAATTTGACAAACAACCTGAGACAATATAAAATAATCAGTTTCTGGCACAGACTTTAATTCTATTTAATATAGCCATTAGAATAAACATAATAAACTGGAAATAATTGACCTTGCTATTTATAATGCCCCAATGACAAGCATACAAGGTCTGTCTGAAAAGTAACAGGTCTGTGACTGGATGTACTGTGTGAGCTTATGGGAGAAAGAGAGATAAGCAGATTGTGTTATCATCTAACATGATATCTTGAGAGTATAGTGCTTGCTTTGTTCTGTGCATGACAAAAAAAACGAGAGTTGTGACAGGACAAATCGTGTCTGCTTAACCATGAGGACACACCTGCTCACAACACCCTGAGTGTCCAGTAATTCCTGGCCAAGAGGAATATTGCTGTACTGGAACCTACCGATTCATCTGATCTTTTTTCATGTGACTATTTTTTTTTCTCAAGCTCAAGGACACCATCAAAGGGACTCATTTTGAAGATGTGGAGACCATTAAGAGGCCTGTAACAATGTTGCTGAGTGGCATCTAAGAAGAATCTTTCCAGCAGTGTATAGAAGTGTGGCAGAGGGGATTACTTGAGGGGGGGATTACTTTGAAGGGGAAACCATGTAGTTTGTGAGAACAGTTATGTTACTTTTCAAACAGAGCTTGTATGTAAATAGTTTAACTACTATCCAACCCACATGGCCTAAAGATTGCATTCAGGTATAAAACAGACTGTTGCCATTCAGCATTTATGTCTGTAACCACACTGATTGAGAACAAGACAAAATACTGCTAGACATGGTCAATGAAATAAGAACAATATAACTCCATAGATTAAAGATAGATTGACTTTCCTGAAGGTTATCCATATTGACAAGCACCTGATGAAGGATGGAGAACATAACAGCCGAAACATTGTGAGAAAATTTTTTTCATAAATTATATTTTGTTTTAATATTTACTCTCTCTTTTGTTTATTTTTTCTTTTTTTTTCAGAGTTCACTGGGATGTGGAGAAATTCAAACCAGACTTTTACATTAGTCCTGTTGACAGTCATGTGGTTGCAGGCAAACAGATTTTGTTTGATGTGATATTTAAGCCACAAAAAATTTTACCTGACATTCGCTATGAGGTAAAACTATATTTTTCTGCAATTTGTTTTTATTATTTTCTTCTTTCACATGGTTTTCCATCAACCAGAGATCTTGTATTATGGATGTTTTCCATTAAGTCATTTGATAGCACCTTTCACAAAATATTTGCAGTTGCAAGCAATGCAGATTCCTGAAGTGATGGGATATTAGGCTTTATTCTGATTTTTCTCAATGTAGAACTTTAATTTTGGTGGTATAGACCTATTGTGAATTTGAATCAACCCATAACAAAGAAAAAAGCAAGACAAGTTTTTAAATATAAAAATATAAAATATTTTTATTTTTGTTTTTTTTTACAACTAAATTTTTCTCGGAGTGTATAAGTATTAAAGTTCCTTTCTTTTTTAGTTTTGTTTGTTAAGATGAAAAGAAATGGGATTAGTTCAAATGTATGTGTAAGAAAAAAGAGGCAAAGGAGAAAGTGAGAAGGGAAGTATAAGTGTTAAGTAGCTTGGTGAGGAAAAGTCTAAGTGTTACATAGCTTAGTGAGGTAGTGGTTATAATATTATGTTTTAGACGACTTGCCGGGACATCATCAATACTTTCTCCTCAACTGACTCCAACGGACTTCCCTGACAGTGTTCTTTATTTAAGACATCTTGCCTACTTACTTCGTGTTATTGAGGGTATCTTATTTACTCCACAACATCTGCCCTTTTGAATTTTTCTTTTTTTTTTCACTAGTAAATATTTTATTTTATTTCCTCATATTCACCCCTGCTCCTCTTTTTGGCAAGTTCACCATTTACTGATCTTTGTATTTCTTTCATTTTAGGTCAACCTCTAGTTTTCCTGTACATTTCCTTTTTCCGTTAATCATACTTGTACATTTAATGAATTCTTGGCGTTTTAGTAAGTCAAAAATATCATCCAATACTTGCATAGGTTCTTCCTTTCTTGTACGCCTTTTTTCAGTAAACCTTTTCTTTAACTGATTCCAATGCCTTTTGTATTTCTATTTTTTTTTTTCCTTTTACCATATAAATCATTTTTCCAATTTGTGACCTTATTATGCCATCTTCCCAAAATTCTTTTCCATTTTTATATACAATGAAAAACACATTTTTGCCAATTTTGAAAAATTTTGTGCCCTTTTTATTATCTGTTCTTATTCTTTTTTGACCTGGTAACAACTTGCTGAACATTTTTTTAAATTTTAATTTTTCTTGTGAACATCAATTCTGTCAGTGTACTGGGATTTGCCATTATCCAATATATTCTGAAGAATTTTTGTAGTGCTTTTGTGCTCACTTTTTCAAAGCTCTCTTAAAAGTACCCAGAAACTTTTCATCTTGTCTGTTTGACCTTGGATGAGACAGCAAGGTACTATGTTCATTCAAGAACATTATACAAAATTCTTTAAATTCATAAGCAATGAATTGTATACCATTTTTCAAGACTATGGCATCCAGGATACCATATCTTCCACACAGTTTGTGTAAAAATTTTGCTCTCACTGAGGAAGTTGGTTTTTTGCATCTACAAATTTCAGGAGTTTTTTTCTACTTTCATCAGATGCCAATATGATTTCTTTTTTAGATCATAGTTTACTAATAATAAGTCTGATATTAGTATTTTCTTGATTTTTCAAACACCTTTTTGATACTCATCAGTCTAGTTCCACTTTATGCCGTTTTTAAGCAAATTGTTCAATGGAGCTCTCAAATTCTGCATATTAGATACATAGATGTGAAAATAGTTTACTAGTCCCAGAAATACTTGTAACCTAGTAACATTTGTTGGAGGAGGCATATTCTTAATTGCACTTGCTCTTGACGGATCTGGTTGACAACCATTTTTGTCAATGATTTATCCTAGATACTTGATTTTAGGCAAAAGCAATTCGCACTTTTCCTCACTGAGTTTGAAACTTTATTCTTGTATTATTCAAAAATTCTTTTCACATATCAGATATGTTGTTTTTTAGATACACTTTTAATTAATATATAATCCAGATAACTGCAAAATTACAATCTGAAAGCATAATATCCATAACTTGTATAAATATAGCTGGAGCCACTTTTATCCCAAAAGGAAGTAAATTGAACTTATAAAATCCCTTTTTGTGGATATTTATAGTTATTAACTCTGAACATTCTTCTTTTTCAACCTGGATTTGCAAATAGGCTTCAGAAAGATCCAGCTTTGAAAAAATTTTTCTACCATTTAAATTCACAAAAATTTCCTCTGGACTTAATAATGGGTAATTATGGGATTCTAAATATTTTTTTAACCCTGTCAAAAAATCAGCACAAACATGAATTTTATTATTTTTTTTCTTTATGTACTCTGCTGGGGCTGCCCATTTTGAATGGTCAATCTTTTCACTTACACTATTTTTTCAACTCTGACTAATTCTTTGCCAATTTGATCCAATGCTGCAAATAGTACACTACGTTTCACTGGCATTGACTCTTTTTTCACTTGAAATTTCGCTTTGACTTTGGAACACTGAACCAACTCATCCGACAGAACATCTGGAAAACATTTTTTCAATTCTTCCTTTAAATTTTCATACTGTTTTTTTTAAGCTGGTAACTTGTCCACTTACATTTTTGCAATAAATATTTATAGGTAAATAACTCAAATAATTCCATCCAGTCAGTACCGTATAAGTTTGTAGTACTTTTTAACACATAAGCCTTAGCTTTTATACACTTGTTACAAAATGAAACGTTACCAATCATTTCATCAATAAAAAATAATTTCTTACCCGACACACTATGCGCAATTTTTTAAGTTCTTTTTAATATTGGTTTTCTGTTTGCTTTCCATGTAGCTTCATTAATTATTGCGATATCACTACCAGTGTCTAGTTGCATTTTTACATCCACATTATTAATTTTCACATACTCAAATTTCCTTTTGTTTTCTGTAATTATTTTTTCTGTTGCAATGCTGTGTACAAAATTTTTTCTGTGAGAACTTTTCCTTGCTTTAGTTTTAAAGTGGGACATTTTATGCCTGACTTTTCCACACTTGTAGCATTTTGAATTCTTAAACAGACAGTTGTCTCTCAGATGTAAGCTTCCACATTTAAAACATCAGTTAATTTTTCTTTCTGCACATTTTTCTTTAGCTTGTATGCATGTGCATTCTTTTTTTCCTTCACTTTCTTCTCCATATCTCGTCTCAGATTTAAGATTCTTTTGACATTCATCTGATATTTCTTTTAGTGTTAGTTTTGGATTCTGTTCAAGTTTCGTTAGAATTCTCACGTGTATTTCTATGTTTCTTTTTTTGTTGTTAATTCTTGAACAAAAATTAAGTCTTTAATCATATCCAGAGTCAGTTCATTTAATTTGAATCTTTCACACTCCTTGTTAATGTTTCCAGCATATGTGACAAAATCTTTGTCTTCTTTTTTCCTCAGATTCATACACTTCCAATGAATATTGAATAACAAACTATTTTTGCTGAAATTTTAATCAGAATATTTACTGTTTCTTCAAAGTAAATTTCTCCTGGTTTTTCGGTGGTACAAAAATTACAGTATTTTTCATGTTCCAACTTTCGCAATAAAAGTTTTGTTTTTTCTCATCTTCCCAGTCACTGCTTTCATCTCTGAAAATTTGCTTGTATCTTTTAAAATAAGCAGAAAAGGTAATTCCATCATCTGAATTACATATGAATTCAGATGATGGCATTTGCCATGTCATTTGGAGGGAAAGAACTTAGTGAATTTTCCATTTTCATCTGTATTATTTCACTTAAATTTTATTGTTGTTTCTGGAGTTTCAACAACTGCTGCTGTATTTTTACCACTTGGGATAATAATTCTTCCATATTTAAGGAATATCTGGGTGTTTTTTCTTTCTTTCTCTATTTTTTTCTTTTTTACACATATCAAAGGAAAAAATTAAACCAACCTGGTTCTAATTTTCTCATTGACACTGTTATCATGTGTCTGAAAGCAAAAAGTACTTTTTCCTACTCAGTATGTGTTTGATCCCTCGTTGCCATCAATTCTTTCTCCTTGACTGACTCCAACAGACTTCTCCTAACTTGCTTTGAGTTCTTTATTTAAAGTGTCTTACCTAGTTCATTTGTGTTACCAGGGGGGGGGGTCTTATTTACTCCACAACACAGTGTCATTTAATTTGGTGAGGAAAAGTTTAAGTGTCATAAAGCTTAGTGAGGAAGATGTGTGACTGAGTAAAGGAATCACTTTTAAGCCAATGCATTGTGAACTTGTCATGCAAATGAGAGGTCTCTATTATTATTCATTTACAATTCCAAGGTAACCTCTTGATAACCAATAAAAAATGAATGAATCAATAACCTAACAAGGTTGTGTAAAGGTAGAATAGGGTCTGTGAGTGATGGTGAAAAGACAAATGCAAGTAATATGAAGTTGTGGAGAGCCATAATTGACCACATCATTAAAGGACATGGCACATTGAAATACATCATGGGTTGAATCTGTCATGTCAGACTGGGGACCACAGTTGTATGTTTACACTTGTGAAAAAAAAAACAAACAAAACAGGATAATCTTTTTGGTGGTAACCCATAAAATTATTAAATAGTGTGTGATCACCAAATCTGTATTATTTCTTCTTACCAACATGTATAAAATTCCTGGCCTAATTTGCTGATGTCTAATTTGCTGATGTCTATATTTAAACAGATTATTTGGCTGCTTTTTACCCTGCAACTCCTTTCCCACATTGCTAGCCTCTTGCTACCGTAAATTGCTATTTCCACGGTAATAAAAATTCAGATGACCTTCACTTTTTAGTTCCACCCATTCAAACCTTTACAGCTAGGACCCACCATGCCACATATTTATTTTATTCAGTTAAACTAGCTTGGATATTCATGAATCTATCACACCAACCATCACAGTCCTTCATCATGGTCAGAAGGTCATTAGGGTTGCATTCTATGTCATAACATAGCTGGTCAATATAGGTGGCTGCTGGGTGACGGACATGTCTTGCTCCATGGATACGTGTCCAGAGCAGTAGATCACTTACATGTTCTTGTTTTGGTTGACAGCAGTGTCCTGCAAGGCATATTCTGCATTCACATAAGATTATAGAAAAATATCATATTTGCATATTATGAGATTATATAGGATTAAGTAAAGGTTAACTTTAGACTTGAAGAGGCTTGTAGTGACTTGGAGTCTGTTCCACAAAGTGACAGTTTGGGGAAAGAAGTTGTCTTTGTGGAACTACCTTATTATCAAAGGAATACAAACAGAATGAGGATGAGTTGACTCAGTGTAGTCTAAGCTTGATGGAACATACACTTGGATGTTGAGAGCTATACTTAACATCTCTTGGAGACAACATCCAACTAAATCACAGCTCTATGGATCCATCCATCATACCACTTGCAAATCCAAGCTTACAGTACCTGCTTTTGCCAAACAGTGACCCCTCTAGGTACTGACCAGTTGTGACATTGCTTAACGTTGATGATCATATAGGAATCGGCATTTCAATGTGATGCTGCCATAGGCCTAATGAAAAGTGAAAAGAATTCACAAAATCTGTATGTAGAGAAACTCACAAAAAATTCTTACAATCTAAGAATATTTTCTGGCTTTAAATAACCTGAAAAGGGTTGATAACCCATAAAAAATGAATAAATCAATCACTTGTCATCTTTTAATGGTTGGTCTTTGCTTTATATTTTCAGAACTTAATGTGCTTTGTGAACGATGGTGAGTATCCTCCTCTGAAACTGACCCTCACAGGTACTTGTGCCAGTACCCCTACCTCTCGAGAAGTACTCCACTTCCAGACTTTTGTACGGCACAAAGAGACAAAGAGTATACCAATCAGTAACAGATCAAATCAGCAGTGGGATCTCCGCCCAATTATTGATGGGAACTACTGGCAAGGGGTGCATAAATTCTCAGTGGAGCCTCAATCAACAAAACAATATGAGATTACATACTCACCAATGACTATGACAGTGGCCGATAATAAAAAGCACACTGTAAGTATCAGATTCAATTCTACTTTCTATAAAATTTTCTTCATACATTTAATTCTTGTAGATAGAAATGAATTCTCAGATTATCTTATAAATTGCATTTTATTAGTGGGGCAACTAAGATTATCCACTATCTCACAGCTCTGAACTTTAAAATATCAATGTAGTTCTGATGAAAGCAAAGCTGTAGATATTGTAACAATAAAAATTTTAAAAGTTTTCTTTTTTTATTTTATTTGCAGGGTTCAATATTCTTTCCTCTTCCTGATGGCACAGCCATATTTTACAGTCTGACCGGCATTGCTGAGCCACCCAAACCAAATGGCAAAATCTCCAGAGACATTCCATGCAAAGTGCACTACACAGAACCTTTGACTGTTTATAATTGGTCCAAACAATCAATGAGGTTAGCTTTTGTCTTTTAATTATTATGCTTTAAGGAATGAAAAGTCAATAGAAATATTTATAAAATACAGTATCACTATAACATCTAAAGCAATCCAGCTAATTTCTGCTCGAATTTCTAGGATGAAGGATTTAAAGTGAGTCCTGATAAAAATAAAATAAAATATAATGGCTTGTAAAAATTTAACTCGTCCAAAGCAAAACTGTTCTCATTTAACCACCATAGAGAATCTTTCCTGACCACCATCAGCATGGCTGATGCTTCACTCCTGGAGAGTAACACACTGTGCCTTCTTGGCTTCACATTTTCTACTGACTTAAAGTGGAACATGCCTGAAAAACGCAGTAAGTTTTGGGGACAAGAGCTTCCCTATTTATGAATATAAATCTACAAAAATAAATCAGGCTTTATGTATAATTTCCCCTCAATATAAAAAGATGAATTGATTTTTGTCAAGCCTTTCTCTCTTATTGTTTGACTTCTTTTTTGGTGGCTTGAAAGTTTTTGGTTCTGATGCTGATGGAACTCTGCCAGGATAGTTTGGGTAACCTTCAAGGAATTTCAAATTGAACACTATTTAATCTATGGGAGTAGATTGTTCTCATTCCACTATCCATAGCTAAGGATCATCTCATTTTTAGTCCTTATTTAGCCCTGCTTGATTATTGTTTGTTCTGCTACTGATTTGGCAAATGACAATCGTTATATGAATTAAAGTATTTGTTTGTGAATTTGGTGAGATAGTAATTGAGAGTTCAATCTCTGGGCCAGGTAGTGTATACACCAGGAATTTTTATGCAAGTTGCAGGTTCAGATAATAGTACCAAGAAATTATTTACATTGAGGCTAATATATTCATCTTTGTTGTTTTTATTAAATTTTGGTCCTTGTGCAGGTGTCTGTTGATCTGGGCAACCTTCAGTGGGTTTCAAACTGAATCCTTTCTTCAATCTATGATGATAGCTTGCTCAACTTGATTCCTCTTTTATTTTTTTCACTTCTTGATGTTTTTTTCTTATTCATTCACACTCAGTAGGACCTTGTGTCTTAGTGGCTTTATTGCCTTGCTTGGGGTGAAATTATTAAAAACAAGGGTTAGTGTTTTTTCTTTGTAATTATTATGTTTTTATTATAATTACTATGGTTTTAAATATCTGATAGAAAGTCGCCAATTCAGTTTTTTGTTGAGCACAAAGAGGCCAAACAATTCCATTGAATTGTATTGATGCCTCCATCTTTGTTTTCTAAAAAGCTAATAAATTTCTTTATGAAGATTTGGTTTGTTTGGTTTGTTTTGTTTTATGGCATATCAACCTCAATGGGTCATTTAATGCCGACAACTTTTTTTTTTCCTGGTAATATTTTTGCTTTGTCAAAAATCCGTTTCTGTCAATATTTTTTCCTCAAAAACATATAGCTGGTAATATTATTTTTCCTCAAAAACGTATAGTTGGCAACATTATTTTTTCAAAAACATATTATTTGAGGCCTTGCTGTTGGATGTAATTTATCGTCATACCCAGGACATGGATGTAGTTTATCGTCATACCGAGGACGCGGATATAGTCTGAGTGTTAACTATTTGCCCATAGCTGGGACCCTAACAGGTGCTACCACCCCGGGTCAGGGTGGACCTAGCAACACTTAAGAGGTGGTTTCACGCTACTCAAAACCTCTGATCAAAGGCCTTGCTGTTGGACATAGTTTATCATCTTACCCAGGACGCAGATGCAGTTTATCATCATAACCGGGATGCTCTTTATGAAGAACTGAATAATTTTTTTCCCCTCTTCAGTTCATAGGAAAGAAACAAGAAACAGTCTTGGCTGTTTCAACTATGGTAAAAAAAATATGATAAAGGAGATTACATTGTTGAAAAGATATTTCTAGATTTGAGTTCTTTGCCTGCTGAGCCATTTAGGATTATTTACTATGTTTAGCTCTATTTGTGGCACCTAGTGAGGATCAAACTCATGACTCTACAGTATTGCTCTACTGGATTTAATCTCTGCAATACAATATCCGAGGGAAGTCTCCGGTTTAATCTTGTATGGTTAAATGATATGAATTTTTATATATCAAGAATAATTTTATGAAAAACTATGACAAAATGGAAAAAAGTTTTTGTGTGATGTGTTTCATTCTTTAGGACTTCATCAGACTAAAGTGATGTTTATATTTGATGTGATATGTTTTGTGTATATGGTGTATCTGATTTCATTTAGTTTTTTGTCCTTTTTCTTCCTGTGTCCATGACAATGTCTAAAGAACGAAGAAGGAAACAATTGGATTCTTGGGAAGGAACATTAACAATTCACTTCATAAAAAGACAATATTTTTTAATGGAAAAATCAGTACAACATCAAATAGACTCGTCCTTTAAATTATGCCTGGTGATGGAGGTTATCTTAGAATAACAACAAGTGTTCTACCATAGATCTATATGGCCTTGCATAAAGAATGTGTTAATATATATATACAAAATAAATTTTTATATTATATGAAATAAATAATTTAAATAGGTTTGTGGACTTTACCATGATTAACCAATTGAATGTGACCGATGCTAAATTCAAATTCACCGGAAAAAAATTGTAATATAGGTCATGACACGAAGTTGTCTGCATATAAATCCTAGACAATTTCTTTATGGGCAGATACAGGTTGCTACATTATTTCATAAGATGTATTGAAGTCTGACATTCAACTTTCCTAAGAAGTAAAAATGAAAGAGATGGGGAGATAATTTAACATAATGCTAACTAGTTATATGCTCGTTCAGCTTCTTACATAAAATTTTGTAGTTGATAAATAAAAAGCCTCTTTTAGAAACTGGTAAATAACTGTTCAGAAAATAATAAAACTGATCAAAAATACTGAACTACTTTGGCATTTAATATGCAACTGTTAAATAAAGAGCATCCATATAAGATGTTAATAATAGAAACTAGTCAATGCAAGATGTTAATAATACTAACTAAACACCTGTATGTCCATATAAGATGTTAAAAATACTAAGCAAAGATCAATACAAAGCAATATTAAATCAAAATGAATCATACAAATAGAATAATAAGCCATATATGACACAGGACTTTAGACAACAAAGATTTGGGTCAATAGATGGATGATGAGAATACCAAAGACTGATTAGGGGAGAAATGAGGGCTGGAGAACTTAACACTCACAAGACACACTGAAGGCAAGAGGAGCAGAGGGAAGTAGTGAGTAAATCTACTTGACAAATTTGAGCAATTTTCTTTTTAATCATTTCACCCCAAGCAAGGTGAGAATGCTATTAAAGTGTAAGAGGTTACTGGGAGTGAAAGATTGAATGAGAAGTGAGGAGAAAAGACAATTAAAGGAACAGGTGAAGATGGTGTTTGACTTTGCATGTAAAATGTTTGAAGATTCGAGGTGGCAGGAGAGCAAGGAAGTAGAAGAGATTTCCACATGGGAGAAGGGTGAGAAAAGAAAATAGCAGAATATAATTTAAGGTTACATCCAGTTAATTCAACAGTAAAACAATGAGACCTATTTGCCAATCTAGTAGTATGCTTCAATTCATGCAGTCAGGGTACCAAGGAGAAGAGATCATTAGAATAACTGCCATGAAAATATTTACAGAAAAGACAGAGGGAAACAATGTCAGGTCAAGACCAATAATGTTACAGACCTTCTTTGGATTTTCTCAAGAATCTCAAGATATATCTGGTCTGGTGCCCAGACTCCATCTGAAACATACTAGTAGAAAATACAAGCATATTTCCACATGTAAAAAAAGATTAAAAATAATGGAAACCTTAATAATAAAAAAGAAAAAGCCAACACTTAATGATATTAACTATAAACGCAGCCATAATGTGCTGACTTTGTTTCAAAAACAAAACATCCCTATGACTCTAGATACATACACACAACTCATACATCCAGTTAGAAAGTGAAAATAAAATCATCCTTGATAATGGCTTAAAGTATAGCCGATAGTGCACAGAATTACAAAACATTTAAACAGTTTCTACACACTGTGTCCAGAAAAGAAAACGCTTGTTCAAACACAAGAAAAATTAATAAAACCTTAATTACAGTACCTTGTCTATCATCTTTAATAAAACATATATATATATATATATATATATATATATATATATATATATATATTATACACACTGAGTGTATTTTTCATTTATATAAGTTTAGTTATAGACCAATGAAAATATTTTTGTTAAGCATTTTTTTTCTATATTTCAAACAATTTTCCTGGTTTCCAATGAAAGTTTAGACAAAAATTATCCAACACCTGTTTACTTTCACCTTTCATGAGCCAGTTTTTCAGAGATTTTGTTTTGTCAGTTTCATTTTTTTTCAAATATTGTGTCTATGCCTCAAAAGAGTTTTTCTTAAATTATCACATCTTAAAAATTAAATAAATCCTTAAGTTCTCATTGTTTTATAATGAAACTTGTATATAACATATATATTAATAATTTTATATCAACTCAACCAATAAAATAATGTTAAGTTTACAAATTTTTAATGACTGAATGCTATAAAATATTCTAAACTTAATGTGTAAAGTAAAATGTGAATTATGAAGGACACTAAATTACATCATTTTTTGGCTTTTTGAACAAAATGTTTTTGCTGTTATTGAATTTTTATGTATTTTATTTTGTTTATTTATTTAATATAGTTTTAAATGTCATGAGTTGTTTTTCCTTTACATAGTAAGTTATGAGAATATTTTAGAATGTACTTGTAAGCGTTCTGAAAGCAAAGGAAATGTTTGTCGCAGATTAATTCCACAACGCAGAGAACAAATCACTGTAAGTTCAGACTCGAATATCGGGGGCAGAAAGAAACGCCGAAAACTTGAAGCGCAGGTACTATCTCACAAATTCCAATGCATGTAACCAGTCAGAAAAATAACTCACTCTCCGATGAATCTGGTAGCCAAAATACATCAATTTTTCCCTCCCGATTCAAGAACACCAACTGCTTTTATCGGCCAAGCATTTTTTTCATTCGTCAACAAATGGGAGAGGATGCCAAATTTTTGCATATCAAAATACTTTTATAGAGACTCCTGCGATGGACTTGTTTTTAATCTAAATATTCTGTCTTCAGTATGTCATGCAGAATACGTGTCCTTTTTTTTGGTAAGTAATTTTCTTTTCCGTCATAGGATACACGTGACATGCTGTCACTTGGTTTGACGAGGTAAATCGCCATTTTCTTCACTGTAGTACTGTAATTCAAAATTTGTGACCACTGTGTTACATTTTTGAATCATGTTGGGATCACCAATTTTGTTGTGGATTTGAATTAACTCACAAAGAAAAAAGCAAGACAGTTTTTTTAAATATTTTTATTTTTGTGTTTTTACAACTAAATTTTTCTCAGTGTATATGCCCGTTAAAGCTCCTTTTTTGCAGTTGTTTGTTAAGATGAAAAGAAATGTGATTTCTTTGCATGTATGTGTGAGAAAAAAGAATCAAGGGAGAAAATGAGAAGGAAAGTGTAAGTGTCATGTAGCTTGGTGCAGAAGAGCATAAGTGTCATATAGCTTAGTGAAGAAGACGGGTGAATGAGCAAGGGAATATCTTTGAAGCTGTGCTATCATGAACTGCTGTCCTATGTTGTCATCTTTTCTCCTTACTGGCTTGGTGACTTTGCTTATATACTCTTCAAAGTGATTATGAAACATTTTTTTTTTATTGTCAGCAGGAATGCAACCCAATGGTTGAAAAATGTTAAATATTTATTTTCAAAGTATTAATTTATAAACAAGAAGGATGCACGAATCATCCAAGTTAGAAACCATCTTTTTGTCATTTGATGATTAACTGTTGGTGTTTATTTCGGTCTTTGTTCCACAACTCAACATTATTGTTCTCCATGTTACTTTTGTGTATAAATACAAGTTACGGAAAAAAAATCATATTGCCTTAACAAAAATCTTTAATGAAGAAAACCTACTGACATAAAAGTTTTTTTCTTATCTTTCTCTTTTATTTATATTGTTTACAAATATATTTATATCTGAATTTTTGTACACACAAATGCATAAACAGGATGCAATGGGTAAATTGTTGCCATTTTATATTTTTAATTTCACACGTGTGCATTGTTTGTTTTTGATTTTGTTGATTGTACAGTATAGTAGGGTCAGTTGGGCACCGTCTGTGAGTAAAAGAGCACCAAGATGCCATTCACTCTGCCAGAAATTTGGAAATAGCATGCTCCTCGGTCTGCAATCTCCTTGATTATTATGTGTGGGACACAGTTGAGGAAGAGACCAATAAAAATCCTTGTAACACTGATGAGCTGAAGGCAAGGATTATGGCAGCATTCACCAACTTAAACAAGGAGACTGTCCAGAAGAGTTGCAGGAGATTCTGAAGTTGTCTGGAGGCTGAGGTTGAAGCCAATGGTTATTTTATTGAATAAAATTTTCTCTTTAGTATTTCAAGATATTTTTGTGTAATTTTGGTAAATATATCTGTTAAAATGAGATGTCAGTGTTATTTTCATTTTTGCATAATTTAGACGACAATTTATCCATCGCACCCTTTATACATATGCAATAAGTGCTGTACGTCGTAATTGGTGGTTACTTTCAAGTTGTATTTTCTGGTTTATTTTGCAGGTTCAAGATGAAATCAGAGATTATGAAAACAGAAAAAACTGACATGAGCACAACATTCAAAGGAATGGATTACATTGATGTTCCTGCAGGTGGCCAGAAAGAATATCGTTTGGAATTCCATGCGTATAAAGAAGGATTAACTTGCCTCAGGGTAAAAAGAAAAAAAAAAAAAAGAATTCCTTAATTTTTTTCTTTTAACTATAGTGTAAATTGTGATGCTGTGAAGGTTGGATGAGAGGTTCATAGGTGTGGTCAAAAGAAATTAGTGACTCTATTTTGGGACAAAATTTCAGATTGGGTGTTTCTTCCCTCTACACCAGTTTCTTAGAATTTATCATTGTTCTCTTCCCTGTATCTGCTTCATCATTTGTTCCTTCCTTCCTTCCTTCCTTCCTTCCTTCCTTCCACAACTGCATGTATTGTACAATGTACCTCAATGTAAGATCCCTCTCATCTCTACAATGGTCTACTTATAATCACGAGTCGTCACCAATTACTTGCCCAGCTGATAAACATACTAGACATACGGGCACCTCAGAATGGAGCATTAACACACTCGGATGGCCCTCCTTGATTCCATCCAACTATGCTAATATTATGCTCACTGATGATATTGGTGACACACCCTTTTTTGAAGTTGGTGGTGCACCAGCTATGGGGAGGCTTCACCCAGACAGTCTCTCATCCTATGTGTTCCATGCATTTATCTTCATTCAGGCAGATACATGTCGTTGATCCCTTTGACTCATACCCAGTAGGAGTAGAATGCATTGGAAGGTGCACTTGTAGTAGACACGTTGTCCTTTGATGTCGTGTTATATCTATACACAGTTTTCATGACTGTACATTGCTTTCTGATGGCAAATCCTCTTTACACTTTGATGGCACCTTTCTGCTATGCCATTGCCACTTTCCAGCATGCGTGTAGTAGTGGCACCCACACACATTATCAGCCATTTGAAAAGATCATGGGCATCTACTGATAGTGATGAGTCAGGTCCATTAATCTCACAAACTCATATCATAAGCTGTAAAAAGCATGCAATTATAAGCTCCTTGAATGCAAGGACACTTGGCCCTCTAGGCTGCCTTGAAGATTGCTAGCTGAGAATGCAAAATCACAATCTATAGATATCCTTGCAGTCCAGGAACACCGCTTCCATCATCGTAAGGATATCACCAAGCAGGATCTTGCCAACTTGTCATCTCATCAGCTACAAAAACTCCAGCAATGCTACCATTGGAGGTGTTGGCTTTTTTCTTTCATCTAGAGCCAGCAACAACCTCTTAAGGGTTGAGTTAATCTCCCCCAGAATACTAGTACTTGAACTAAAGGCAATCCTAAAACAACCGTGATATGTGTCTATAGCCTTCATAATTCCTCTGAATTGGGTGAGGTAGAAGACTTATACAACTTTGCATACCACTGTAGAACAAGTACCTCTGCATAACTTTCTAGTTATTGTTGGTGACCTGAATGCCAAACTAGATCTTGATGAAGTAAAGTTCACCTTCAACAAAGTGACAAACCGAAATGGGGAATACCTCAAAAACTTCATGGAAGAATTCAACCTCTTTAGCTCAAACACCAGCTTCATGAAGCCAAGAAGTCAACTGTGGACATTTGAGTACCCCTTTGGTGAACGTGCTCAGATTAATTATCTGATCTTTTGGAAAAAGTGGAGGAATCATGTTCGAGACTCTAGATCCTACTCGTCTCAGCTCTGTTGGTTCTGACCATAGTCATCTCTGCTACCATCAAACTTAGCCTTAGGTCATCCAAACGAGACAAATCTTACCCCATGAAACAGATTGACTGGAAGGTGGTCTCATGCAGCCAAGACCTTTAAAAAAACCTTGCTCTTGAAGTATACAATAGATTCCAGTCTTTTTCCACTGTTGATATCACCACAGATAATGTTGTAGAAGTGTATGCCAGTTTTATTTTGTCTACTGAGGAAGTAGCACTTGCAATTCTCCCCAAAAAGAAGAGTAGAGGCCAAATAAAATCCAGTAACTTCTCTCGTGTATTTGAATCAAGAGACACGCTCAAATGCTATCTCACAATCCTAACATCATTCCCTATCTCAGACAAAGAAGATACAGCAGATAATGGCCAAACAGGAAGTTGATGATGCCTACCTTGAAGCTGAATCTAAATCCATCAACAGTAAGATAGATGACCTTTCAAGACAGCACATCAGAAAGCAACACCATCTAGCCTGGAAAACTGTAAAAGACTTCTCCAGCAAAACTTCTGGCTCCACCATCAGAATCAAGGGAGGATTCATTGAGAAACATCTCAAAAACTGGTTAAACCGTTTCAAGATCTTTCTTCGTAAAGAAGTGAAGCTTCCTGACAACTGTATATGCCCAAGTGTTCAAATCTCGGATCCTCTAGAGATTGACACTTCTTCCTTCTTGATCAGTGAGCTTAAAGCAGCAACCAGACAATTTAAAGGTTCCAAAGCATTTGGTCCAGACAACATCCCAGCTCTTATCTGGAAAGATGAGCATTTTCAACAGCTCCTATTCAACCTTTGTAACCACAACTTCTCAACATTCAAAAGTCCAAACATTTGGCACAAATCACAGATCATTCCTATGCCAAAAAAGGGAGACCTCTCTCTAGCAGCCGACTAGAGAGGGATCTCAATGATGTCAATTGGTGCTAAGGTGTACAATAAACACATCCTTAACCACTTGATACTCTTTGTTGAGCCTGCATTCCAGAACAACCAAAACAGCTTCAGACATGACAGATCTACTCTAAGCCAAATCCTGTGTCTGCACAGACTTATTGAGGAATCTGAACTGAGCAAACTAGACCTTGCACTGGTTTTTATTGATTTCTCAAAAGCTTTTGACTCTGTTAACAGATCTAAAATGTTTAAGATTCTTAAACTTTATGGAATCCCTGACAAAATGATTGATGCCATCAGGGTCATGTACACAGACAACTCATCAACCATTCTCACTCCTGATGGAGAAATACCACCTTTTTCCATTATAGCTGGAATGCTTCAGGGTGATACACTTGCACTATATCTGTTTATTATTGTTGTGGATTATGTGCTCCATTGACAATCTGGAAGATAAAAGTTTCCAACTATGCCCTGCAAGAAACTCTCGCTTCCCTGCCAAATATCTTACATGATGACATCGTGCTTATCAGTCAGTCTCTAGAGAATGCACAAGCTCTCCTACAAGTAAGCCTCAAATGGCATAGGTCTCTATCTGAATGAGTCAAGAACTAAATACATGAACAGATGTACAGCCAACAATGGCCATCCTATAAAATCCCTTAATAACACCAATTTGAATCAAGTTGAGGATTATAAATATCAAGGATCATTCATCTCCTCCTCCTCCTTGAAAGACTTCCAAACTAGGCAGAAAACTATCATTCCATGACATCATCTCAAGAGATACTGGCATTGGTAGGCAAAATGAAGTACTGGGAGGTCTGGTGTAGTGTTGGGGACTCCATGATCTCCACTGCAGTCAACACATGATGATTGATATATATATATATATATATATATATATATATATACACAAAAAAGTCCCTGATCTAAAATCCTATAATACCAAATGGCTCTAATACATATATAAATAAAACAAACAGGTAGACACTCTCCATGTCTGGTAATTAAGAGGTGATAAGGTAATTTCATTTAATTTCTGATTCCCACTTATCCTCAGAGATCCCAAGGCATTTTTCCTCACTTGCAGTTTTGTCTTTCTTTCATTTTAACCTGCAGAAACCAAAGAGAGCAGAAGCTTTTCTGGCAAAATGTGTCATTAATAAAATTTTTCACTTTGTCTTGTCTTGTAATGACATGGAATGTTGAGTTGTTAATGTGATTAACCTATTATTATATGTATTTGTAGTTGATAGGGGAATCCTTTTTTTTTTTTCTTACTGAAAATGAAATGAATAAAAATGTACAGCAATAACAACAATAAGATCTTGAGATACGTATTGAAATTAATGACAAGAATGTGTATTTTTCTTTTTGTGATGTTCATTACAATATTGGTATTGTGTATGTTAAAAATATTCTCAGTGTTATTGTCTCTTTCATTTCTTTAAAAGTTTGTGCTTGTTTTTGCTTGTTCTGAGAATTTCATGGTTGCATTTGAAACCATCAACTGTGGATTTTCACAGAGTGAAGAAGATACGTCTGTGTTGTTCTTTTTATTACTGCTACTGCTAGTCTGCTCTACTATCCTGATCCTGCTCTAATGAACTCACTTGTGGAGGAAGGGTCATTTTTATATTGATGAAGTTTCAGATTTTAAAATGATGACATATTATCATATATCACCAGGTTTTTTTAGAATAATGAAATTTTTATCTTTATTTCCAGTACGATGAAAGATCTTTGTCATCAATCATCACTGGTGGAAAGGTTGTTTATAGAATGATGAAATATCATCATCATCATCATCATTCTGGATCATAACAGTCTCATCATCTTCATTTTTGCTTTGGATACTATTATACATTCTACAAACATACATGGTTATGCTATCTGAATAAACTCCAGAATTTTTTTTTTTATTATGTTCACTGATTGGTTGCATCTTATTTCTTTTTTGATTGGTTGGAAAAGATGAATATAAGACCAGAATAGAAATTCTGATATTCATCTTTTTCAACCAATCAAAAAAGAAATAAGACTAACCAATCAGTGATCGACATTGTCTGCACAGAATTTGTGATTGAACTAAAAATATAATAATGGTATCCATTACACTATATTCATATTTCATTAATACAGGATTTATAAAAAATGGTAAAGGATTTTTTGTTTTACTTTTGTTTTGATTTCTCTCTTTTCTTATTTGCTTTGAAATTATATTGAAAAAGAATCAGTTGCTGTTCTATTACCAAAGTTAAGCAGCATCAAATCAGTAGTTATGTGGTGGGGGATGCTTGGTGGGAACATTGGGTAAGGGTTAGAGGAGTAAACCTCAGTCTAAAAATAGTCATACTTTTTGAATGCAGGAAGGTTGTAAAAGATAGTGGAGTATACAACAACAGTTTCAAATATTGGATTACCACCCATGTGACTAAAATTACAGGTGGCTCAGTTCTTTAATGGTTTGCTCTCTTTCCCCTTTGACCTCTCAGAATGGCAACATGTTGTTTTTTTTTTTTTTCATTCTCCTGCAAAACACATGGCATGTAAGTACTTCAGAGACATCAAATGAAGAGGGTGCTGAACTATCAAATAACGTCTATAATGAAGTTTGTTTCTTTCTTTACTTTTGTGTGAACATGTCTTCATAAATACATTTTTATTAATTGTTGTTTGTTTAGATTCCATGTCTTGTGTCTTTTTTAATCAAACTTACATGAGTGTGCAAAATATTGTTTGCAGGACAAATAATGCCAGGAACCATGAAATGGTAATTCTTTTCAGTCCGCAACAAAGATCATGTTTTATTTCTACTTGGTAGCCAAATATCACTGGAGATAACATAAAATCTCTAAAAATGAGACATAGCAAAACCTTTTGTACAGTGGCATAGCTAGTGTTTTTGCCGCCCAAGGTGGCCCTCAAGTTTGCTGCCCCTCCCCAGAAGGAATACAATATTACAATGCACATTAACCCCTTAAAGTTTACACACACACACACACACACACACACACACGTGAACGACAAAATTATTTGCGCACGGTACACCCATCAATTTTTAATATTTTCATCCATTTCTCAGAATCTAATACTCATATGATGCCAAGTTTTTTATATCTTAACAAGCACACAAAAAGGAATATATATTTATTATGTAATTGATACATAATTGTGGCACAAGGCCGAGGGGAGGGTTGAGGCTGGTCATCAGTAACTATCCTAGTCCTAGTTAATTATAACTCATCACTGATAAATTATGAAATAAAAGTACAATTGAATTTATTTTTATTTTTTTTAATAAAACTGGGGATATGTAAAAAAAAAAAAAAAAACAAAGACGTTACTTTTTTTTTTCTAAATCGGGAAAAATTTTTAAAAATTTTACAATATTAAAAGAAAGATAACTTGTTTTCGTTTATATACCCTTTGTTTTATTTAAAAAGAAAAACAAAAAACAAGAAAAAATACATTTTACTTTTAATTCATAATTTATCAGTTTTTTTAATATTTATTTTAATTCTAACAAGTGAGGAATCATAAATTAAAGGCCACATTAACAGAAACAGTGCATTTTAGAGATATATATTTTTTATTGCTGGCTGGCTGGCTGGCTTTAAGCCAGCCATATCAAAGTTAAAATTTGGCTTCATTTGAACCCTACCTTCTTCCTTATCACTGCTTTTTTTTTTTTGGCAAAAATTATTGAAATTATGCTATTGTTTTTTTCTTTTCTGAAAACTCATTGCAGACCAAAAGTGCCACTTGGGATGAATCACCCCCTAGTTATGCCAGTGCTTTTGTAGCCTTTTGCCACCACTAATTATTCAGTCATTAATACAGCTGAAAACATTATGATTACTGAATCTAACCATTTGACATAATGTTTGTTTGCGAGGAGGGAGTCATGCTATTTTTACATACAAGAGAACATATTTTATCTCTAGTGAGAACAGATTCTGTCCAAATATTTGTGATCAAGTGCTTGCAACTACAATTCTAGTCATTTTCAAGATTCAAACTTATATACATGCATTTTCTTTTACGTATTGAAATACTTTTCAAACTTGGTGTTTACTGTTTATGGTGACGTCACGGACAGGTATGATTTTTCATTGACTAAAAATGCCTTTTCAGTTGTTAAATACACTGAAATCCACAGTTACACTGTAAAGGAGATTTTGTTTAGTTTGGGATTGTTTGGTTAGGGCTTCTAATATCAAGAATCCTTTTCATTTTTAATATTCACATAGTGGTTTGCTTTGAGTAACTTTAATCATTGTTTCTTTTATTTTGTTGAATAATTGTTATGTATTTAGATAAAATTTATTTCCTTTTATTTATTATCGGACAGATTACATCAAAATTTGATACAGACTTCTGGCTTAATATTTAGCAAGATTCAAGGCGTTAGCTTTTGAGATGTCAATAACAAAATCTTGTCATGATGTGTTGAGCTACCTTTCAGTAATTCGTAAATTGTGTCAACTTTTACTTATTAAATAACAAAGCAGAATAGTTGGCTTCAATATATTTACGTTCATGTATGCAATGAATATAATAGCAAACACAAATGTAAAGTAGATCATAAATTTTTTTACGGGTATCACAATAAAAACCAAAATAAAATTTTATGAACGGGAGATATGCAAGGGAGGCAATCGTTTTAACCTGGATGCATGGTTATTTCCCTTAGACTAAAAAAACATTTTTTTTTTTTTTACCTTTTTTAAATAAAAAATTATCCTATTCCGGCAATACGATGATTAATAATAAATGGATGAGCACTCGATAGTATCTTCGTTCATTGAAAAACAGATTTAAACTCAAAAATCTTAAAAATTAAAATTCATTGTTCGCACATTTTCAGCACTTTCCCTCGGGTACATAATTATCAGCGACGTATTCCACCCCTTTCCCTACTACACATATATAAATAAATTCCATTGATAAAAGGTAAAAACTTTACTTCTTAGTCTGATGAAGTCATTTTAGACGGCGAAACATGTTACATAGATTTTTTCCACTCATTCAGTTGATTTTCATTGGTCTGATATATAGAAATTTATCATATTTTCACACACACACATATATACATAAATAAATGGTAATAGTAATACTCGTTTGGAAAACCTCGGATAGCTCAGCTTGTAATATAACAAATTCGTACCCGAGGAGAAAATTGGAAATAAAAAAAGAAAGAACCAAAAACATTAACACAATACAAAACAAATTTAAACTGAATGTTATACATGCTGGAATTAGATTCTATTCGTTCTCATTTTCATATTTTATATATATATATATATATATATATATATATATATATATATATCCATGTGAAATGCTGTAATTGGATTCTATTTGTTTCATGCTAGGCCTGATGATTGCATCTAGCATGAAACAGCCAGTCACCTCTGAATGTTGACTTAGTGTTCACTTTTATATTTATATTTACATACGCTCTATCTCTGATATTATGGTAGCACTTTATCCCATAAATATAGCACGCCTTAAAACTATATTTCTTTGTATATATATATATATATATATATATATATATATATATATATATATATATAATAATAAATATACAATTTGTTCCTCACCATGAATGTTTGTTTATTAGTAGTATAAATTTTACCTCTGATATTAAATATCGAACTCTGTTTTATTACCACCAGCACTCATTGTGCTATTCTCTCTCTCATATTTAATGAAAAGTAAGTTTTATTTTGTTTGAAGTTGGTCATTTTATAAAATACATTTTCATGATGTGTTATAATTTAAGAGTATAAATAAGTTTTATTAAATCATAATTCATTTAGGTATTCATAATTATTCATGAGACACTTGTAATCATCACTACAAATGAATATGAGAATTTCTTTAGTTTAAAAATTGCTACTATTTGAATAGAGTGATTCACTTGTAAAAAATAGGGAGGAAAAAACGCACTACTTATATAGACTGATCCATTCATAAAAAATAGGACTGAAAAGAGAAATATTTAAATAGACTGGTCCACTTGTAAAAAATAAAAAAAATATTTTTTGAAATAATTTTTGTCAATTAGCATTCATTTTACCTTCCTTAAGCCATAAATCTTGTTAAAATAAAAATACTGATTTTTTTATCATTTTAGAATTGAAGTCCTGTTCACAATATTGATACAGTTTCAAATTGATCCCTGACTTTTACTGAGTTCTTTGAACTTAGTTGTTCTGTGTACAAAAACAAACTTACATTTCTTCCTTTTTTTTTTTTTTTTTTTTTTTTGTTTGTTACAAAAAAATTTCTTTTAAATAAACAACAAAAATATATTACATTTTTAGTTAATGAACAAAAATTGACATTTAATAATAAAAGTATATGTCTGTCTGTTCTTCATTTAAGATAAATAATTATTATCTCCCCAATGTTTGTGCAGGTACTTCGGAAAAAAATTCCCCACCAAAAAAGAAGTTTTAAAAAACTTTAAGCAATTCATAAAATTAAAAAGAAAAGAAAAATTGCAGATATCAATAAAGCATGTCTTCAAACTTGTCATTTGTAAATAACAGTTAGTTCCAATAACTCTATAAAAATCAGGGATCAATTTGTGACTGTATTTATATTATGAAAGAGACCTCCTAAATTGATTAGAAAACAATAATTCTCCATACTGACAAATGTTGTGATTTGAGAAAAATCTAATGGATACTAATCTACAAAAATTATTCTTCCCAGAAAAAAAATGTCCCTATTCTTTGAGTGGACCCATCAATTCCATAAAAGTCAGGGATCGATTTGACACTGTATCAATATTATGAACAAGACCTTGCCTACTAAAATGATAAAAGATTAATGTTTTTTGATTCTAACAAGTGTTACGGCCTAAGGAAGTTCGAATGAATGCTAATGTGCAAAAAATATTTTCCAAAAAAACTTACCCTATTTTTTAAGTAGGTTCATCTGTTGAAATAGTATTTAAGAATTTATCTGCTAATAGTTTTTTACCTTCAAACATTAAAACATGCAAAAAATTATTATCATTGGGAAAAAATATGAAATTTAAGTCATTTTGCAATGAGATCTTTTATTTAAAAAGTTAAAAATCACTTTATAAAGATTCTGACCTCATTTACTTAATTCTTTTCAACATTTTCTGTTTTGAAGGTAACTTTCACTCATACTGAATCGGGTGAGTACCAGTTCTACGAGTTGAACTTTCGTTCCACAAAACCAAGCAGCGTTGGCCTTATTGAACTGAGCAGCCCAGTACGGAACAGTGTTCCCCACACCATCAATTTGGAAAATCCATTGACTTTTGCAGTTACATTCAACATCAATACAAACCTCCCTGATTTAATTGTACCCGGCCAAGTCGTTATCGCTCCACAATCAACAGTAAGTGAAAACAATTTTGGGAAAATTCTGACATTTGTACCCACAACAAAACAATGTCTGAAAAGGACGTGTTTTTGCTTGATGCCTACTTTTACTGCAAAATTCTTCAGCAATTTTGATTGTTTTAACAAAACTCAAATATATGAAACTGGATTTAGAAAGCTATTTTTAAAATGTTTACAAACCCCAAATATATGAAACTGCATTTTCTTTTTCTCAAGAATTGACAAAAATATTAAACACCATTTAATTATTTTATTAGATTATTTACAAGAATAATTTTATATTTACAAGGTTATAAAAATATGTGAACCAACTACAATGCTATATTTATTATTTACCATATTAGAAAGAAATAATGATGGAAAGAAAATTTTTATTCATAAATTTATAAAAATGTCTATGAAGAAGAGAAGAAGAAAATTTAAGTAAACACTCACGACAAGTAACTGTTATTGTAAATTTCAAAAAATTGTTTTGTCACTATCTGTAATTGATTGTCATATTGAAATCACTTTTTCTTTTTTTTATTAATGTTCCTTGGCACTACTTAAGTATGCTGGTTCACTAGCAAAAAAAAAAAAAAATAGGGAAAACACCAGATAAAAATAAAAGCTGCCATGGAGAATGTGTCCCTGGCTTCATCGTCCCTTAACACTTCAATAAAAGGGCAGTGCAGCATAAATTTCAATTTATTAAGTGAGTGGTATTTGAATGATACACTTTGTGTCCTTCCTAATATTTATAGTGATGTAATTCTTGAACAAGACTTTGTGAACCAAGACTCTAATATGTCTTCTGCATTTGGTATCCCTAAGAAAAAGTCTTATCTATTTTGAGTTCAATTGCTTGAAATTATCTCCATTATTTTCAAATCTCAATCTGAACTGCAAACCTATTTTCTATGAAATTTACGTGAACTTTCTTAAAACTGAGGTTAATAAAACACTAAGAGACGGAATAATTGAGAAAAGCACGTCTCCTTGGCAAGCTCAAATTTTAATTGATGCATAAAAAGAGATTATTTGTGGATTATTGTTGAACTATTAATAGATTCACTCGACTTGACACTTACCCCCTACCAGGAATGGATGATCTGGTTTTGAAAATCTCTAAATATAAAATGTATTCTTCTTTGGATTTGAAGAGTGCATATCGCCAAGTATTCATTCAAGGGGAAGACAAACCGTACACTGTATTTGAAGCTAATGGCAAATTATACCAGTTTTCTATTTGGGGTCACTAACAGGGTATCTTGCTTCCAATGCATAATGGACAAAATTATTATAAGGAATAACTTGCATGGAACATATGCATAGTTGTAGATAACATAGTTGTAGGTGGCAAGACTCAAGAGGAGCGTGATAAAAATTTCTCAAAATTTCTTGAGGTAGCCAAACTACATAATCTTACTTTCAACAAAAAATGGTCCTCCTTATCAACCACTTCTATTAATTTTCTTGGCTACACCACATCTCATGGGATATTTAAACCTGAGGTTGACTGACTACATCCACTTAAAGAATTACCTATCCCTAAAGATAAAGCTGCCTTTTGTAGGCTCCTTGGTTTTTTGTATCATTCTCAATGGATATCAAAGGTTTTGGATAAGATTGAACTATAGCTGACACATTCCCTTTAAATCATGAGTCTGTGAAAGCATTCCAAAAGCTTAAAAAAGAAATTGAAAGTGCCTTACTTCATGTTATTGAAGAAAACGTCCCCCTTGTAGTCGAGACAGACGCTTTTGATATGGCAATTGCTGCTGTTTTGAACCAGGCTGGCCATCCAGTGGCCCTTCTTCTCACGATCACTAACTCTGACTGAATGAGAGTTATGCTTTGATGGAAAAGGAAGCTTCAGCTATGATAGAAGCCATAAAAAGGTAGTCTCCCAACTTATCTGGTCAACACTTTACCATCGTTACGGACCTGCAGGTAGTGAACTTCATGTTTAATATGGAGAGATCTGAAAAAATTAGAAATGATAAGATCCAGAGATGGAGAATGGGACTGAGGAACTATAATTATGAAATTACTTACAGATCAGGGAAGGATAATATACCTGCGGATACGATCTCATGGGATCATTGTGGTGCTATCTTACACAAAGAAAAGTTGTATGAGCTCCACAATCATCTTTGTCACCCTGCTATAACCAGGTTAGCCCACTTTGTCAAAGTTACAAATCTAACTTACTCTATGAAAGATGTAAAAATAAAAAGTATGCATTGACTGTTCCACTTGTGCAAGATGGAAACCACATTTCTACAAACCTGAAAAAGTTTGCCTAATAAAGGCTACACAACCAATGGGAAGAATCAGCTTAGATTTTAAAAGACCTCTTTGTATCAAACTCACAGAACCATTATACATTAACAATAAAATAGATTGGCTACTCTTGGTTTCCTTTTGCTTTTGCTTGCCCCAATATGACAACTAGCATGGTAATTAAATGCTTAACTCAGATTTTCACCATGTTTGAGACTCCTTCCTACATCCACTCTGACCGGGATTACTTGTTTCTAGCTAAGGAACTGAATGTGTACTTCACTGATTGGGTTATAGCTACGAGTAGAACAAAACCCCTTTACAATCTCAAAAGAAATGGTCAGTTTGAATGATACAATAGAATTATTTGGATGCATGTCACACTGACCTTGGCTTCAAGAAAATCTATGAGAATCTTCAATGGGAAGTTGTTCTAACCACAGTACTGCATTTGCCTATAAGGATCTCTATACTCTGTACTGTGATGAACACTAAACCCCACGAAAGAATATTTTCATATCAACGTTGGTGGTCACCTAGTGATTATTCCTCACCCACTTGGCTAGCAGCCCTTCGTCCAGTTCTATTACATTGCAATGTTTGTGCTGATAACTATGAACTTTTAGTCAATGAGGTTCACAGCTGTTAGAAGCCAATCTCCAAGATGCCCATATGTAAGATTTAATGATGGACATGAGTCTACTCTAATTGTGTATGATTTCTCACCTGTTAGGAAATAATATGAGAACTTAAAATTAAAGAACAAGAGACTATTGTGGAAAAGAGTACTACAGAAGTGTAGTGACCTAAGTCTGATACCCATTCTAAACCATTGAGTAACCCTGAAATATATCTACTACTGCCCTCTGACTTTGAGGGTCAACATTCTGCTCTGATTCCCAAACATTCAGTGACCTAAGATAATCTTTGAGGAATCAAAGAAAACCATTATATCCAGAAGATTAGAAAAAAAAAATTTTTTAAAAAAAATGGAGGGGCAGAATGTCATAAGCATTAACTTCCCTTGATTTGGACTCTTCTGGAATTATCCACCTCTTATATATATATATATATATATATATATATATATATATATATATGCGCAATTTTTTATATAAATTATTTATATATTATATATGTGCAGTACTTATTGGAAAGTGCTCAATATCAGTGATAGAGCTAACATATTTAGTTGGATTGATGGTTGATTGAGTTTGTGACATTGGGTTTCACGCTATTTGTGATCGTCAGACAAATCAGTTTGTCTGACAATCGTAAATAGTGTGAAACCCAGGGTCATAAACTCACATCAATCCGACTAAATAAATACATATATATATATATATATATATATATATATATATCCTCTTTTACTTGTATTCTTATTTGCTCTTAGCCCCATCATGGAACACTCTGTTTATTAAAGCCTTTGTCAAGATACTTCTTTAGTTCTGTTCCTTAGTATGTGTATAGTAAAATTATGAATATGAAATTAAACAAAAATTAATTGAACATGCATTAGCCTATTTATCACTGTTTCTCATGGAAACCCTAGCGACCTCTTGCGAAACCTTAGAGTTCTAGGTATCACTGGTTGAGAAACACTGTTCTATGGTGACAAATTTTTCCAGGAACAGATTATAGGAAAAAGTGAAGACATTCAGGTGATCACATATGAAACCTTTTTTTATTTAATCTCTGGGGATAGAGACTGATTTGTTGCAATATCCATGCCTTGGGATAACTCATTTTATTCTCTTACTTCACACTGCCAAAAAATTTTACTTGTTTTTTTTTTACAAGTAGACCAGCCCATTGAAGTACTACCCTGCTCCACATTTACTAAGATCAGAAGAGGAGGTTCAAAGCTGGCAGCATCTTGAGTTTGATTGAATTGTTTATTTATGGCTTATCAACCTTTTTGAAGGTTATTTAAAGCCAGAAAATATTTTTGGATTGTAAGAATTTTTTTGAGATAATAATAATTTTACTGATAGAAGTCCTACTAATTAACCCACAGCTGGGGAGAGAAGAGGTGGATTCATACCTTTCCAAATGGTATTTGCACGTCAGTGAATACAACAAAACTGACTGGAATTGGAACACTGCTTTCTGATTTCCAATTCCAAGCTTTTATCCACCCACACATTTAAACTTACAGCACCTGGTATTCCTAAGCAGTCAGCCATCTTGAGATACAGTTCAATAGTGTCAATATGTTGAATAAAACCCTATTGTTAAAGTGAACCTCTTCTGCTACAATTTGTCAAAGATTGTTTCTTAATATCAACAATAAGTGGATATTTATTTATGAACATTACATCAAATTTAGTAAGAGGAATAGAATAGGAAGGGGGAAGATTAGTTTTCATTGTTCTATCTTTTAAACTTATTAGTCATAGTCACTAACCTAAATATTTGATAATTTTTACTTTCACCAAAAATTCACATTTATACGCCTCTTGTGCCAGATGGGTGTTTACTATCTGTTAACTGAAATTTACTAATGGTTAAAAAAGCAGGGTGGAGTTATCTACCCCTAGCTTCTTTTTTATGTAGCTGAAGGCACAATGCAATAAAATATACATGGCACTGTGAATAAATCGTGATGTGTTTTAAACTGTGAAAGGTCTTTGACTTATTACGTTTGTTCCTTTACTTGGAAGCTGAAAAACTTGTTTTCAGTAAAACCAGGCATGGCTTTAATTTATCTTTCTATCAATTTCAATCTATCTATATATTTCATTCAATCTATATATCTATCTATATATTTCAATGTATCGATCTTATTAAATTTCAATCTCTCCATCCTATCAATTTCAATCTATTTCAAACATTCTATAAAACTTATGAATTTCAATTTATCTATCCAATTAATATCTATCTATTCATTTCAAACAATCTATCCTATCCTTCAATTTCAATCTATCTGTCTGTGAATTTATGACAGTATGGGCCAAGTGAAGTAAATGATAACATCTTCGTGTTGGAAATTGAAAGCCAAGTTCCAATTACAGTCAGGTTTATTATATTCATTTATGTGCAAATACCCTTGGGAAATGTCTCAATCTTCATTCCCCCCCAGCTATGGGTTGATTAGTAGGACTAATAAAATAATCAATGTCTTTCTCTTATTACACTAGTTTCCTTACTTGGAAGTCCAAACACTGTTTTCACTAAAACCAGTTATGGCTTTAATTTTTCATTTACATTTGAATTTATTTTTTAAATTCCCGTCTCCTCTGTTGTACTAATGACACCATAATACAGGGCATGGTAGAAATACCTCCCACATAATGATAAAACATTAGCTAGATGAAAACATCATTGCCACTAATGTGGACTAAGTTAGAAAATTTAACAATAAAATTTAATAATGATATAATTGGATTTACAAAAACAAATAAAATGTTAGTATTTGAATCACCAAAATATAACTGTAACTGAAATAACTGTTAACGCATATTGTAGGGTTATTTTATAATGACTTCCTACCTCAAGGAGTGCCCAAAAAAGAATAGATATGAGGTACTAAATGTAATGAGTTGGTCGGTCAACTTGAAACCCCCAAAGCGAGTGGAGGTGGGCAGGCGCGGGAACTGTGATTGGTAGCTGGCTTGTTGGTGTTTTGCATAGGTGAGTTACCAAGCTCTATGTAAAGGGCTGGAATGAGAAGGAGGTCAATTTTCAGTCTCAGGAGTGGAGACTGTGTCCGTCGCTACAACAGCAGGAGAGAAAGAGACGAAATCATTTATTTTTTCGTGACACATTCCAACACAAGCTATTTCGGCATTTACTTTGTCTCCAGCAAGATGGCGGAAAGACCGTTCAACATAAAACTTATCTCCGAATTCAGTGGTGATACGAGAGGACAGTCTGTGGTTGAATGGATTGAAAAAGTGGAACTGGTCTGCGAATTATGCGAGATCACGAAGATTGAACGGATTCTTCCACTGCGATTAAAAGGCGGTGCCCTTGCTGTGTATAGGCAACTGAGCAAAGAACAGAAAAGTGACATTGAGCAAATAAAGCACGCTCTACTAACCGTGTTTGGAACTGACCAGTTCGTGGCCTATGACCAATTCCATGCGCGGTGTCTGTGACCTGGCGAGACAGTAGACGTATATTTGGCAGAATTAAAGAAGCTCGCTGTACCGATTGCACCGCTTCCTGAAGAATGGATGATCTGTGCCTTCATGTCTGGATTGCCTAGTCATGTTAAGCAGACACTCCGTGCATCATCCAGAATCGAAGACATGACACTCAATCAATTGTTGACCAGAGCCCGTGCTATCATGATTGACGAAAAAGAGGCTGATGAACCAGTGGCCGCAGTCGTTCAGCCAATTGAAGTCAAAGAGGATCCGATCCCAGCCATCTGTCGCCATGGTGATGTCACCTGCTATCGGTGCTCTGGGCCGAATCATTTTGCCAAAGACTGCTGCTATCAACGCAAAGCAATGCGCAGTGGGTCGGCGCGAAAGGCACGTTTCGATCTACGATGTTTCCAATGTCATGAAGTAGGTCACATTGCCTCTAAGTGTCCAGGAAATGGAATAGGGGACGCAACATCAGCGCCGGTCTCTTCCTCGCACCGAGCATGAAAGAGGCGTTCTCTGTGATTAAGGTGCACATCAATGGAATAACGCGTACTGCTTTAGTAGATTCGGGCTGCTCTCGGTCACTCACGAATGGTTCGATTTGTCGACAGTGGAGCAGACAAAAGATGGACATACTAACGGCTGATGGAAATGCTCTCAGAAGCCGGGGAGTTGGAAACATCAAACTCAGTATTAACAATGGTAACCCTGTTACAGTCAGTGTGTTGGCCGTGGACAGTGTGTTATTAGGTTTTGATCTGCTCCTTAGGATGGACATTATTAAGGAGCTGGGTGGCGTACGCATCACAGAGGTGGGCGAAGTCGAGTTTTCTGATCCGTCCATCTGTGCTGCCTTGAGGATTAACGAACATGACTTCAGTGCAACTTTCGACCAGCGCAGGTGCATATGGACCGCAACGTGGAAGTGAGCGGGTGGACGAACGCCCACGCCCCTGAAAAATAAAATAGCAGAGTACCCAGTTCCAGAGCATATCAGGAGCGAATACGAAAATGAATCGCAGCTTTGAATAGCAAACAGCTGGCTTGCGCTGTACCCCGAGGAGGAGTTAGGGCCGCCTCGAGGACTGATTCCGTTGATGGCAATAGTGCAAGAGAATAAGGAGAAAGTGAGACCGGTCATGGACTACGGGAATTGAATACCTTTGTAGATGCATATACGGCCAACGCGGACGTTTGTGCCCAGAAATTGCAACAAGGGAGCAATGCAGCCACCCTCGATTTAAGAAGGGACTACCTCCAAGTCCGAGACCACCGATCACTCTGACCCTTTCAGACTGTCATGGTAAAAAGACAGAGATATTGCCTCACTTGATTGGGATTTGGTCTTAATGTGGCTCCAAAAATCATGTCAGCGATTATGAATGTGGTCATGTCACAGGATGAGGAAATTCGAAGGGCAACGTCATCCTATATTGATGATGTTTACGTCAATGAAAACGTGGCCTCTTCAACGAGGGTTAAGGAACATCTGGAGTGCTTTGGCTTGGTGTGCAAGGCTCCAGAGCCACTGCAGGATGGAGCGAATGTACTTGGACTACATGTCAGTAGTGATGGAGAAAAACTTCGCTGGAGGTGAGGTAGTGACGTCCCGGAAGTCCCGCCAGTGATCACTTGTCGGAGTACCTTCTCTATGTGTGGGAAACTGGTAGGCCATTTTCCAATATGCGGTTGGCTCAGAGTGGTGGCAGCAGCCATAAAGTGCCACGTAACTTCTGTTTCATCAGGATGGGATGATGAGGTGCACGACGTTACCCTAAAATGCATGATAACTGAAACTATGGAGAGAGTGATGCAAGACGATCTCGTGTGAGGTGACTGGTACATTAAGGGGAACGAGCTCACCGTTTGGGTGGATGCCAGCTCGTTGGCCATGGGTGTCGCACTTGAGGATAATGGGTCCATCATAGAAGACACCTGCTGGTTACGACCTGAAAATGATGCACGACACATAAACCTGGCTGAACTAGACGTCACTCTGAAAGGGGTTAACCTGGCGCCCAATGGGAAACAACAGTGTTACACATCGTCACGGACTCAGCATGCACTCAGCGTTGGATATCAGATGCACTTAGCGGAAGAGCGCGACTGACCACCAAGGCATCGAGCAAGATGTTGATATGAAGGCGGCTCACCACACTGATTGAAATTATCAAAGAGTACAACCTGTCTGTGGATGTAGTGTTAGATAAATCGGCAGTCAACAGGGCAGATGCATTGACTCGTGTTCCGCAACGTTGGTTGGCTGCTGCTCGGAAAGAGTCTGAACCTCTGCAGCTGCCGTGTACGGCTTCTGCGCTCAGTATGGACCTCGAGCGGATCATGAGCATACATGAACAGTGTGGGCATCTTGGGATTAAACAGATGCTCTACTTCTCGAAGATGGTCGACTCGGCAGTCAAAAAGACGGATGTTAGGACAGTAGTGCAGAGGTGCGAGGCATGCCAGTCAATTGACCCGGCACCGGTGCAATGGCAAAAAAGAAATTTGAGTACTACCCATGTTTGGAACAGGCTGGGGATAGATGTTACGCATGTTGGCAGCCAGCACTATTTGACTATTATTGACTGTGGACCCTCTCTGCCATTTGGCGACTACTGTACTGGCAGGAGACTGCCAGCATAATACGTCAATTGAAGTCCATCTTTTACGACCGGGGGCCACCTGCAGAAATATTGGCGGATAATGGTACGGCGTTTTCTTCAGAGCAATTCTCGCAGTTCTTAAAGAAGTAGGGTGTGCGGCTTCGGTTCCGATGCGCCTACATGCCGGCGGAAAACGGCATAGTAGAAAGGAGCCACTGGTTTATAAAAGTGATTGCAGCCAGGAAGTGATGTACGATCCCCGAAGCAGTCTATTGGTATAATGCGACACCTAAAGACGGTGTTGTGCCTACAACAGCACTGGCTAACATGGTGCACGCCTATCACTTATGGCTGCGAGGCATTGACATTGGTGTGGGTAAATCAATTGTTTATTTTAACCCCAAAGCCGACACCACTATAGCTTCAAGTGTCCTCTTCATCTGTGACAAAATTGTCCAGCATTCACTGTCATAATTTTCCTGTTTTTTCATACTTTGCTTAGGATTAGCTTGGCTAAAAAGCCATATTTTATTGCAACACCATCAAAATGATTAATACTATACAATAGCTGTACACAATTACGAGGGGAGATCTGTTATGTATGTGCGTAAGAGAGAGAGAAAGACAGAAAATTACTGTTTGGTTAACGTATCAATTGTGTGTATGTAATGTTTGGAGTTCTAAAACTAAAAATTCTTATTTTTAAACTGCTGATTTGATTTGAAAATGTTATGTATGTGCAGTGAAAGCCAGAAATGTAAAACAAATGTATTCTCTTATTGACAGCTTTTTTTTGTTACAATTGACAGCGTCCTGTGAAAATAGAATTCCAGCCAATCAAAATTGGAGAAACCAGTGGTAAATTAGAACTGGTCAGTCCTGAATTAGGTCTCTATCTTCATGACGTGAACTTAAAAGCAACTCCTGCAGGGCCAGAGAGGGCCATCTACATGCGTACCTCCTTAGGACAAATGGTTAACATTGTTGCTAAATTCCTCAATTTCGCCAAACAGAGAACAGATTATGTCTGCAAGGTATGGCCATTCATTTTTTCTTTTTTTTCCTTTCAACTTAAAATCATAGAAAAGAATAAATTCTTTCAATTAATTTATACTATCTACATTGTTTGGACAGTTGTCCTCATCTTTATTTCTATATTCAAAATCTTTCGTATGTTGTATGCTCCGACCTTCTTCAGGAGATATTGTACCACTAGAGAAAATGACTTACTTCCTTGACAAAAATAGATTTGGACTTGTCTCACATGTAAAATATTCCTAAAACAAAAATTGTAGCTTGACAAGTTATATATTTAAAAAAAGATAGCCTGTGGAGTTGGCTAATTATGTGAGACTCTCTTTCCACCTCTATGCAAATTTGACCTGTCACTGAATCTATAAAAAGTGTTTAAAACAGAGCAAACAGAAGACACGTGTTTGGATTGTTTGACTTTAAGCTACTTTGAAGGCTGGAGGAAATGGGAAGGAGGAATTTTATTACAAGCCAGAAGAAACTGATTACAGATATACATTGGAATTTTGAACTGAGCCCTTTATTTAATCCATGGAGATAGATTGCTTGAGTTCCACGTGCCATTCCTTTTTTTTGGGGATATCTCAATATCAGTTAACATCCTTTAGTAACCAAACTCTGCAAGTTTTTGTTCCTTCTGCTGTGGCCAGGTATTGAACTCTTAACTCTTTGGATAAAGTCACTTTTTAGATTCTTTCAACCAATACTTTTATCCACTGGGCCATGTGTCCTTTCAATTAATCCATTAACTACAAATGATAGGGATTTCTTCAGTCATTACATTTCTATGGCTCAACCTTAATGACAGATATGTCTGTCAATCACACATATATAACTAGAGCTGAATTAAAGTCAGCTGGTGCTGTAAATTTGGATCACACCTGGTAACAACAAGGTCTTAAGTTTTTTTTTGTTTATACTAAAATTTACCCAGTACAAGGCTCGAGAGCCAGTCAAGGTAGAAGGTTACTGTTAAATTGGTTATGATGAATGAGATGTGTGATAATGAAAGAGCGGGTGGTAAAAGTTAAGATTGTATTGTTATGGGAAGCTGTTACAGTTTTTTGTGTATATACTGTGTAACTAGTGAGCGAGTCAAAATGACTTAATTCCCTTTATAGTCGACCAATAGAAGGTTGACCAATCAGAAGCCGCTGAACATTGTATCCATCGTGTATAAAGGCGGCCATCTTTGTTTCCCTAGCGGAATGACCAGAGGCAACTTGTCTGGCGAACAGGACAGACGGAAGAACTACGCTCTGCTACCTTGCTGCGATATCCACTGCGAACCTGCACTACGCTTTCCTACTGTCTCCAAAATATTCATTGCCAACCTGTGGATTCTATACTCAAAGACGACCGTCATGAAAATGTCTAACATAGGTTATGAAGCCCAGATCACGATTTATTTTGACGGGAATGAATCGAGATATAAATTATGGGAGACAAAGTTTTTGGGCTATCTCTGAATACAAAAACTTCATGACATCATCCTTTGCAAAGTCGACCAGGAGGGGGATGATTTCATGGAAAGAAATGTGACCATTTTCGCTGAATTAATCCAATTCCTGGATGACCGGAGTTTGTCTTTAATAATGAGAGAGGCCAAGGACAATGGCCGAAGAGCTCTACAGATTTTGCGTGAACACTATTTGTCAAAAGGTAAGCCTAAAATTACTTCTTTATATACTGAACTAGCCACATTGAAAAGACAAGAAAATGAATCAGTAACCAATTATTCTAGCAGAGAATGTCACAAATGCCTTAATATAACAGGAGAGACTATCTCGGATGGGCTGCTAATAGCTATGGTCTTAAGGGGTTTACCACTGACATTCAAACCATTCACGACAGTTATAACTGAAAAGGATAAACAACTAACTTTCACTGAGTTTAAAATTGCGTTACGTAATTATGAAGAAATTATAAATATGTACCCCCCAAAATCGCGGCAAAAACAAAAAACAAAAAAAAACAAACGTAATGCAACTGGGAATGTCATTTAAAAATTCAGAAAATCAGTTCCTCAAAGCGGTCAAATTAGGAATTATGATATTAAGAACAGGGGCTTTAAAGGCAATTATTACAAGAATTATAAAGGAAGAACCACTAAAAAAAAAAAAAATGTTTGTTTTCGTTGTGGTAATAATGTCGGCCATGTCCGTGTGAAATGTCAATTTTATACACGGAATGACTTTTGTAAAAATGTAAAAAAAAAAAAAAAAAAAACTTTTTTGAATGGACGTGCATATGCCTTTTTTGTTTGGATTGAGTACTGTGGCCAATAGTTGTGATTCGTACCTAGTCAATTTGGGTGCAACAAATCATGTAATTACAGATGAAACAATTTATTAATTTTGACCTCAATTTCGAGCTCGACTCACATTTTATCGAGTCAGCTGACGGGACCAGAGCTAATGGTTTAGTTTTAAAGAGGTGACACCTGTATTTATCTGCGAAAAACTAAAGGAAATATTTGTAAATGTTTATTAAAAAAAAAGGCTTTATATATTCATAAATTTAAGATATCCAGACGGAACTGAATTTAATATACAGCAATATGGACGTTTGTATTATTTGAAAAGTATTAAGTCTGCGAAGATGGCCACGCATGACTTAAGAACTTGGCATAAAATATTAGGCCACTGTAAGAATTCTGATGTTAAAAGATTGCAGAAACATGTCACTGGAATGAAAATTACACTTCCAAATGATTTAAAATATTGTGACACGTGTATTAAAGTGAAAATGACTTAAACTTTATTGACGAATATTCAGAACTTATTATAATATATTTTCTGAAAACAAATCGGATAGCCTGCTAGCTACAAAAATAACTCCCCGCATGGAAAATTAAAAATAATTCGGGCAGATAATGGTAGAGAATTTACTTCTGATTCTAACAAAAACCTCCTAATAAATAAAGGCATTAAACATGAGAAAACCTGTTCTTATTCTCCATACAAGAACGGAGTCGCTGAACAGAGTCGCAGGACACTTTTTGAAATGGCTAGATGTTTGTTAATAGAATCTAACTTACCCAAAAATCTGTGGTTTTATGTATTAAGAGAGAAACTATCAGATTTACAGATTCCTTTGAGCGAGGGGAGGAACCCGAAAAAAAAAGGAATATTAATTGCGAGGAACTAGCCCAACCCGAATTAGTATGGCCTAATTATGGGCCTATAAGTAGAAAACCCGTTCAGAGTCCACAAACAGAGGAAGGTATTATACCAGATGATGTATACGAGAAAAAATCAGGTGCAAATTCCGACAAAAATGGAGGAAAGCCAAACAATTTTGAAATGAATCAATGTAATATTAACCGTTGTTATGCGGTACAAATGTATCTCAAAGAACTACCAAGAAGCCATACATTCTGTCAAGACCATAGCGGCCATGCCTTCAAAAGTCAAATGAAAAAAATTTAAGCCAAAAATAAAAAAAAAATGAAGAAATTTAATCCAAAAATAAAAGAAAAATGAAGAAATTAAATCTTTAGTATTAAGGGACATTGATTTTGAGTCAAAAACGCCCCAGATGATAGAAATATCATTGGCAGTCATACTGTAAAGCAAACTGAGAATGGATCGCCAGTGTGTGATGTTCGTTTTTGTAGCTAACGGATTTTTTATAGATATATGGGGCAGATGACTTATGTAGAGACATTAAGTCTTAATTAGAGTTTTGATGCAAATGGATGCCCATTATGGTAAAGATCTACATCATATGGATGTTAAAAGAGGCTTATTTCAGAATGCCACCATCGACTATGAAATATATATGGAACCACCAGAAGGTTTTGAAGAAAGGTGATAATTATGTATGGAAACTTAAAAAAAAAAAAAAAAAAAAAATCACTATTTGGGCTCAAAATGAGTGGAAAAACATGGAATAATTTAAATCCATTGTTATTTAATGAGACAATAATTTCAATCTCCTCAAGTTGACCCATGTCTGTACACGAAGACATTTAATAATGAAATATTAGTAATTCTGGTTATTTGGGTCGAAAATATGTTAATTGCATCAAAGAGTGAGGCCGCTCTATTAAAAATCAAGAGTTCTCTAGAAATGAGTTTTAAAATGACCAATTTGGGTCGACTATCATGTTTTTCTTGGTATACAGTAAAAATTTAAAAGGAAACACTATTTTCAATGAATTAATCGAGATACATGGAAAGGCTTTTATCGAAATTTAACATGCAAAATTATAAAATAAGAATTATTCCATGTGAAATGGATTGAAACATAATTATGAATAAGAAAGATGGTATAGCGGAGTGTGAAAATGAATACAGAACATTGGTCGGAAGTCTTATTTGCATGATGATATAAACTAGGCAAGATATCTGCTATACAGTTACTAAGTTGTCCCAAAACTTAAATAAACTGGGGACTGTATATTTAACAATTTTTAAGCAAGTATTACGTTATCTGAAGTGGACTAACAGTCAATGCCTAGTATTTTGACAATCCAATAAACTATTAAAATTGGAAGGATTTTGTGATGCTGATTGTGCCAATTCACCAGACCGTAAGAGTATAACAGGCTATTGCTTTAAGCTAGCAGATGGTAACCCAATAATCAGCAGGAATTAAGAAACAGTGAAAGATTTCACTTTTTACTTGTGAAGCTGGATGTATTGCATTGTGAAAAGGAACACGAGGTTATTTTTCTTAAATTGCTAATAAAAGCAATAACAATACTGGCAATAACTGAACCGATAATTATTTACTCGGCGATCAGAGCAGTATTGCTTTGACTAGAAATTTAATATTACATTAAAGATCAAAGCATATCAATATAAAATATCAGTTTGTTAAGGGACCAAGTACAAAAGAAAACAGTACAAATTGAATATGTTCAATCAGGAAATAATATGGCGGATTTATTTGTAAAAACCAATTATGAAATTGAAACTACAGGCTTTTTGCTTCTGCAATGTTTGGTGCTGACTTCTTGGGTCCTTATTGGTCCTGGGCAAGACGTAAAACTGCATCCATTAAGGCCCTGTAAGGTCCTTATTAGGTCCTGGGCAAGACGTAAAACTGCATCCATTAGTTACTGTCCTAAGAAGCGTCAGTTCAGTTTTTGGTATGAATGTAAGTCCTTAGTTTCGGGGTATAAAATGTAAATGGTCCTACTTTGAGCCCAATTCTCTTCTAAATGATTCTCTGGATCACTCTGACCCAGAGTGATAGTAACTGTTTTAATGGGTCCCAGCTATGGATAAAATAACAATTTTTCACTTTCTAAATGATTCTCTGGATCACTCTGACCTGGAATGGTAGTAACTGTTTTAATGGGTCCCAGCTATGGATAAAGAAACAATTATTTCCACTTTTTGTTGTGATCGCAATCTAAACTTATAATATTGTTATTCATGTTTTATTAACCCGAAGTACTTATTTTTCAAGAAAATAAAAAAAAAATAAAAAAAAAAATAAATAAAAATTTGGAATACTAAAGTATTTGTTACATATTAATATTAACTTTAAAAAAAAAAAAAAGAAAGAAAAATATAATTTTTTGGAATTAAAGTATTACTAATATTTTGAAGGAAGATTCCAGAATATATCCAAAATAAGGGGGGCTGTTACAGTTTTTTGTGTATATACTGTGTAACTAGTGAGCGAGTCAAAATGACTTAATTCCCTTTATAGTCGACCAATAGAAGGTTGACCAATCAGAAGCCGCTGAACATTGTATCCGTCGTGTATAAAGGCGGCCATCTTTGTTTCCCTAGCGGAATGACCAGAGGCAACTTGTCCGGCGAACAGGACAGACGGAAGAACTACGCTCTGCTACCTTGCTGCGATATCCACTGCGAACCTGCACTACGCTTTACTACTGTCTCCGAAATATTCACTGCCAACCTGTGGATTCTATACTCGAAGACGACTGTCATGAAAATGTCTAACAGAAGCACCATGTGGGAGTTTGTTCCACAGAGTGGCATTGCTTCCAGTGGAGGGGTGGGGAAGCTGGGTCAGACTTTCTTCTTTCTCTTGGAAGGAAATGTGGGTGATTTAACTCTGTGGAAGTGGCATGGTTTGTTCTAGTTGTGAAAGTCTGAACTGGTGAAACTAAAGATTTAAGCTTATCTAAACATTTGCCATGGAAATAGTGATGGAAAAGTGATGGGCTTGCAACATTGCATTTTTGGAAAAAGTGGGTGCAAAGTAGAGAACAAATCTTCTCTGAAAATGATTTTGAATGCTATCAAGGCTTTTATTCTAATTTAATCAGACTATAAATTCATTTTTTTTTTTAATCATTTCACTAAGACACAAGGGATTCTTGGGTGTTCGAGAATATGAGAAAGGAAAACATTATTAAGGCGAGAGAACATTAAAAGAACTGGAATTAAGTCAACGGAAGATAACAATGGACAGTGCATTGAAATTTTTGAGAAGCAAGAAAAACTGGAAGAAAGTTCCACAAGTGAAAATTAGGAGAGAAGAAACTGTTAAGATAGAACTTATGATTTCAACTGTGAAATGATGAGACCTAGCTGCCAATCTAGTACTGCTCTTAAATTCATAAAGTCTAGGTACCAAAGAGGAGAGCTCATCAGAACAATTAGCATGAACATACTTATCAGATTAAGAAACTGTTAGCATAGAACTTATGGTTACATCTAGCCAATTCAACTGTAAAATGATGAGACCTATCTGCCAATCTAGTACTGTGCTTAAATTCACTAAGTCCAGGTACCATAGAAGAAAGTTCATGTTAGAACAATTATGATGAAAGTATTTATAGAAAAGGCACAGGGAAGCCATGTTACGGTGGTGGGAAGTAGGACTGAAGCCGAGATGCCAGGTTAGAGCCAATAATTTTTTGAAATCTTTGAATTTTATCACGAATCTATAAATATATAACAAGAGCACCAGATGTGTCAGCAATATTCAAATCAAAGATGAATGGTAGACTTATAAATATGTAAGATATATTCTGGTAAGAAAAATTGTCTATTCATACACTGTGAAAATATCTCCTACCTTATTTATGTTGTTTCACAAACTTACTTGTTACTTCACATAATTCAGATGATTTTAAAAAATGCCATCTCCCTTTTGAACATAGGCAATCATAACTCTTCATCGCTTTGCTTTTCTTTATTACCTGTGAACTGCTAAACATGCGTGGGGTAATGAATTCAGAATGATCCTACTCTTAGACTGGAATATCTTTTGTTATATAAAATACAGCTTGATGTTAAATGATTCACATATATATTATTGTGCCAACCATAGCTAGAAAGTCCATCTTCCCTTATTATTTAAGCCATAGCTGGGAGTGGGAAAAAGAGATGAATTCATGCTGTTGCTAATGGCAATAGGGTAAAAGTAAATGTAATAAACTAGGCTGGGATTTGAACTCAGATCACTGATCCCACTTTCCACACTTATATAAGAATAAAATGTCACTGCCAACTTGGAATTTAATCACAGATGACCAGAGAGCAAACACAGGCGATCCCATTTTGAATAAGTAGATCACGTGATGGGAAAAGGAAATATATATATGGAAATTAGCATGGCGTCTAAATGATCACTATACAGATTACTATTCGAATCACTAGTGGTTACTATTCGAGTGAGTATTATCAAGCAAGTACTATTAGTGGGAATGTTATTTGAAAGTGCCTGACACTAGTATTGTTTAATGGCGTTACTATATTTGTATTGGTGATTACAAAGTCTCTACTACAATGAGCATTACGAAAGTGGCACCGGGTGTTTGTGGACATCACAAAACACACCAATAACCACTACACCACCCGCACATCTCTGTGTTTATTCTACAGTATGGTACTTTTGATTACATGAAAAATATGTGTGTCCGTATGTCATTGTGTCAGAAAATCTTGTTATGCATAATACAGCTCAATATTAAATAACTCATGTATATGTCATTGTGTCAATGTCTTTTGTTATGCAAAATACAATTTTAATGTTAAATGACTCATGTATATGTCATTGTGTCAGAATGTTCATATTTAAAACAAAATCAGTTTCTTGCTCTTCTTTTCAACCATTTTTCTCCTTTTCATCTTTATGACTCATATAGATTCAGTGTACCTCTTCTTTTTTGAGATGAGAATTGATCAATTACTTCTCTCTTTGTTCATTATAGACAAACCATTTTCTTCTCTCATTTTAGGTGGACAATACAGATTTCCATGTGGACAAGTCTGTAGCTGCTGCCCCAGGGTCACCATCTGGGACAGAAGTTGCCGTGGATATTACTTTTGAACCTTCTCGCCTTGGAGAACAGAGAGCTACCCTAACAGCAACATCATATTTCGGTGGAGAATATGTATTTCCACTATTTGGAATGTGCACTACCCCCAAACCCCAAGGGCCTTATGTCATCAAGGCTGGAGCCACGATTTGTATTGTATTCCGTAATGTATTTAACACGAACACTACATTTACATTACAAGTGGATAACGAGCTTTTCCACTTGCCAAAGAAGAACGAATCAATCAGGCCCCACAAAGATTACCGAGTGATTGTAGGCTTTGACGGCAATGACAGCCCTTCCAAAGCAGATGTAATGGGAAAATTGATCATATCTTGTCCTCGAGTTACAGGGGATACAACAAATGTGCAGTGGGTTTACTATCTTAAAGGAGTAACTACTTAAAACATACACAGACGTATATATATATATATATATATATATATATATATATATATATATATATATATATTTTCATATTTTTTCATCCAGAATTAAACCATTCCTCTTTTCTCCTCTTTTCAGGGGCTGCAATCATTCAAACGGGCCCGATTTCTTTCGTTTTGTATTCTAAACTGTTGAAAAGATCTGATAAAAATTGAAAACGGATATTATTTGTAACCAGACAGCTGCAAAAAGATGTAAAAAAAAAAAAAATTGTGATCATTATTTAATAAATTACATAAATAAAATCTCTTTGCATTCAAATTTAAATCTGCTAAAAATTATTTTGTAAATATCATTTGCTATATTTACGAAATTACCAGTGATGGGGGGGGCATAAAAAGAAGCAGTCATGTAATTCTTTCATCATCATCATCATCATTATTATTATTATTATTATCTAGGCAAGGCTGAAAATGATCTTGACCAAACAAAGAAACCCTTTCTCTTCCCCAAAGCAAATTCAATGTTTGGTCAGTTGTTGAGAGTTTGGGAGGTTTGTCCTACTGAGAACTTTTCAGCATCCCCCACATCATCATCATCATCCTCTTCTTCCTTCTTCTTCTTGGCTAAAACAAAAAAATGCTCAGTGGGGGAAAAACTTTCAATGCTTCAAAAATCAAACTAGTGACATTCCATCATCGCTGAGCAGACACCCAGAACTTTCACCAATCACAATAAACAGATGTTCTATCAAGGAAGCCCCCCCCACCTTGAGTGCCTGTTGAGACTTAAACTCAACCCAGACCTTGAGTGGAACTCGTACATATTATCCATCACTAAAGATGCTAGGAAAACTGCTTCAGTAAGTAGCCGACTTCTCGTGCTATCCTCTACCTTTACAAGAGCCAGATCAAACCGAAAATGGAGGTACTGCTGCCATATATGGGCGGGAGCTGCCCAGTTTTAATAGCATCCAAAAATGTCCTTCTGGGTAACAAATTATTTTCCACCCTACAACCCCTTTCCTACAGACCAAAAGTTGTCAATCTCTTGCTGCTCTATTGTTATTTCCATGGAAAGTGCTCAGACGAACTACATTCCTGAGTTCCACCAGTTTTAACCTTCATGGTTAAGATCAGCCATATTAAACACATTGTAGCAAATTACTCTCATTCCTTTCGTATTCCACTGTTGAGATGTAAGTCCCACTCAAGCAGCTTCTTCTCATGAACTGCTGCTTTGTTGAACTGACTCCCAAGAGGATGCTTCCCTAATCGCTACAATCTTAACCTGTTCAATTTCAGGATTAACCATCATCTTCCCCACATATCCCCATCAACTATACCTCTTACTCTGTAACCATCTACCTCAAGTGGCTCTTAGGTCTTGTACAGAGTGAACATCATTGTAAAAGAAAGAAGCTGTCCTCATTGGCCAAAGAAAATAGTTGATCCATTAGTCAATCATGACAGAAGTAGCAGAAGATGTTCCAAGGTGCAAGTTGTCATCTGAGAGAGAGTTGCCATGCATTGTAATGTAGAGATTGTTATAGTAACTACAAAGATGAGGATATTAGTCTGAATGTTAATAATAATAATAATAATAATCTGTCATTTTCCATTATTTTAATGTTACTTAAATTAATGTTGTGTGTGTGTGTGTGTGTGTGTGTGTGTGTGTGTGTGTGTTATTTTAATAAGTTACTTCATGTTTTATTAAATATTTAATATATTATCAAATAATGATGGTAATGGTAATTTAGCTGTTTCCCTACAAGGAAACATTTGATATTTATTGACCAAGCTGCCAGTACTGTTTTTGTTTGAAATTTATAAAATCCTTTAAAAGACTTTAGGAAAATATGTTTTCTCTCGTCCAGTAGCCGTTTCCTTCCTAACCTTTTATTTAATGCGGTGTGGCATGGAGATCTTAATCATCACTTGTTTTTTTTTTTATATTTCAAATGACAACTAAAAAGAAACACTCTCTCTCTGTACAGTGTCTTTTCAGGATGTGGGTGGTCATGTCTCTCCACAGCGTCCTGTCTGTTTGCACTTGGCAGTAATTTCTCTTTTATGACCTTTCTTTTTTCATGGGATTTAACTAAAATTTTTGTTGAACAAGGGAGGTAATTCCTTTGCAAAAATAAATATTTAAATGACTAACAAAAGGAGATATTTGAGATAAAAATTTCAAAGTCAGATACTCACATTAAAGAGAACTTAAAATGAGTTAAAAAATAATGAAGGAAAAATGTTTATAAATTTAAATGAAGAAAATGAAACAAAACCAGAGCATTAAAAAGAAAAGACATCAATAGCCAACTTTTTATTGTTTGTTTAACAAAACCAACCAAATTATACTGGTTCCCATATTGTATTTCATTTCTAAATGTGTATTTTTAGAAAAAAAAAAAAGAAAAAAAGTACTCTTGGAAATGTGTATGTAGCCCGGCCCCTGTACTGGTCACCAAGTACAGCACTATTGTTTAGGTTTTGAATACCATACTAGTGAAAGTGGTTTGTGTTTGGTTCAATCAAGTTCACTGTAATTCATGTTACCAAAAGTGGATTTTGTTCCTTGTGTATTGGTCAGAAATGAATGTTCAGCAAAGTCCTTTATTGAACTTTGACATGCTGTTACTTTGTTATTCTGGGTGAGATTTTGATTGTATGTTTCTTCAACATAAGGGAATCTTGCTGAAATAAAAAAATGATGTAAATGTTCTAATAGAAGAAATGTTGCTATAGAAAAATTATCAACAATTTACTTAAAGGTAAAATGTAAAAACTGTACAACCTCTATGGGGTTGTTTCATCCCAATCATTCCTTTTCTACCTTTGAGACACTGAGAGATATCTATTTGTTAAGTAGATGCTAGTAGTACTAATATCTTAATAGTGAATAACTTCTATGGTGGATTTTCTTTAATGCATGATGGGTGGGGGTACCAGTTTTCTCTGCAGGGTAAGCATTCTAAAGATCTCTGGGTAACTCTCCCAAACTCTACTCAAAACTCTGATTTCTGCACATGCATACTCTGTTTATATAGACTTTAGTTTGGTAATAGATGTGGTTAATTAGCTTCTCAAACCCAGATGGCTATACTTTGAATTATTTTAAAAATTTTGGCCTGGATGTCTGGATGATTTCTAAGTTTCCAAAACTGTCATTGAAATCAAGATGAATATACCACATAGGTTGCTAAAAAAAAAAAAAAAAAACAAACTTTAAAGTTACCAAAAATCCTGTCGACTTTTGGCAAACTTATTAATCATGTCATGCTATATTCTTTGGGGTTGTGGAATTTGCCTGGGTGTGTCAATTATGCTGAATCTTATTAAATCTTACTTAAAAAATAAAAACCCTAAAGTTACCAAAAATCCTGTGGACTTTTGGCAAAACTTTTTAGTCATGTCATTGTGACACTATTTAGCTATGATAATTGGCTAACTAATTAACCATAGAAATTAAAACAAGAAATACTGAGAATGGAAAGAAGATATCCTGAAAGATATACCATTCGATATTAAAAGGATTTTATTTTGTTTCTGAAAAAGTTACTTTTTCACAAAGACCGTAAATTGGTGTAGACAATAGACCTGTAGATAAGCCATATGTGAGATTTTGACAAATTGATTAATGTTGTTTGTAAAAAGAATGCTTGCTGAAAGAAACATGAGATTCAGAAAAGGCAAAGCGTTGAGATATCAGGCAGACCATATGGATCATAAAAATTTAGGCCTGAGATGATTGCCATTACGGGGTAAAGAGAATCAATATTAATTATCTTCCCAAGATATCATTTTTTCTTGAGTGCCAGCAAGGCAAAGCCATATGGTATTTGTGGGAATTTTGGCATGAGAAATATTTATTCCGATACGTGATGGAGAGAATTATTATTATTTACTTTCCCAAAGTGTTGTCATCAGGCGCCAGCATGTTGAGTCGCAATATGGTGATTATAAAATTTTGGGCATGAGAAAAGATATCATGGAAGAATTGTGATTTGGGAGATAAGGAATTTAATTTCTCAAGAAGCCAAGGGTTCCAGTAAAAGCTAACTTCATGAAGGGACCAGATGGAAGACTTTGACAAGTGATTGATGGAATTTGTAAAGGGTGCTGGTTAAGAAGACTCTGAGTGACCAAAAGATCTCAGAGATTTTAAGTGGTAATGTGTAATTCATAAAAATTTTGGCCAATGGAAAACAAATATAAACAAAAATTCTGGGTTATAATTTTAAGGAGGCCAGCTTAGCCACACCCACATGGCTGGGATGCCATTGGTCAAGTGGTAGCAATGGTGATAGATGGAGGTAATTTTATGAGAAAGACGGGGAAGTTATTAACGCCCACTGAAGGGATTGGTACAAGGTATCAATGTGAGAGAGGAAGAGTTTAGGAGGATAGCTCTCCTCCGACCTCTCCTCATGGACGAGGAGATCCCCCCAAAATGGAAAGTGATTAATTTTCCAAAAATGGGAAGTAATCAGTTTTCCTGGCCTGACAGCAAAGAGATTTCTTGTTGGAAATCGAGATTAACCGAGAATCCCAGACTGCATCTAATTCTGCACCGGTTTTTGGTTGGTACCCATATAAACGAATATCCTTGGGCCGTTTGACAGTTGATTCAGTTGAGTTCAGTTTGAGCAGCAGGAACCAGAGTGTTGCCTTACAGAAGCTGACCGAGAGATTCCACAACCTCCGACTTCACCTATCCTACCAATAGCAAGTTATACTGACAAACAAAGCCAAGACAGCACCTAAAAACTAAACCAGTTGACTTAGGATACCAAGACTTGCTTAAGAAGTGTAGAAGTATCACACCCCATAGAAAACGGGCTGGGAGAGAAACACACTCCTGTATATAACAGATGGATAATGTTAATTTGTTATTTTTTAACATACTTGACCCTCTTGGTTTTTTATTTGCTTCTTTTTTCTTTACACTTGTGCGATATCACCTCCAGTCTGAACTCATCTTACAATACAGCCCAACGCCTGATTGATTTCGTC